TAAATATAATTAGTGAGATAGTTAGTAAGCCCAGACGACGTCGCTCTTTCTCGAGTATCGGCAACATTTTTTGCATTATAATGCCTAGGGCAGGTGGGTGATGGGCTATATATCCGCGCCCAACAGTATATTTCGTTTTATAATCAAAAACAAAAATCTAGTAACACCTGCAAAATGTAGGATAGCCAGCACGGTAGTATATCGTCGTACAAGAAAACAAAAATTATTTTTGTAATAAGAATTTTTAACATATATAATTTTTCGTTACGAAATCTTGTTATATAGTTTCTGCTCGGGTAAAGCCGGCATTTCGGAACGGAATAAAAATAACAGCCCTAACCGCGATCATGGCGACACGCATCCTGCAGCAAAGCAAGGCTAAGGTTCAATCGATTAGCCGTTTGCTTAGTCATCATAGGTCGTCATCGTCATAAAAGGATATTCCGAGCTTATATTATTGTTCTTTGTATAAACAAATTCATTAGAAATATCCAAATCTTCAACGATAATATTATCAAGTTCGTCAATATTCTCGGCATCTTTTAGATTAGTAAGTCATCGCAAACGATCGCAAGTTATGAACTACACATTTACGATGTTTCGGAGTATATTCTCCACCCTAGTCAACCTCTAATCATTAAATTGCTCAGACTTAAGGCGATCTAGTCTGCATGGTCTAAGACATAATATGGCTATGGACAAGCAAATATATATCCCAATTCTTCATCTGGAAGATATAATGATTTCGTTCAAAACCCGGATCATTTTTCCAAAATATTCTTAATATTTCGATGATAATATTTCCTAAAATATTCGGAATATTTCGAGAAAATTGTCAATGGCTACGATTTGCCCGAAATATCTAAAACTAGTGGGGGTGCAAAATGAAGCTTATAGCAAGAGAATAACAGAATTAGAGCATGAAATAAAAAGTCATTTCAATTTTACAATTATAGATTATACGATTATACTCACAGAGATAGAAACAGGTAAACCGAACAAATGCTTAACAAAACGCGGCTTCGGAATATTTCGAGAAAATGAATGATTACGATTTTGAGCCTTTTCCTTGGACCCTACCCAAGTAAAATATTTCGAAAAACTATATATTATATTGAATTGGAGATCCAATTCTAGAGATTTTTTTTCAGACGAGTTATAGATAGAATTTCTCAGCAGCACCTCAATATATTTCCTGAAGCACTGCGATACACAAAGCAACAATGTGTCTTAGGTGCCCGATACCAATGTATAGACATTTAGTCAAGGGGAGAATGGACCCATGGATTGTTAACCTCAAAAACGCCATTCCCATACATAGTTGTTGTAACGCATACGAAAATACCATCGACCAAAACTCATCCTAAATACAAATAGAATTAAACTAATTTCGTTTAAATTATTAGGCAAAATGCCGCTAATCATAATATATATCGTGAAACTCTCGCAAAATAAACGCAATAATTCAATCAAAATAGTAATAAATATCTAAATAAATAATTATATTAACCTCCCAAAAAAAAAAATCCTAAATATAAATAATCATTCCATAATAAACCATACCAATGCGGTTTCGATCAACCTAAAGAATCATATATTCGAATTTCTTAAACTAAACCGAACTCAACCAGCTTCACCATCTCGTCATTAACCTATCCTATCACGAAAATACCCATTTATAACACCCTTTATTAAAGCTAACCAAACCTCAAAACAAAATCGATTTCAATTTTAAAATAAACCGCTCCGCTCCTCTAAAAAAAAAAATCTTTATAAAACGACCAAAAAAATTGTCGGACTTCATATCCCGGTAACACATATCAATAATCTCCATCTCTAAATTATTAAAATGAAGATATTCCAACCTATAAAAAATAAAACATAATATATTAAATCTTACTCTCAAATATTATATATGACAATTAATTAATATTCCTATTTCCGAAAAACACCATCTTCGCGAGAGAAAAAAATCTTTCGCAAATCTTTCGTGACTCCATCGCCACGCCCTTTTGTTTGCAGCGTGCGCTCTGGAGCCATTGTGGCTGTTGCAGTTAAAGTTATGTCTGCAAGCACGGTAGTCGCAGTTCACTTGTGTGCAGTACATAGTGTTGGGTGCAAGCAGTCACCGTCATTCGCCCTTGCCACTTGTGCTTACCGGCGATGTACGGAACCTTGCAACAAACTCCCTAGCCTTTCGCCGGTCTTTCGCGGATCTTTCGCGAAACTTGCTCCAAAATAGCCCAACCAACATTATTAATTTGCACCATTCCCAACACAAACAAGGAATCAATAATGCAAGTGTAAGTGCTATATATCTTCCTATCTATAAAAGAACGAGATCTGCAAATATGTAAGCGCACAAGAATACCTCCAAGAATCCAATGCGGAATCTTTCGCAAAAAAAAAAATCTTTCGCAAATTCCATCGCCAATCTTTCGCGGAGAGATTTAAGCTAAAACAAAGGGTCACCGAATACATAATTCCTTGCAAAGACCTTTTAATCAACCCCCCATATATCTAAACAAAATATCCTCCAAATTCCAAAATTATCCTAATTCTTTCGATAACATAAAATAAATCCTAAATTTTATAAATTCAATATAATATCAACTAATTCATTAAATTTAACCTATATAATATCAAATTCAAACAAATAGAGAAAACAAACAAACAAACAACCAAACAACCAAACAACCACACAAACAAACAAACAAACAAACAAACAAACAAAACAAAAAGACAAAAACAACCACAAAGACAAAAACAAACACAAACACAAACACAAATACAAACACAAACACAAACACACAGACACAGACACAGACACACAGACACAGACACACAAACACACAGACACAGACAGACACACAGACAAAGACACACAAACACACAGACACACAGACACAGACACACAAACACAGACAGACAGACACAGACAAACAGACACAAACAGACAGACACAGAGACACAGAGACACAGAGACACAGAGACACAGAGACACAGAGACACAGAGACACAGAGACACAGAGACACAGACACAGACACAGACACAGAGACACAGAGACACAGAGACACAGAGACACAGAGACACAGAGACACAGAGACACGGAGACACGGAGACACAGAGACACAGAGACACAGAGACACAGAGACACAGAGACACAGAGACACAGAGACACAGAGACACAGCGCCGGATTCTGATGTCGACATGCCCCAGGCTTCGCCTGCGCACGTGCACGCGTCCGACTCCGAGCCCGAGAGCCGCGATGCAGACGGGCTGCAAGAACGCGCGTGCGAGCTCTCGGCTGCGCGTGCCCCAGTTGCACGCGGCCGCTGGCCGCTTGTCCCCTGGCGCCCTCGCCCAGTGGAGCGAGCCAGTGGGAAACCGCGCTTGTCTCGGCGCTGCCCCGCCGCTCCCGCGGCCAGGAGGTGGTTGCAGGACTGGGCACCCCGGGTTGAGCTTCTCGCATCGCCAAACTCTCGGAAGATGGGCCAAGATTTCAGCCAAAATTGCTACGGACAGGCAGATATATGCCCCGACTCTTTATCTGGAAGACACAACGGCTTCGTTCAACGGCTACGGATGGGGAGATATATGCCTAGACTCTTGATCTAGAAGACACAACGACTTTGTTCAAAGCCCGGACCATTCTTCCGAAATATCCCGGATATTTCGATAGTCGCACTCCAGGCCATTTTTCAAATATTCCGGATATTTCGACGATAGCATTTCCCGAAATATTTGGAATATTTCGGGAAAACCGAAATATTCGGAATATTTCGAGAAAATGGTGGGTGGCTGCGATTCCCGGACCGCTCTCCCGAAATATCTGGAATATTTCGGGAAATTGGTCCCTACAAAAAATGAAGCCACTACGTCTTCCGCACATATGCCGGGGTAGCCCGGACAGATTTGGGCAAGCGGTCCGTAGGAAATATGAAGCGGTTATATCTTCCAGAGCCAGTCCAGACCAATTTTCCGAAATATCCGGGATTTTTCGGAAAAGCGGTCCGGGAAAACGCGCGCAAGTGCGACGAGCAAGTTTCACAGTTTCGTTTTATAGAGTAAATATTTCGGGAAATTAGTCCCTTTAAAAAATGAAGCCACTGAATCTTCCGGATTATGGTCGGGATAACCCGGGGTAACCCGGACAAATTTGGGTAAGCGATCCATGGGAATATAAAACGATTACATCTTCCAGGGGCAGCCCGGACCAATTTTCCGAAATATCCGGGATTTTTCGGAAAAGCGGTCCGGGAAAACGCGCGCAAGTGCGACGAGCAAGTTTCACAGTTTCGTTTTATAGAGTAAATATTTCGGGAAATTAGTCCCTTTAAAAAATGAAGCCACTGAATCTTCCGGATTATGGTCGGGATAACCCGGGGTAACCCGGACAAATTTGGGTAAGCGATCCATGGGAATATAAAACGATTACATCTTCCAGGGGCAGCCCGGACCAATTGTCCGAAATATCCGGGATTTTTCGGAAAAGCGGTCCGGGAAAACGCGCGCAAGTGCGACGAACAAGTTTCACAGTTTCGTTTTATAGAATATATATATATATATATCTTATCAAATATAATATTCAATGTATATATATATATATATATTTACTAATAAATTAAATCTAATCTAGATTATTAATATATATATATATATAATTTATTAATATAATGCAAAAATATATAATTATGTTTATTTCTAAACATATAATAATATAACTCATTTATTGTATAAATCCTTCTTTTTTATAAGCTTCTAAATTTCAATATGTAATAGTATATGTTTAGTATCATCTCATCTTATAGTCGTTCGTTCATGATCACTTATATTTGTAGAAGGCTTCCTACTTTACACCCCAGGCAGTTTGACTGATCTGGGGGCCCAAAGTTGGCAAAAGGAACTTCCCGAAATTCTAGCCTCTCCACAGCTACAGAAAATGATGAATGCCAAATATGCGCGCTCAGCGCTGTACTTTCAAATGCACAGTTGGCGCTAGGCACACACATCTTGAAAGGCCTTGTAGGCCCTGCAAGCCTCTAGGAATGATTCATAGCATCGTGCACAGCCCGGATAGTCACCCAGCATCCGCTCCGGATGGAACTGCAAGCCGACCACAAATTGCCCTGCTTTCGGGTCATATCTTGGATCATAGAAGGCCTCAATGATTCCATCGGGACTGTGTGCCATAGGCACTAAGCTCCACCCTAGCTCTTTTGATGCTTGGTGATGGTAGGAATTCACCATAAGCATCTTGGCTTCACCATTCCCCAAACTGTCACCAAACCACTCAGCCAAAGGTGTCTTTGTTTTCACGGTGATAGGGTGACGGAAGCTGTCATATTCAGGATCACTGGAGTCTCTCAAATGCTTGATGCAGCTATCTGTCTGACTCTCAATGTCACCCACGAGGGTTCCGCCTCGCATGCAGTTGAGCATCTGGGAACCACGACAAAAGGTGAGAACGGGCACACCTGCTGCCAGGGCAAATCTCATCAATGCAAACTCCAGCTCATCTTTGGAGACATCCGTCTCTGTGTCGCTTGCAAACTTCTTGGCTGCTTCACCAGTAAGACGCTCAGGCACCTGGCAGCCATACTTCTGCAGGATATCATCGGAGAGATCCTGGCCTTCGGCAATCACCAAACCATCCATGGGCAAATACTCACAGAGTTGTTGGACGGTTTGCATGGTGCGTGGCAGAATGATGGGTGCACCACCGAACTTCTGAATCAGCTCCAAGTGGTACTCCCCCGTGATATCCACATACTTGTTCTTCCGCAAATACCTGCGGGATACGCAAAGTATCCTTGGAAAGGCAGGCGCTGCATGGATCTCGGAGATCTTAACGAACCTGTCGCGGTCGGTCTCCCATCTCTTTGTAGGGGACATGGTCATGGGTCGGGCTTTCGGGGTGCTGTCAGGGGTGCGGCCACCGGGATCACTCAGACCTTCCACGTCGCGCCACTCCGCACCTGCCTCCTCAAGGCGCATCAAGAGGAGATAGCTGCTGTTGTTGCGCCGGAGGTCGGCGGCTGAGTTCCGACGCATGCCTGCGAAGCGGTTTGCCCACCTACTTTCAAGCAAACAGGAAAAGCAAAAGCAGCACGACGCTGCAAGGCCGTTGCAAATACTTGCCGTTCTGTACTAGTATGTAAGAATTGACACCTTTTAGCTCACATCCCAAAGGGCAGATGGTGACAGGATCATTTCTAGAAAACAAGGCTTTGGAGCCACCCCGCCTGGAGAAGGCTTCTTCACTGCTTGCAAGTCTGCTGGCAGGATGGACGGCTCCACGATGCTGTACCCGCCATGCGCCATCCCCACGGCCACTCCACACATGTGGCAAAACCTGCTGTTAGCAAGTGTGTCAGCCTTGCACGCAGTGCACGAAGGTGCCATGGCCGCTTCAAATGGAGGCTCGGGCACAGTTGGCACCATCTAAAACTTGAAAGGCTGCGCATGCCACATGCCAGCTCACAGGTGTGAGAGTGAACAGCGAGCATTGAACTCACCTTGCATGCTTCAGCCCATCAAAACCAAAACATCATACACATCTCTTGCAGACTTCCGTCCATCGTTAGCCGCAACTGCAAAGTTCCAGTACGCCTGTTTTGGTGGCTTCTGAGTTGTGCCCTCCATTGCTCAATGCAAGATGCTGTGGCTCATTCCCTGAAGTTGCGTCTGTGTTTGATGACGCAAATACCTGTAGTGAATCATCGAACTGTCATTTCACGCGCAGCCGTCATGCAATGTACTGCAATCCTTCTGCAACGCATTGCAATGACCTCAATACCCAGCTTCCTGCGATCAACTTCATTATGCTTGCAGTCAACGTGTTCAACAGGTTGACATCGACTTTGGTTCAAGATGAATGCGTGCAGAGTACAAGCTGTATGAGGGCTGTGCCATGTTCAAATGCACTGTACACATGCGCCTTCTCTGAACAAGAAAAGCCGATCGTGGGCGCTTGCTTTTTCGACCCCAAGATGCCTAGGCAAGACTCCGCGAGCGCTTGCGGCCGGCCCGACCTTGCAGCAGCACTTCTTTTTCAGGGGAGCCGAGGCCTGGTTGGGGCATGGCCAAGAAGCACCAAGAACCTTCGGCGAAGAAATCCTGCCGTTCACCATTGCTTGCAGCAATCAACGTGTCATAGGTCATCGGCTTTCTGGGCGTCTGTCTTAGCTCTCTAACTGCAACTGGTGAATCATATTGACAGGAGTCCTGATTTGTCATGGGCTTGAAAATGCAGTTGAGTGAGGAAATCCTCGATCTCAGTGGACATTGTCCTCTGAGATCTGAACCGGGCTCGCACATTGGTTTCTTGCCTTCCGCATGTTGCGTGCGTTCACCAGGCGTAGGTGTGCGTTTGCGCCATATGGATCTCATTGCATGTCATGTTCGCGCGTCGCGCGTTTGGGCTCTTGTAAGTCGGCTTCATCTTGTGTGGACTGTTCCCTCTTTAAGTGTTATCTGCGTTGCGAGTTCTACATGAATCATTATAGTTACATTCGAACTGAGCCAGCCACGACGTTCAAAACCATATGCTTGTCCTCCTCGTCTGAGAAAATTATGTGTTTGTTTGTTCTTGGAAGTCAAAACGCTATCTTGTGACATTTGGCAACCGACAACGGTCAGTGTTCTATCACGTTCTTTACCCCACAAGGCTCCAGCAGATCTTGGAAGAGTCTCTATGGGGGATGCGAAACCACCCGGTCACCCATCGTCCGGGTTCCACATCCTGTTTTTTGACGAACCCACTTTCCAAACCTATGCCATGGTGCTTATGCTGATCACCTGCCCGAGCAACAGCAGCGAGGTGAAGATACCGCCAGCGGCCGCATACAGGGCACCGTCGACCGGTGGCCTCTCAATGCACAAAATGACGCGACTCGGACAATCCATCCACAAATGGGGGTGTCTCCAAATAGAGGTGTCCCCTTTGGTTTCCCTTTAAAAGAATCCCTCACCTAGCAAACATGGTCGCTATAATGTAGCCACCTAGGTCAAAGGAGATGCTCACGATATGTTGGCCGTGTGGTGGTTTACCCTTGGCTTCCCTTTGCAACAGCCCAAAACGGGTACCCTCCAAAAGGACGTCTCCAATAGCAGCTCCAGGTGCGGGCACCGCATCTCCGTCCAGAACTCCAAATCCGCAGACAGCACCATGCAGGCATAGGACCAGCTGAGCACAGTGAGGCCAAGCAGAAAGCAGAGAAAGGCCCGGTGATTGTGAGAGCCCACGCACTGGTTGATCCATACCTGCAAATGTCATTACCCATTTTGGGGCCCGCCAAGGGAAACCGCCATTTTGAAAGGCACCTGTGGTATGAATTGCAATGGGAAAAAATACCCTTTGGACATTCATCTCCACGTTTGAGGGTGCCCTATGAAAGATCCCCCTGCCATTTTCAGTGGAGACCTCAGCCCCTGGCGCAGTGGTGGTCTCTGCCAGGTACAATGTGCCCGCACACTCGGCACATCGACTCACTGTCCTGGCAGGTCGCGTTGTTCACGACTTGCCACATGGGTGGCTCGTCTTTTTTCAGCGCGCCCCCACAAACGTTGGGCTTCCTTTTAGTTTCCTTTGAAATCTAACCAAAAGGGGTACCATCAAAAAACAGGCAGACGCACGTATCAAATGACGTGTTCAGGTAAATAACATGTTGATCAAAACACAACGCGCGTGGCAAATCTTGTTTTAAGCATGTTGAGTCCTTGCGCATTAGACATCAAAGGCATCCAAGTATGCCTGTTCGAGATGTATGTTTCAAACGGAGAAGAAAAAATAAAAGGAGGAACAACAACAATGTAAAAGAAAAAAAAGGCTGCATGACCTTCACCCAACCTGCGCTCCTCTTGCTTAGGCTTTAACAGCAGGGCGGCCAAAAAGCTCGCCAAGACTTCCGCCAGTAGCGCGTGGCACCACAAGATCTGAAACCAGCTTTGGCGGCGCCACACGTGCACCAGGAAGTCGTAGTAGAGGCCAGCAATGGACACAAGCAGCCAGCTCACCAAGTAGTCCGATCTGAGCGCGGGTCGAACAAGGCGTGCAATTGTTTGAGGGCACCTCTTCTGGGTTTGTCCGGACATCAATTAGGAAACCCTGAGTTGGTGATTAAATGGGATCACCATCCCTAATAACCAAACCACCGGGCTCCATAGCACCAACTAGGAAGCTGAATGGGAAACGGAAACCCATGCAAAGGTCCCCCCCAACAAAAAAATAAACACAACTCCGAGGAAAAAAGAAACACCAAAAAAACAAGAAAACAAAAACTGGCGCCGCACTTCGCACTTGCCTCATGTTCAGCTGCAGGCAGGTGAGGTGCACCCAAGCGAGGTGCAGACCTCCCAGTACCAGCCAGAAAAGCACCCACTGCCAGCAGGACGAGAGCTCCAGAAGCCTGGCATCTGAGCCAAACCCTCAAATCCCCCGCTAAAAGTCTCTAACTTTTGGCGGGTCAGGCTAAGGAACCGGATGGCTGTCTGAAACTCCACTTGACAATCCTCGAACCATCCTCTGAACCAATCCTTCGATGCTTCCACTTGGCGCCTGCGCAGCGCCCAAAGCACCGCTGCCGCCGCCAGCGCCCCCGCGTTCAGCCGCTTCGCGCCGCTGGGCCACGGGATCCGCGCGCGGTCCGCGCAGGCGCGGAAGAAGCCGCGGAGCTTCGCCCGGCGCTCGGGCGCGCCTGGGGTTTGGAGCCCGCCACGCGGCCACGCGCTGGATTTTGGGGGGGCCCGAGGTGGACATCATAAGGACCCTTCTCTGTTCTCCAAAAGCTGGGCTTGATTCATACAGGGTCAAAATTACAGCAGGGTCTGAATTTAGACGGGGATTCATGTCCACCAGTCACTTTGTAGGTGGTTCCCCAATAAAACTTATAGCCACGTGGCTGAGAAATGAAACCACCAGGAATTGGACCGCAGGTCAAATCGTCCATGTTTCCATTTACCAGGGTTCCATGTTGCGTATTTTGACCCACATCCGCACGGCTGTTCAAAACTCCCTGTGCTTGGCCTATGGTCATGGTTTGCTCTTCATAGGAATCATTGTGATCAAGGATCCTCACCAGGTCGATGACCACCCCTCTTCCCGACAACAGGTCTGTTGACCATGTGTGCATGGCTGTGGTGGACCAAATTTGGGTAGCCCCAAATGGGTTGCCCCGGTAAATGTACACGTGGACTAAAACCTAGTCGCCTGATGGATTGAGTTTGACCCCGCACCCACATAGAAAGTCAGGAAAGTGCCTCATATTCCACCCTTTTGGGGGGTCTTCTTCAGGGAAAACAAGCATGATCTCAGCTTCCCAGGTGGTTTGGAGCCCTCTGTCCTCATGCTACTTGCTCAAAATCCCCGGTGGTGGTGGACGGCCATACCAACCACAAGCCAAAGCGTGTGTGGACCACGGCACACATGTCATTGTTCAATCTTCCATCAGCGGCTGTGACGGTTGACACATTGGGTGCCACATAGAAAGTCGGGAAAAACTGGCATATATTCCACCCCTAGAGAGGTCTCCTTAGGGGGAAAACGAGCATGATCTCAGCTTCCCTCCCCAGCGATTTACCCACAAGAATCAGGGCCTCAAGTCCAAATCCAAAGCACCAATTGGGGGATACCGGGATACCTGATCATCGGGTTCCTTAGTTCCTGTGTGTCTGTGGCTGAAAAATAATTGGCCAACTGGCAGCCTAAGTGAACAAGTCGACCAAAAGGCTGCGCCTCCAAAAAAATGTCTAGAGCCGCGCCTGTCTTCTAACAGGGCTCCTTGATCCAGATGATACCGTTTTCGGGTTCTTCGGTGAATTGTTTTCCAGGTTCCGCGCCCTAGCACGGTGACATGGCAGACTGGGTCTCAAGATCGAAGAAAAACCCGATTTCGGGCCGAGAACCCTTGAATGGCATTCACCACCAATCCCAACTGATGTTAACTTTTGTCCACCTGGGTGTGCCTCAAAATGGGGGGGGGGGGGGGGGGGCCCAAAAACTGGATCTCCCCAAAGGGGATCCTTTGAAACAGACATTTGGGGGGAGCTTCCCTCTGGTGTCAATGGTGCAAACCCTGCAAGAATGCCACAACATGCCACCCTTTGGTTTCCCTTCTGAGGGTTGTTGTATTACACCCTGGGATTACACCCTGGGATTACACCCTTGGGAAATGACCTAGAATGGTTCAAAATAAGACATTTTTATCCGGAAATGTGCCTAAATGGGGTCCCCAACGTCAAGGTGCTGGACGGCCGCTCTTTCTCACAGCAGGAGCAGCACCACTTCACGTAATCATCGGCCAGGCTGTCCAAGTCAGTGCACTCGCACAAGCATTGGAGCACGTGCCGAACTTGCCCATCCTCTCGAACATACTCAAAACATTCCAATTCCTCGTCCTCCATTCCAGTCCCAACTTGGACTTCAATGTCTGCTGTACCATCACGGGATAGCGCAGCTTTCGTCAGAATGTGTCTGCTGTTTCTGTGTCGCAAAGCTTAAGAGCATCCTTGTTCTGTTGGCTCTTCTGCACTCTGACTGTGAACAAGTCTCTGGTCTGATGTGCGCTCTCATGCTTGCATCTGGGCACACACACACACTCATGTGCAGAGCTTGCTGCAAGCGCTCTGAGCCAACCGGACATGTTGCCAGTGCAAAAGGGTTCGAATGAAATCTGAATACGTATGGTTTTCTACCACAACTTGAATGCAGCTCTTGAGAACCCCTTCACGCATACCATGCATGCAGATGCACGCGTCTTTGTCGGTGGCGTCTCGAGCTCTTCTAGGAAAGGGTGCCCTCAAACAGATACATTTCTCCGCCGAGGTAATGCCTCTTGCAGCACCCTGGAACATGAACGCGCCGGGTGGCCTAAGGGCTGGCTCCCTTTTGGGTATCTGGATCGGAAAGAAATGGGATTGGAACTTCTGTTAGATCAAACGGGTCGCCAGCAACCACTGGACACCACAAGATCCAGCGCAAAACAGGTAGAATCTTCTAAAAGTCCGCAACTCCTATCTACAAACGACAAAAGGCAGGTTGTGCTGCCGAGCAATGCTCCAGGCATCAGCTGATGCTGTGTATGCACCTCTGAATCATCGCTTTCTACGCAAAGGGCAAAGGTATCGACAACGCATATACGAAGCTACGCATGCTTCACCCAACGATATTCAGCTGAGGCAAGACAAGCGGAAGTGCACTGTCATTCAACGTGCACCCAAGCATCTGAGCCTCACAGCAGTACTTTGCGCTGTTCTGGCTCAGAGCTGGCACCGATCAAGCATCCACGAAAGGGGTTGGTCTTTGCTCAAACCTGTCCACCAAAGTCGGGTTTCGAGTGACTGGGACTCGCGGCTCGCGCATGCGAGTAACGGCCCGCAGGCCGGTGCTGGCTCCATGGAGGACTTACGAGTCCTTCGCTCCCAAGTGCCCATTCTCAAAGTGAAAGAAGAAGGTCTCCTGCCGTAAGGAGCTTTGCACGAAGCGACTGCCAAATGTCCGTCCTCGGCAAAAGATGGCTGATCCTGCAAAGCTTCTCCTCCAAGCAAGGCAGTCATCCAACAAGACAAGCGCGACAGCACACCCCCATCCTGAGCATTGGCTGAGCTCATCCAAGGGCTCCTGCATGGATTCGCGCCCTGCATGCGAGTCCCCCGGCAAAACAATGGTTGCTCCAGTCTTTGAGTAGCCCAAGGCAGTTTCCCTTTCGGGAAATCAAACATCCCTGGGCGTCAGACTACCTTGAGCAATCATAACATGGAACCCTACGCATGAACGACCCCTTTGGACATGCCAATAGTAACCCATGCCATGTGCCGAGAGAGACTTGCACGCGTCTGCCAGTCCGTGTTGCTGCGCCCGATGTCGGGCGTGACCTTTCACACAAGAAATGTTCGCACGGAGGAACACACGCAAAGTGACGTTTTCTGGTGACTTCCGATGCCAATCCGATGCCGAGTTTGCGGACACGTCTCCGCTGGGGTCAAAGCGGGCTCCAGCAAGGAGAAGTCCTCCTGCACGGCCTCAGGCACCCGCAGTTGCATCAGCTTTGCCCCACGGAGCTAAAAAAACTTCACGAAAGAGTGAACACCTTGGCTTCGCATTGCGATCAGCTGGGATGCCATTGGGTTCAAAAGCTAAAGAAACTACAGATCCGAGCGTTGTCAACGCTCGCTTCTGCCTGTCGAAACATAGAGGCAACCTGGCTTTGTTTCAGCTTCGAAGGTCAACGAGAGTTGAGAGCTCGCCAGTAGACCCCGCGACGGAAGGAACCAAACGCCTCTGGATTTACTGCAGCCCGGCTGCAGCTGAACATGTGCGCCTCCGTGCTCGCGGGTTCACGACTGCCTGCCGGACGATCGAATCACACCCAATCACACCCAAGCCAAGGGTCACCTGCTCTTCCGGAACAGCCCTTTTGGGCTTGGCTTTCAACGGAAACCAAAGGGAAACCCTTGCCAATTTGGGGGGGTCCCCCACTTCTCAAGACAAACCTGGCTAGCCCAGCCTGCACTTGCGCGTCCAGCTGCGCCTCACGGCTCTTTTGTGCTTGCGGCCCTCCGAACCTGCGGTCCTCTGAACCCCCCCGCCCCCCCCCCCCCCCATTTTCGCTTTCGCCCGTGAAAACCCCTGCCTTGGCCGAGCTCCGCGAGGGGTGCATCATGCCTCAGCCGCTCGCCGTCCAAACAAAGTTCCGCGGATCGATGGCGCAAACGGCACGTTTCGCCCAGCGGCTCAGCAGCGATGTGCCGAGCGCACGTCCTGGATGAACAAGTGACGGCGTCCAGTCCGTCAACAGATGTAGCTCGCAAACGCACTGGGCGTATGCTGGTTGTGCCATGTTGAATGTGCGCTGCTGACTTCAAACATTCGTGAAATCAATGCGCAATAGCCGTCTGTCAGTGCCACCTGACTTGTGTGGCATTGCACAGATTCGGCGTTGGTTCTTCTTCTCAGTTCCGGAATGGTTTGGGATCGGCTTGACCGCTTTGATCAATGAACGCTGTATGCTATCTTTGTGTTTGCAGCTGGATCGGTCGATGCAGCTGATCCCTGGACTGCTGAAATCAGTCTCTCATCAAAGCAAGTTTAGCTGAGAAACTTGCGAGTTACGGCGACGGAAGTCAACGAATCACACCAATGACAAAGCCAAGCAATGAGATAGATAGGCAATGACATAGCCAAGTCGCGTCCAAGCCAAGTAATGACATACTCAAGTAATGACAAGGCCAAGCAATGACACAGCGAGGTAATGACATAGCCAGGTCATGGCTAAGGAATGGCATGACCAAGATGACCAAGCTCAAAGCAGTGAATCCTCTGCGGACGTTTGGCCACTTCGCGGAAAAGAAGAAACAAACACGGCTGTTGATGCCAGTCGCATCAAAAGGAAATAACCGGCGGGGAATGTGGGAGTGTCAGACGGCCTTGGTTCGGTGCAGATTTTGTGGGTTCCATTCGGGGGGGCGTGCGAGTCATGATGCCAGCGCTCGCATCGAGGGACTCTGACTCGGCGAGCCGCGACTTGGAGCTGCGCGGCCGGTTTGGCGCAGCTAGAACACCCCGAAACGAGCACGCTGCTCGCTTTGACGTACAAAGGTCACGCATTGACAAGCTTCGCCAATGACCGAAGCACACGAGACAGAGATAGAGGCAGAGACAAAGCCCTCAGTCTCGCTAGTGCAGCAAACACGATCAGACTCTGGCTTGCTGCAAGGCTAGGTGGATTGACTCCAAGTGGTTGGTTTGTTTGTTTGTTTGTTTGCTTGTTTGCTTGCTTGTTTGCTTGTTTGCTTGCTTGTTTGTTGGTTTGTTGGTTTGTTGGTTTGTTGGTTTGTTGGTTTGTTGGTTTGTTTTGGCTTGGCTTGGCTTGGCTTGGCTTGGCTTGGGTTGGCTTGCTTGCGCGCTTGCGCGCTTTCTCGCTTGCTCGCTTGCGCGCTTGCGCCCTTGCGCGCTTGCGCGCTTGCGCGTTGCGCGCTTGAGCGCTTTCGCGCTTGCGCGCTTGCGCGCTTGCGCGCTTGTCCGCTTGTCCGCTTGCGCGCTTGCGCGCTTGCGTTGTGCTTGTGCTTGTGCTTGTGCTTGTGCTTGTGCTTGTGTTTGTGTTTGTGTTTGTGTTTGTGTTTGTGTCTGTGTCTGTGTCTGTGTTTGATGCTTGTGTTTGTGTTTGTGTTTGTGTTTGTGTTTGCTTGTGTTTGTGTTTGTGTTTGTGCTTGTGTGCTTGTGTGCTTGTGTGTGTGTGTGTGTGTTTGTGCTTGTGTGCTTGTGCTTGTGTGCTTGTGTGCTTGTGTGCTTGTGTGCTTGTGTGCTTGTGTGCTTGTGTGCTTGTGTGCTTGTGTGCTTGTGTGCTTGTGTGCTTGTGTGCTTGTGTGCTTGTGCTTGTGTGCTTGTGTGCTTGTGTGTTTGTGTGTTTGTGTGTTTGTGTGTTTGTGTGTTTGTGTGTTTGTGTGTTTGTGTGTTTGTGTGTTTGTGTGTGTGTGTGTGTGTTTGTGTGTGTGTGTGTGTGTTTGTGTGTTTGTGTGTTTGTGTGTTTGTGTTTGTGTGTTTGTGTGTTTGTGTGTTTGTGTGTTTGTGTGTTTGTGTGTTTGTGTGTTTGTGTGTTTGTGTGTTTGTGTGTTGTGTGTTTGTGTGTGTTTGTGTGTGTGTTTGTGTGTGTGTTTGTGTGTTTGTGTGTGTTTGTGTGTGTTTGTGTGTGGTTGTGTGGTTGTGTGTTTGTGTGTTTGTGTGTTTGTGTGTTTGTGTGTTTGTGTGTTTGTGTGTTTGTGTTTGTGTTTTTGTTTGTTTGTTTGTTTGTTTGTTTGTTTGTTTGTCTGTTTGTTTGTTTGTTCTTTTGGGGGGAAGTTCCCAACTTTGAGAAACACCCACATGCTGTCGGGAGTCCTTCAAAAGGTTGCAAACTCGGCGGACACTCCTTGTGCATCCGGCAACCCGCTCCTCCGCTCTGTGGGCGCGGACGCCTTGCACCGGCGTTCGGCTCGTCTGGGACTGGAGTAACCTAAGAAACGATTCGGAGAAGCCGCACGAGGAGCGAAACTCTGCTCCACCCACACAGATAAGAACGGCTTGTATGGGCCTTACTATGATCCCCATAAAAACCAGATGGTAGAATCACCAACATGGCCAATATAGAGGGCCTGGCCGCTGCTCACATGAAGCAATCTCAAATGCCACACTCACCAGGGCTCCCAGCCAGCCGCCGTCTTGGACGCCTGCCTCCGTGCTGGCAACAGAAACGACTGGAACAGCAAGAGCGCCGCTGCAAAAAGTTGCAAAGAGCCACAAGCCAGATGAAACAATGGCAAGATGCCACACCAAACCCAGCCGGTAAACAACAAGCTGCCCCATAGGTGTCCTTTTGGCAAGATGGCCCTGGTAGTTGATTGAACCATCAAACAAGGAATCGCCCTCTATTTTACGACCCAAATCAACCAAAAGGGCCACCTATGAGCTGCCCCAAAAAGCCGGGCTCATCGCCCCCCTTCGGCCCGAAACCTTTGCGTCGCAACCCACCGGCCTCGCTCGTCCGGGCGTGGCTCCACAGCGCTAAAGCGCCGCGGTCTTGCCCCGCTCAGGGCTGGGGCCTTGCCAAAGGTTACATGGCTGTAGCTCAAACAAATGGAAACCACCTAGAGGGAAACTGATATCGGCTCGCCCCTCGTGGGAGGTTTGGATTGGTAATTTGAACTCTTGGTGTTTGTAGAGGGTCAAATGTATGAACATCTCCCCTTGCAAATGGAAACAAAGACCAAGACTCTCTAGTTTTGAGCCACACCCGCATGGGCGGCTCGTCTCTTTTAAGGTTGGACCCCAAAACGTGCGATCGGTGCGATAGGTAGGGAATGCGGGAATGAACCCAGTCCCCGAAAAAAGGAAACTGCTTGGATGGTTTTCTAGAGGTCATCCCATTTCTCACATTTCTCTGAGCACCAGCAAGAAAAACCATGGCAGCGGAGTCCTTTCGGCTTCCCTTTGGGGGGTAGCCCTTTTGGTTGGTTTGAAGGAGAGGCCAAAAGGAAACCAACCACGTGATTGCGTCCCTCAAAAAAGACAGCCTCTTGTGGAAGGCCAATGTTTTTGGGGTGGAGCCTGCCCTGATTTGCCGTCAGTATCAGCGCTGTATGAAAGCTTTGCTGCACTTGTGACAAGCGTCAGTTCCACTGTCAACCGAGCCCCTGCAAGAACCACCAGTCCTCCCCCTTTCCCCCACCCCACACCCACCTCTCCAAAGGCAACACTTGATCTCAGAATGAAGGTGACTCTTGGCAAGGGTGGGTCACGGTGGGTCCATCTGTCTGCTAAACCACTGGTTTTGAAGGAGCTAGCATGCCTCAAGGGTTGCTTCAACACAACTTAACTACAAAAAGTGCGCCTGGCGTTCCCAACTCAAATGTTTGATTTCCGTGAGCCGCCTTCGTGTGGGTCCCCACGGTTCATTCTTGTCGATTTTGATCAAAGGCTCACACAAAAGGAGGCCGATGCCCCTCGGGTATGAAAATTGGATCCCCGGAATATCTGGATGCCTCGGAAAGTGCACAGAAGAATGCTACAAGAATGCCAACATGCTCAAACTGTGTCACACTTGCCGGAATCTGCTGTTGGGGCATCTAACATGCTGACATGGCTAGGAATGAGAAGTGCCTTTAAACCATCTTCCGCGCTTTTAGGGGGCGCTATGGGCAAAAAACCGAAAGAAATGGACCCTCGACCCACAGGCCGCCTTCTCCAGGCTCTTGACCACCTCCGCGAGATCCCGGTCCAGTGGCGGGCTCACGCCCCGGCACTCCTCAGCAAACAATACGCCGATAGGGCGCGCCGTTGTTGCAGGGGACTGAACTTAAAGGAGAACCAACAAGGAAACTCGTCTCTTCTTGGGTGGATTTAAAGGAGAACCAACAGGAGACTCGTCTTTGGGCGGATTTAAAGGAAGACCAACAGGAAACTCTGCTTTGTTGGGTGGATTCAAAGGAAGACCAACAGGAAACTCTTCTTTGTGGGTGGATTGAAAGGAAGACCAACAGGAAACTCTGCTTTGTGGGTGGATTTAACAAAAGACCAACAGGAAGCTCTTCTTTGTGGGTGGATTTAAAGGAAGACCAACAGCAAACTCTGCTTTGTGGGTGGATTCAAAGGAAGACCAACAGGAAACTCTGCTTTGTGCGTGGATTCAAAGGAAGACCAACAGGAAGCTCTTCTTTGTGGGTGGATTCAAAGGAGAACCAACAGGAAGCTCTTCTTTTGGGTGGATTTAAAGGAAGACCAACAGCAAACGCTGCTTTCTGGGTGGATCTAACTCTCAGGAAGCTCGTCTTTGTGGGTGGATTTAAAGGAAGACCAACAGGAAACTCTGCTTTGTGGGTGGATTGAAAGGAAGACTCTGCTTTGTGGGTGGATTTAAAAAAAGACCAACAGAAAGCTCTTCTTTGTGGGTGGGTTTAAAGGAAGACCAACAGCAAACTTTGTGGGTGGATTCAAAGGAAGACCAACAGGAAGCTCTGCTTTGTGGGTGGATTTCAAGGAAGACCAACAGGAAACTCTGCTTTGTGGGTGGATTTAAAGGAAGACCAACAGAAAACTCTCCTTTGTGGGTGGATTGAAAGGAAGACCAACAGGAAGCTCTTCTTTTGGGTGGATTTAAAGGAAGACCAACAGCAAACGCTGCTTTGTGGGAGGACTTAAAAAAGACCCTCAGGAAGCTCGTCTTTGTGGGTGGATTTAAAGGAAGACCAACAGGAAACTCTGCTTTGTGGGTGGATTCAAAGGAAGACCAACTGGAAGCTCTGCTTTGTGGGTGGATTTAAAGGAAGACCAACAGGAAACTCTGCTTTGTGGGTGGATTTAAAGGAAGACCAACAGGAAGCTCTTCTTTGTGGGTGGATTCAAAGGAGAACCAACAGGAAGCTCTTCTTTGTGGGTGGATTTAAAGGAAGACCAACAGGAAGCTCTTCTTTGTGGGTGGATTTAAAGGAGAACCAACAGGAAGCTCTTCTTTGTGGGTGGATTTAAAGGAAGACCAACAGGAAACTCTGCTTTGTGGGGGTGGATTTAAAGGAAGACCAACAGGAAGCTCTTCTTTGTGGGTGGATTCAAAGGAGAACCAACAGGAAGCTCTTCTTTGTGGGTGGATTTAAAGGAAGACCAACAGGAAGCTCTTCTTTGTGGGTGGATTCAAAGGAGAACCAACAGGAAGCTCTTCTTTGTGGGTGGATTTAAAGGAAGACCAACAGGAAGCTCTTCTTTTGGGCGGATTTAAAGGAAGACCAACTGGAAAGCCAGCACCTACCGGGGTACCCTAAACAGTTTGCAGGCGGATTCATCCCAGTCGCAGTGCGGGCATTCAGCCGCAAGTGATCCCTCAGCGCCCAAGGAGGTACCAAGTACACAGGCGCCACCGGCTCCACAAGCTCATCCTCCTCCTCCTCCTCCTGCTGTATGAATGTTCTTCAACATGGCGGCCCCCGCCCTCTTTGTTGTTTGAAGGGCAACATGGAAACAACCCCATGTTGGATCATTTGGGCATGTTCATATTTTGAAAAAATAGATAAATAAACATGCGGAATACACACAGCCAGTTCGGGTGTTTTGCTGGCCATGGTCACAGCTTCGACCCCTCCTTTTTGGCGCGCACGGGGGAACCCCGGGCTCCTCCTCCCAGGTCTCACCGATACGGTGCACAGGGGGCATCGCGGACTTCTCCGTGTCACCGCTTTGGAAACGGAGCCATCCTGACGTTGAAGCCGTTGGATGCGTATCAAGCCCAGTGTCAGAACAAGTGATATATTATATTGTGTAAAAATAATAATAATAATAATAATAATAATAATAATAATAATAATAATAATGATAATAATGATAATAATAATAATAATGATGATAATAATGATAATAATAATAATAAGAATAATAAATAATAAGAATAATAATAACAATAATAATAATAATACATAACAATATATATATATATATATATATCATGGAGCCAGAGAGGAGAGAAAGGAGAAAAAAAGGCGCTTCCCATCCACCTCTGCCCCCTTCTTGCCCCGGCCTGAACCGCATCTGGCCAAGAGCTCGGCGGTCTCCGCCGGCTCGTGGCTCGGCTCGGACGGATTCGACTCCTTCGAGGGATTCGTCCGCGTCCAGTCCTGCGGAGCCACCGGTGGCCTTTTGGAAACATCGATGGCCCCATAAGCCCCATCTAAACCAGTACCATCTACTTTTCACGAAACGAACCTAAGGACACCTATGAGGGGAGCCCGCTTTTTCACCTGAGTCTCAGCTGCATGCAGGACGCGGGGTAGGGAGTGCCAGAAAAATAGGGGGGAGGGGGGGGGTTGGTCAACCTCGGTTTAAAACAATGCTGATCTTGGCAATGCAAGAAAGAGACAATGCAAGAGACATGTGTTTGCCAGGAAGGCAAGCCTACTTGGATAAATAAGAGCTTTTGAAAATGCATCCCAGCCCGTCCAGCTGCTCGGCTTGGCTCTCCAGTCGTTCCGATTGTTCGCGACTGTCAGGTTCAAGCTCTCGCGCATCAAGCTTGGGCGGCACGCTAGGCTCTTCTGTCACCTCCGCTCTCCGATCAACACGTCATGGCTTTGGTACTGCCAAACTTAACAGCGTCTGCAAGCATCCTGGCAAGAAAGCTTCCAGCTCGAGTTGCTCGCCGGCCTGCGCTTGGTCTGACCCCTCGTTCGATGCCTGGTAGAGAGATTGGCTCCGTGATGGCTCCTGGTGCGCGAGCAGCCGTCATTGTGAGGAGGGGCGCACATCTTATAACCACCTCTTTGATTGCATGGCCTGTGGCTCTTGTTTGTGAATCGGTAAAGCAAAACATGCTTGGAGCTCAGCGCTGTGATATGTCTTGCATTTACCTAATTCCCTCACCACTTGTTTGCACGTCTGTACGCCCTTCGTCGCTTCTCTTCACCAGCCTCCCACCTGGTTGCCCCTGCCAGTGGACCCGCCTGCCTACTTCCCTTTGCCTGTCTACCTGGAGTCTGTTGATCGTCAACCGCTTGCCTCCAGGCGACTCTGAGAGCTGTGGTCAGTGCGCGCCAGCGTTGCTGGGTGCCGCATCTGCTGAGAATCACCTTGCAACGTGCAACTGCCTCGCAATGATCGAAAGGGCTGACAAGAAGCCTGCCTGCTGACGCACTACTTGAGTGAGCTTCTGCATATGAGTTCGTCGAAGTCGAGGTTCCTGGCTGACACACGACCTTCTGAGAGAGAGAGGGCGTGTGATGTAAAAAAGTAGATGGCCCCAGTCAAGTACAAGCCCAAAGCTGCAGATTCCGTCCTTCCATTGCTGGCGGCAGGCCTGTTGCAAGGGCCAATCACAAAAGAGTCGAAGATATTCAAGAAAAGCTACCACCTGGCACACGCTAAATGCAAGCCAAAAGTGCTGTCACCTTCCGTCTGCTGGGACATGGATGCGCATCCGCAACCAGCCTTCCTGCTCAGCTTGCACCATCTCCTCGCAGTGTGTGTCTAGCACGCGTCTATACACCTGCCTGCAGCTAGTTTCCGCCCATGCTGGCTTGTGAGCAAAGCAAAGCCCCCATTGTCAACACTCTCCCACTCCTCTTCGGCTGCAACACGCAGATACTGCTCGCGGGTGTCTGCAACGGGACATGGCTCGCGGTAGGTTCCAAGCAAGTGAGAATGGGTCAGCATTGCATCCCCAAATTGGCAATATCACGACTACTCCGTACAGTGTACAGAGATAAGTTTGATGCGTGTGTGTATTCCCCATGCAACCTGCTTTGCCATATGATGATGAGCAAGAGGATGCTGATGATGATAACGACATCGACAATGATGATGATGATGATGATGATGATGATGATGATGATGATGATGATGATGATGATGCTGATGATGATGATGATGATGATGATGACGACAGTGACAGGAGTGACGACACCTCCAGTTCTTGACAATCATGACAACTACGACAACGACAACGCCGACAATGATGATGATCGTGATGATGATGATGGTGATAATGACGTCCACAGTGACAAGGAGAACTACGATGACGAAGACGATGATGATGATAACGACCACAGTGACAAGACTGACGATGCATCCAGCATTGATGACCCCATCCAGCATTGACGATAAAAACGGCCACGACGACGACGACGACGACGACGAGAACGAAGATTACAATGATGATGATGATGATGATGATGATGATGATGATGATGATGATGATGACGATGACACCTCCATCAACGATGACAATCATCACGCCGGCGACAACGACACAACGACGGCGACGACGATGATGATGATGATGATGACCACAGTTATAAGAATGACGATGGTCCAGTGACTATGACATTCACGACATCATGATCCTCCTCCCCCTCATCATCATCATCATAATTATCACCCTCATCCTCATCCTCATCATCATCATCATCATTGTCACATCATCGTAGTTGTTGTCGTCGTGGTTGCCATCAGTGGAGGTATCGTCATTTTGTGACTGACGTCGTCATCAGCATCATCATCATCATCATCATCATCATCATCATCGTCGTTGTCGTTGTCGACATGATTGTCATCGTCACTGGGGGTGTGACTGTCGTCGTCATCATCATCTTCGTCATCGTTGTCGTCGTCGTCCTGATTGGAGGTACCATGATTCTTGTCACTGTCGTCATCATCGTCATCGCCGTCATTGTCCTCATCATCGTCCTCGTAGTCGTTGCTGTCGTCGTTGTCATGACTATCATCGCCACTGGAGGTATCGTCATTCTTGTCCCTGTGGGACAACAATGACGATACCTCCAATGACGGTGACAATCATGACCACGACGACAACGATGACGACGATGATGATGATGACGTTGACAGTGACAAGAATGACGATACCTCCAGTGACAATGACCATCATGATAACGACCACGACGACGAGGAGGACTACGATGATGTGATAATGATGGTACTGACGAGAATGATGAGAATGAGGATGAGGATGAGGATGAGGATGAGGATGATGACGACGACGACGACGATGATGATGATGATGATGAACGACTGTGACAAGACCGGCGATATCTCCAATGACGATGACAATCAAGACGACGACAACGAGGACGAAGATGAGATGACAACGATGACGACAAGGATGATGATGATGATGATGATGATGATGATGATGATGATGATGATGACGATGTTTATGATGACTACGACAGTGGCAAGAATGACGATACCACGATGACAATCATGACGACGACAACGACGATGACTAAGACAACGATGACGACGACGACGATGACGACACGACGATGACGACACGACGATGACACAGCGTTCGCTGTTGTGACCTTGCGAAGCAAAGAGAGCTGCCAGAAAACCCGCCTGCGCGTGATGCTGGAGCTGAGAGTCGGTTGTCGTACGAGTCTGGGCCATTCCTGCTGTTCGAGGTCTGGCGGGAGAAGCTCTCGGAGTTTGGATTCTCTACGAATCTGTTTGCTCGCGTGGCAAACTTGCCGAAGCCAGTCACCGGCGAGATCTGCCGCCCAAAAGAGATCTGCCTCTTCAAGTCGGAGATCTGGCGTTTGAAGTCCTCGTCGTTCCATTCCTCACCACACTCGGCGTCGATGTTCATGCGCTGGACAAACTGCGTGAGTGGTGACCGTGTGCGCCCCTCATCCTGCGGCTTCACCGCCCGCACCAGGAATGGGCACTCCACGCGAACCGGCGTCACAGGCCGCGAGGGCGGGCTGCGGCTTGCGGGGCGCGAGCGCCGGAGGTCCCGGAAGTCCCAAGGGTTCAAGGCCGTGTCCAGAGGCTCCGTGCCCAGAAGCTCAAAGCCCTGGACCTCCCGGTCTGACGGATTTACCTTTTGGCCTACCAACTCCCACCCCCCTCCACCCCCCGACATTTGGGGACGAAACCACGGACGCCTTGCAACAACACCTTCCAATGGCTTCCCAACAGCTTGTGTACTGTATCATCCAGCACCTGCGGATTCGGTCCCACCCCCATCCCCGGCAGCCTCCAGCACCGGCTCCGGGCACGTCTCCTCCTCGGTGGGGGACGGCCTCCGCAGACGGCGCCGCCGAGCTCGGCTGGTCTTGGCACCAGCGGCGGCAAAGGGCTCCAGGTCCGCCACCACCTTGCGCTTGATCTCCACCCTCTTGGACACCGGCCTCGAGCCAGAAACACAAAAACCGACTCACTGGGTTCTTGGGTCTGCGTATGTGTATGTATGTATGTATGCATGCATGCATGCATGCATGCATGCATGCATGTATGTATGTATGTGTATATGTGTATGTGTATGTGTATGTGTATGTGTATGTATACGTGTATATGTGTATGTCTGTATGTGTATATGTGTATATGTGTATGTGTGTACGTGTGTATGTGTGTATGTGTGTATGTGTGTATGTATGTGTGTATGTGTGTATGTGTGTATGTGCGTATGTTTGTATATGTGTATATGTGTATATGTGTATATGTGTATATGTGTATAAGTGTATGCATGTATGTATGTATGTATGTATGTATGTATGTATGTATGTATGTATGTATGTATGTATGTATGTATGTATGTATGTGTGTATGTATATGTGTATGTATATGTGTATGTGTATGTATATGTGTATGTATATGCGTGTGTATAGGTGTATCTATATGTGTATGTATATGTGTATGTATATGTGTATGTATATGTGTATGTAGATGTGTATGAATATGTGTATGCATATGAATATGTGTATGTATATGTGCATGTATATGTGTATGTATATGTGTATGTATATGTGTATGTATATGTGTATGTATATGTGTATGTATATGTGTATGTATGTATGTATGTATGTATGTATGTATGTATGTATGTATGTATGTATGTAAGTAAGTAAGTAAGTATGTATGTACTATGTATCTATGTATCTATGTATCTATGTATCTATGTATCTATGTATCTATGTATCTATGTATCTATGTATCAATGTATCAATGTATCAATGTATCTATGTATCTATGTATCTATGTATCTATGTATCTATGTATCTATGTATGTATGTATGTAAGACAACAAATAAACTCGCTGGGCTTTCTCGGCTTCTTGCGTGTGTCTCACTGGGCTCTTGTGTGTTTGGGTGTGTGTGTGTGTGTCTGTCTGTGTTGTTTGTTTGTTGCTGTTTCTGCTTCTAGCTGTTCGAGATGAATCGACACGCCCGTCAGAAGGCTTTGCAAGGGGAAGCTGTTTGACCACAAAGCCTGCAAGGTAACATTTAAAAAAAAAAAAAAAAAAAAAGCGCGCCTCCCGAAAAAGAACCCCGATTTAGAGGCCCTGAATGATCAAATATGTCTTGCTTCCTCGGGCGATCAAAAGTAACCCGCGTGGAAGCGGATCGAAAACGCCACGACCTTCACACTCCAAAACGCAGATACTGTTCTAGCGGTTGATTCCTTGTCCATTCTTTTCAAGCATCCTTCTTTTAAACGACCGGCTGGTTTTTTGTGGGTTTTTGCGGGCTTTCCTGAAAAGAAGGATCCCTGGAAAGAATGGGGAAGCTTGCCCTAGAACTGTGTATGTTGTTGCATGATGTTACATTTACCCAATCCCAAGCAATCCAGGGATCTTGGCCTGCAGCGATGCGGAGACTCTCTCCAGGCATGCACTACAACTCCATTTGGGTATGAGTCAAAATCGAGAAAGAAAAGGAGGGTGGGCTTTCCTCCAACATGGTTTGGCCACTTGGCCACTTGGGGATGAATCAAAATTAGGCCACCCAAAAACCGCAGGTGGTTTTAGTCCTCGCCTCAATCTACCACACCCAAACCCCCATTTTTTCCCTGTTACCCAACCTTTTGACCCTCACACAGTCACTTGCTTTCGGCTCTCAGCTTTCAGCTTTCAGGCCTGCCGCCCTTGGCGTCGGGCTTCCAGACCACCTGTTTCTCAAAATGGACTCTTGTGGATGGTTTCCTTCAAAACAATTGCGAGTCACATGGAACATGATCAGAAATTGCAACGAATGTCGAACGGTTGCTTCTGTTGATTGATGGGAGGGTATCTGGGGGGTGTTCCCCTGCAAAAGTGGTGATGCCCAACTCCCAGGACACCCCCGTCTAAAAATGAGGCTTGTATTGTATATGGGCCAATGGGGTCAACACTCCAATTCCCCTACCTAAAGAAATCTCAATTGAAATAATTTTGAGGACCCCTCCGAACATCGAACGGTTCCTTCAGTTACTTGGTGGGTCCCCTTTGCTGTAAACAAACCAACCAACCATACTCAACCACAAACCCATGGCAATTTAGCTGCAAATCAGAGGGCTTCCCGCTTCTTCGCACTCCTCTTGGTTTCCTTTTGGTCGCCTCCGTCAACCCCAAAAAGACCGCCGCTGTGCTGCCCTACGGGTTTGGCGGCCAGCCCCACCTGGGGCTCGATGTCCGGGCAGAGCTGCTCCCGCCCCTTGCGCCGCTTCTGCCGCCGCACGGACCAGTTGAACCCCGCCGCCACGAAAGCCTCGAAGACGGAGGCGCGGCGGAACGCTGGCGGGTCCTCACGCGCGAGGCAGCATGGTCTACATATGATAGAGACGGCAAATACATACATATATATATATATATATATGTATATATATATATATATATGTGCACATACATGTATGTATACATTCATGTTAAGAGACACATGCCCTTGGATACATGTCACGGTAGTACAGCTTGTACATGGCCGTGGCTGTACATCACCAAGGCCTTGAGCCTCTACAATTGCCAGAGTGGAAAACAGGTTGCTACAGCCGCGCTGATACACGACACAGGTCCTCCACAGTAGGTTCACAGGTTACATCAAGTTTAACATGGTAGCGGAGCACAGCTGACTACAAGCTCCTTCACACCTGGGAAAGATCCAACCAACCAAAGTACACAGTAGCACAGTAAGTGACAATGGCGGCACAATGAAGCGCACAACAAGCACAACTCCAATAGCAACTTTCAGGAGCGCACAAGTACAGAATATCACCTCCACGATTCAGTGGAGAATACACCACTTTCGAAGAATGGAAATACAAGATGACAGCCATACCTCGGTTTGCAAGAGTCATCATACAACAGACTACTGGCACAAGCCGAACAATCAGCACAAGCAATCACAAGCGACCAACTGGAACAAGCCGCACCAGATCAGGAAACAGCAGACAAATGGCTACAACTCAGTGGAGACCTACACTTCCTGCTCGTCAACACATGTGACGGAGCAGCATCAACAATATGCAGACAGAACATGCTCGGCAATGGTTTCGAGACATGGAGACAACTACATCTACGCTACGCACTGCCACTTGGTACAAGAAGCATTGGTTACCTCACCAAGCTACTCAAACCACAACTGGAGTTCGAGAGAGCTTTACAACATGGGAGTTTCAACTCGCCAGTACGAACAAGACGCAATCCTGCTCAACGAGACAAAAGGCCCACTACAACAGCATTTGCAACCCACATCCATCGGAACTACAACCCGGTGGAGACTACTGGAACACAGAAGGAATATACTGGAAGCGAGTCCACGTACAACCACGCACAGCCTACTACATACCAGAGCAAACAGACGATGGACCAGACGTCTCTAAACTGAGCACGTACTGGCTGACAAAGATACAACCAACACATGTGATACTACAATCAGATCAGGAAGACTACCTGGTCGCACTTACAAAGGCAGTGGCAAACACAATGGGGAACATAACCACACGCACTTCACCGGCATACAGTTCACAATCACAAGGAGGCGTAGAGCGAGCACACCGCACCCTCTTTGGACAGGTACGAACACTGAGAGCACAAATCTTCCAGAACTACAACAGGACAATCTACAAGCTTCTACAACAGATGGCACAAAGAGCAACACACTCCACTGTGTGAGTTTGGCGAAGCCGTACAATATATGGTCTCGTCAATAAAACAATTCCCAAAGCTAGAACCACGCTTCTTCACAGGAATATGGCTAGGGAAGGATACAACCACCATCGAATCCCTGATAGGGATATACAACAAGATCATACGCGCACGTACGATACGACGACAGATCAAGCCACACAAGTACAACCAACAACTCTTCGATGTGATCAACATGGGACCATGGAATACACCAGCACCGGCACTCACTACGCCGACAACGCCGAAGACAACCACGCCGACAACACTGCCATTACCACAACGACGACAGCAGGCAGCAAAGCAACACAAGGATGCAACCACGAGCACATCATCAGATGGCAAGCTCAACACAGGCGAACAAAAGGATGAAGGCTCGCCAAAGAAACAACAGAGAACACAGAAACCTACATCGCCGGTGGCAACTGCTCCACCAATGACACAACGACCAGCATTGCCAATGCCTACATCATCAACAAGACCACTACCTGATGAAGTTACAGAAGGCAGCACAAGCAAACAACAGAAGACAGCAACAGGAGCATCAGAAAAGGAGAGACCCACTACAGGAGAACAACCATAACGCAAGATGAGGATCAATGCAATGACAATCAACACACGGGACGGCAAACATGTCGAGACAACATCAAATGAGGATCCACTGGAGATAGAAAATGAAAGGACACTACTGGAAACCATACTACATGGCACAGAAGGACTGGATCCAACAAAGGTAGCAACAGGGATGAAGAAGGAGATACAACAAATGAAGGAACAAGGAGTCTACACCGAAATAGACGGCAACACACTCACGACAGAACAATGGTCCAACATCGTAGAATCCGGATGGGTACTACGACCAAAGCAACAAGAAGTACGAGCACGAATGGTTGCAAAAGGGTACACTGAAAACATCAGCGACAATGACCTCATCTACGCAAGCACACCACTGTTCTGTATCCTAAGGATACTTCTTACAATGGCACTGTCGTACAACTGGTCAGTACGCACAGGAGATGTCAGCGTAGCATTTCTACATGCACCAGCAGCAACACTCAACATCATCATGAAACCACCACCTGAGTTTTACGACGACAACAACAAACACATCATGTGGAAACTGAGCAAAGCAATCTACGGCGTGAGGTCATCACCCAAACAATGGCAAGACCACATAGCAGAAGTGCTTACAGCACTCGAGTTGACACGACTCAAAACAGACTCGAACGTCTACAGCAACAAAGCAGGCACGGCTTACATCATGATCTACGGTTCATTGGAGAACAGAAGGAGATAGACATCCTGTTTGACAAGATCATGAAACATGTCCTACTTCGACCAACAGGACAGCTCACAACCGGCAAAACAATCCTCCTGTCTTGCATTTGCACTGTTGGTCTGAGCGCGTGTTTCCAGTATCTTGTACCTTGAGATATCGTATCATGCGCTTGAGTTTCTTGTTGTCCATCTGTGTTGGTGCTTGTAGTGATCTGGCCAATTCTTTTGCTCCATAGCTGATGTCTGGCCTTGTGTATGCTAGCCATTGTATCTTGCCAACCAAGCGCCTGTAGGCTGAATGTTGTTCCTGGTCAAGAGCTGTCATCGACATTTACACAGATGCAAATTGGGCATCATGTGAAACAACACGCAAGAGCACAACAGGATTTGTCATACATTTCCTGGGAGCTACAATTCACTACGGAAGCAAAACACAAGCAACAATAGCCCTGTCATCAGCAGAGTCAGAGCTATACGCAATTGGTACAGCTGCACAACAACTGGTCAAGGACAAGATCATCACAATGTGCAAGATAAGGTCAGAACACAAACCCTCAGACACACTGACAAAGTCTGTCCCAACCGACACACTCCACAGACACCTGTACAAGGTAGGCTTGCCCAGCCAACCTTGACAACAACAAGCACGACAACAACAAGAGTATCACCCACAGTCTGCACAGTAAAGTTTGCACAGTATGTTTTAAACATCAGTTGCACAGGTCACGCACTTTCGTTTTACTACATGTCACCCGGCTAAACCACCTTTTATGGTAGCTGCATTGCCATGGAACTACCCCTGCGCCTTTTACTCTACTTTTGGGTACAACTGCGACCCCGTTTTGCGATACAATCTCTTGACTGTGTTTTTACACGACCGCTTGACAGAAGCTTGAATACATGCTTCATCACTGCAGCTATTTGCATCGTTCTTGTACAGCTAGAAGGAGACACATCGCCAGGTCAACAATGGCTCATCGTTCTTACAAGTCCATCCACGAGCCCATGACCGTACCGGATGGTTTTACACCGGAGCCTACAGAGGGCAATCCAGCATACATCGCTCCTGAGGAGCCAAGCGACTACACCGCCGTGCTCATTCCGCTTACAACGGAACAGTCATGACTACAGTTGCAACCAAGGAGGCGCACAGGGTTGACAAGATCCCCGGCTACATGCGCGCCCCCACACTCGGTTTCATCGGCATGTTCTACAGCATCATGGACGCTGTGGGATACATGAGTTGGCTCATTCACAGTGGCCATGACAGCACAGAGCACATGAGCAATTGCTACATCTACCGCGTTTCGCTGCATACAGCTGAGATTTTTGCAGCGTGTGTACGAGAAGAAGATTTCCATCTTCAACCGCGGTTACATTGGGCTTGTGTTACAGCTGCATGAACACCACACTTGGGTCATGACAGAGATCGAGAGGAATACAGGCACGTTCTTTCGCATCGGTGGCGACATTCGAAATTTGTACCGAAGTTACAACTTGGAAAATGGCTACATGGTTTTGCAGCACTTCGTTATCAACATCGAGCACATGTTGGGTCTGGAAGACATTCTCCATGGCCATCAACCAGCACACCTATGCTGCGATACATGTCAGGAGAGGCTACAATCTTGGCCCCTGGACAGGCAGGCTACAGCGACCAGCGCATGAGAGAAGTGGACAGTGCTGTGATCCTTTCACAGCACAACGGATACAAGATCATAAACAGCAAGAGAATTCAGGAAGAGAACAACTGAGGATGTTGTACATGAGGATTACAATTTTGGGCCCTCGAGGCACAATGCATTTTAGAGATACAGTTGAAATACTGTACTCTAAGGAGGCGTGTTAAGAGACACATGCCCTTGGATACATGTCACGGTAGTACAGCTTGTACATGGCCGTGGCTGTACATCACCAAGGCCTTGAGCCTATACAATTACCAGAGTGAAAAACAGGTTGCTACAGCCGCGCTGATACACGACACAGGTCCTCCACACTAGACTCCCAGGTTACATCAAGTTTAACACATTCACATTATGTATATATATATATATATTTGTTGATTTATATTACATCACATTATATATATATATGGTCAAGGGTTCGCAGGTCCCCCCCATACATGTATATCATCTGTGTATATACATATGTGTATGTATGTATGTATGTATGTATGTATGTATGTATGTATGTATGTATGTATGTATGTATGTATGTATGTATGCATGCATGGATGTATGGATGCATGCATGCATGCATGCATGCATGCATGCATGCATGCATGCATGCATGCATGTATGTATGTATGTATGTATGTGCATGCATGTCATATTTCAGTATGTTACATGTGGTTGAATGTATGTACTCGGTCTCAGGTTCGCTCGCCTCCTGCACCAACCAGCCGAGTCCACACTCTTCATCTATCTCTCAGCCAGCCTAACTCACTCGAAACTAACCAACCCTGAACTAACCCTCCAACCCGTAACCAATTTCAGGGGACGGTGAATACGATAAACTTGCATGGTACTTTATATGCCTCATTAAAATATCGTGCTACAAAGACACTTACAGAGCCAAAAGCAAACACACTGAGGGCAGCGCTCATTTTCGCGCAGACTGCTCACATCATGCCTTGCCCCCTCCAGGCGCACAGTTATGGGAGATCTCCGACATTTGCTGGGCTCGGGATCAACCGCATGGAAATTTAGGATGATGCAAACCAGGCGTTGCCGCTGACGCGGTATATCAACTCCGGGCATCTATATGCATTCAAAGGCATCGCACGTCAGGGAGCCGTCAGCGTAAGATAGCGTGAGCAATCTTCACCAAATACTTACCCCTTAAAACTCCAAGCCCTGGGGAAGTTAATCTTTTGCAGACATATCCCAAAAGTTGAAAAGTTGTGTGTTTTAAGAGGTAAGAATAAAGAACACGTAGCATATAAAAGGCACGCGTAAGATTCGATCTGATGAAGCATGAAAAGAAGCAAAAGCAAGCAAGCAAGCAAGAAGGCACAAAACCTAACTGCAAGAGCAGGATTGCTCGGGACTCACTCTGGTCAAGTTCTTCGGACTGTCTCCCCCGGTCGTGAAGTCACACAGCGCATGAAGCGACACGTTGCCCGTTCCTCCTCCTTGCCATCTTCAGCTTTGACCACGGTTTCCACGTTGGCATCCTGCGAGCGGCTGTGTACTCAGGCCTGATAGTCGTCATAGCGCAGATTCCTCATCTGCTCTGGCATCCTTTTGCTGTTCTCATAGGGAATCCCGTTAGATGACGTCTCAATGACGAAATAAAATAGTATCAGTGTTTACCCCACACTTCAGGAAAAACATCTGAGCGCCTGCTGGCCCTCGGTCGCATCGGCCTCTTCCGCCTGCTCAGGCAAGATCCACGCATGTGGTGTTACAATCGCAGAGCGCGTGAGCTGGAGGTCGTAGAGAGTTGAAGGGGGTATCTACGCGGAGGCTGGGTTTGGAAACCTGTACATCGCATCAAGCCCTGACTGGTGGGCAAGTCTCTATATGGCTGTGGGTCAAAAATCGGTACCCAAAACGGAACCCTGGTAAATGGAAACATGGCGTAAAACCGGCGGTCCAATTCCTGGTGGCTTAATTTTGACCCATGCCCCATATGCCGTCTCTCCAGGCCTGCGGCCGCAGAAGTTCGCCATGGAGCTCCTCCATGAGCTCCTTGCAAGTGACCAGGTCTTGAAACGCAAAAAAAAATGAGCCATGGGCCTCCAAATAAACTGGCAGCTGGAAGATTCCATTGACCTTCCTGGGCCACATCACCTCGCACTCACTGCGAGACTCAATGAGCAGAGACGTCTGATCTGAGCCCCTCACAGCGCCAGACTGCGCAGGAAACTCTTTCGGGACTGGCAGTATCCGGTATGGGCAGGCTGTTTTGTTGAGCGGTTTGCAGTATTTGCTTCGCGGCCGACGAATATGGTTGGCTGGGTTGCTCCGGTTTGGTGCTTGGCTGTGTCTAACTTTGGGTGTGGTGATGGCTTCTGGCTGTCTGCAATGTGATGGCCCTGACAATGGTTTGCTCTCTAGATATGGTATTTCGCAGTGGCTATAGTGGGTTGTCTGACACGGGTGTTGTCTCCTGTCCGGCGCCCATGTCGCGGGCCTTGCTTGTGGCTGGCCAAGTTGCAAGCTGGGTGAAAGCTGAAACATATCACGGCGCACGCTCATCAATGCAACCATCTGCGAAACTCCTCGCAAGCCTCGAGCGTAGCTCGCAAGAGCACAGCTAGCAACGAAGAGCTTCTGGGGAACCAGCGTCCATGTCACTCAACTGAAAACACATGTGCTGCCCAAACGCGGCTTTTTGTTGCACCTGCGAGGTAGCTGCTAGGCCAAGGCAACCTGGGCTATTGCACAAAACCACCGATGGCAAGCCGTTATGTCATCTATCATTTTTCGGAGTACCCTTTTTTCAGTTGCTTTAAAAGGACATCAAAAGGAAACCAACCATTTCAGGTGGTTAGTACTCGTACCCTACATCGAGACAAACCCATTTCATTGCAGCACGAATCTACACGCCATTGGAAATGCACGGCTACGTGGCCGTGCTCTTACTCTGAATGTCTGGATTCACTGCTGCCACAATCCAGGAAAAGCCGCGCGCTTAAGGACACCGACATTTTACTTATTGCTTATCTCCTTTTTTTCTTTTATTTTCTTTTGGGGCGGGGCGGGGGTCCCTTTTTTAGTGACTCATACATTTGTCTCCCCCAACATGTCTAGTTCTTTCGCCATGAAGACCAAGGAAGCCATCCTTCAAAGCCACCACCCGACTCCCTTTCACAAGCAACCAAAAGTTCGGGTGTTTCACAAACTTAGGGACTCCCCCCTAAACCGAAGGACATCAAAACTCTGCGATACCAAATTAACTGTCATCTGGCTCTCTTTCAAGCTCGGCTTCCGATTGGTTTCCCCGCAAAGCCGTTCAAATAGCAGGGATCCCTCAACTTCCCAGGTTTGGGCCAAAAGTCATTATCGTTTCACAGGAAACCACCGGTCATTCGCAACTTTGTTTGGAGGGGGGGAATCGCCCTCCACGAGAACACGTGTGCCCGGGTCACAACCCCTTACGAGTGCCACAGTTTCACAGGAAACCACCCCCCGAATTAGGTGTGGGTCAACAATAGCGTACCCAGGTGTCCATATCCTGGTGACTAACTTTCACTCTATACTTACCTTCCCATTCTTTCCCGGCATCCTTCTTTCTAGAAAGCCTCCGGAAACCCAGGGAAGATGGCTGGTTTTTGAAAAAAACCGACGACTGAAAAAGAATGGACAAGTCAACCCCTAGACTCACCCCGCAATTTCCCAATGGGTGGTGCATTCACCTACCCCCAAATGGTACCATTGGTTTTGACCACCACAGCCATTTTGCGCAACACTAACCCGGGCCATCAGCCAGCTCTCCCGGGCAGGCCTGCGCCTCCGCCCGCGCTGCGCGCAGCTCCCGCAGCTCCTCCTCGAAGCCCTGCACAGCCGAAGTCAGCGGGGCCCCGAAAAATGGATCGTGTTGGAATCTCTAAAATTGGTGTCCTTCTGGCCCTCAAAATAAAAAAAGAAGGGGAACCTGCCAAGCTTGCGCTTTTTGTTCCTCTGGCTTCCCCGCAAACCCACCCAAGGCCCAGTTTTTCGTGGCCACTGCGAAGTGGTGCTTTCCTTTAAACCCCGTTCCAACGCAAAAGAAGAAACGCAGAGAATCACAAACCCAAATGGAGCCGGCCCACAAGATCTGGACCATCCGAAAGACTTGCAAGCGAGAAGCTATCACGGGGGGTGACAAGCAGGGCAGCCATGTTCGGGCTTCTTGGCTTTGCTTGGCCCAGCTATCGGTGCCTCGCTCCCCTGCAAGAGCACCAGGTGCCGCGCGCCCACGTCCGCCATGACCTTCGCAGACGAAGGTGGAGACTTGCCACAATCAAACATTCACAGAACCTAGCCGCAGGCAAATCCACACCAACCCAACCCAAAACACAAGGGTCAAAAAACAAGGGTCGATGATGTACAGGAAATTGGCCCCACACCGACCACAACAAGGCTACGGTTACGTGAACCACGCGGCCGTGCTTTTTGCGCACCTTCAGGCTCGGTTCTCCAACAGCCAAACGTACATTCAACGGTGTCTGGGTTTTGTAGTGCTAGGGTGGGGTGCCGCCAACAGCCAGACGTACAGTTTCAACAGCGCATCCTGTTTTTAGTGCCGGGTGGCGTCAACCGCGCAGTTTAAGTCGCCCAAGACGTAAATGCAAAATCCCACTGGCCGAAACAAGAAAGCGCGCTGTCCGGGAAGTGGGGGAAGGCAACACTGCGCTACCGTGACCAACACAAGAAAGAGCGACTGCGGCGAGCGTTCGCGCTACTTGCGACGCGTTCTGAACGCGAAAAGCTACTGGCGAACAGCCGACTGCACGATGAGTGCGCGCGGGGAACTGACACATCACAGACGTGACAAAGCCAAAAGCACTGGAAAAATCTGCCTTCCTCCGCGTCGCTAACGTGACCGCAAGTAAACCAAGGATTTCCTGGCTGGTTGCCTAGAAGAATGACAATGCTTCGCACGCAGGGCACCATTGGGACGCCAAAGAGCAAAAGAGCATAAAGTGTGTATGGCTGGCGGGTTTTGACCGACCTTACATAGTCAGTTCGCTTCACGCGCTGCTTGTACGGTCGCAGAGTATCTCACACGTTCTCTTGGTCCAGCCAAAGTGCTCGCTCGAACTCGTCTTGCAACTCCGGGGTCTTCCCTGTCCGCGAAAGCTGGACTCCCAATGACTCAGTGGGCTGAGATCTTCCCTCAGGCCTCCAGCGGCCATCGTTCGTTCGTAGAGGTCAATCCTAAGGCTGAAATATCCCATGGGTCAGCAAGAAAGAGATGAACAGCACTGTCAACAGAATGACTGACCCCCCCAACATTCTCATGGAGCTGCAAAATTTGACTGTAGGCCAAGGCTCATTTTGCTCACTTTCTTCAGCGACATGTGCTGAATCCGCAGCGCAGTAAAGAATTGCCTGCCGGATTTGATTTGTGCGTGACAAATCCATCCAGCTGTCTCCTTGCATCTAACCAGTTTGTGATGCTCATTGCACTGGTCACAGGCCAAACATTTGAGGCAAGGGCTTGCGCTGCCTAGACCGAACTCGAGACCAATAGCTCCTGAAAAGTGTCCAATACGAAACCACGCTCGCGCCATACCAGGAATGTCTTCTCGATCTTTGGCACACTCGAACCTTGCGCTTTCCGGTGGCTCCGCTCGTTTCAGCCCGTCCAAATCCGATTCTCGTCTTTCATCTCGGTGTCATAGAACTCCTTGGAGATCTTCCTTGGCCAGTCCGGCCGCTCGCTTCAGCTAAGGAGCTGCAGATCCCGCCGTGTTTGGTGCAAGGTGTATTTGCCGGGGGGCTCGAGGTCGGAACAGGCCGAGTCCGGGCTCTTGCGGGGGGGCCGGCTTGTGATCAGAACGAGCAAACTCAAGACGTGTTGCACCAACAAAAGGTTTCCGGGACCCTTCTTGGCCCAAGCAAATTCAACATCACCTCCTTGGGAGTGCTTCAAGCCGCAGCCGGAATGCAACTCAAACCCAAGCCAAGCGTCTTCTCCTGAAATTTCGTGGTGATGGCTGCAAGCTTTTGCTCGTGGGCCTTCCTCAGAGCACTGAAGGCGTCTGTCGATCACTCGGCAAAGCATGGAACCGGCAGGCAGTACAGCACGAAATTGAGTCCAAGTGCAAACTCTTTGGTGGATCGGTTCCCCCAACTTCTTGCTGGATGGGCAAAAATCACAAAATGCGCCATCCAAGTCGGGATTGAACCGTCCATCCCTGCCCATCGATTCGTGCGGATCTCATGGGATGACTTCAGGGCTCCAGTTTTTGACGACGCAGATCCCCAGAGAGCCCCTTGAAGAACCCAACCTGGCTCATGTGACTGTCACATTTTTAGGGACGCCTGGTGGGTCAAGAATCCGGTAAAACCCCCAAAATGGGTTGCCTACCCGCTCGGTACACAGAACCAAGCTGACCAAAACCTGCTCTTCCCACATGGGGACGAACGACTCACCCGGACTTCAGGCGCAGACTCCTTCTCTTCGAATTGCTTCTTGGACTCCACCTCCTTGGAGTTCAAAGTGGCGATCCTCGCCTGTGGGTGCCATGTTCCTCGAGTTGTTTGAAGGAGGGAACATGTTTGGAGAAAACAAAACAAGACAAAAAACGAAACCCATGTTGGTTTAGGTTCAACACTTTTGGTAAAAACAAAACTCGAAACGAAATCAATGTTGGCTTAGGTTCCCGACAAGTGTCTCATCAGTTTGACCCCTTGCGTACCCTTCTTCCAGCTGCGGGGCCCGTGACTTGTCTGAAGCCATCCAAAGAGAAGTGCTCTCTCTTCCACGGGTTAAAGGCTCTCAAGACGGTGCTGCACCCAATGTGATGTTAGAATCTTACAAATTGTTTGCCGCTCACTTGGCGCAAGTGCGAAGTCCAAGAGCGTTGCTCGCATAGGAATGTGTTCTCTTGCTTGACGCTTGGTCCTGCCTTGCCATCCTCCTGGATGCCCCGCAGCATCGCCAATGCAGGAGCAAGATCTGTTACCGGGCCGGGCGCCTTCGAATGGCGGCCAAACCAAACGGCCCACAGCACGCAAGAAGAAGTAATGTAAAAGTTACGGCACACATGCGCATGCGCGCACACACACAAAAAAGACATGCTAAACACAAGTAGACAAGTTATGAGATTGTTGCGGTTGAATGAGTGACGCAACACATCCCAGCGTCTCCACTTGTGTTGGGGTGCAGGCTGGAACGCAAAACGCTAAACCTTGACACATTCAAAGCTCGTCGTGCTGCGACTTTGGTTTGGTTTGGACTCCTGACTCAACCCATGTCGTCCGACTGTTCTCCGGCAAGCCGAAAGAAAACCAGGGGAGAACTCATGGAGTTTGGGCTTGTTGCATGCTCAAATACCTCGAGGCCAACGGTCAGTGACACTACTCCATGTTGAGACATCCAACAAGGTGGAATCTGCGCACTGACCCCTGATCGTGTACGACCGTCGTTGGTCCCCTGCAGCCAATCAGGGCTGCACACACACACACACACACAGCCACGGACACAGACACAGCCACACGGACACACGGACACACGGACACACAGACACACAGACACAGACACAGACACACAGACACAGAGACAGACACAGAGACACACACACACCACACACCACACACACACACACACGGCCAAGAGCGGCGACCGCATGGATCAACATTGACGCCGCCGCGGCAATCGCCTTGTGAGCGTTCGCAGGCACGACCAACTGCTGCAGCTTCAGAAGCTCAGCTTCCTGCGACTCACATAGCCACAGCTCTCACAGGACACTCCTTTTCACTTGGCCATGGGTCAAAATCCAAATACCCCCGGTGAACTTCCCAAGCCCTAAAATATAGCCTAAAATGGGTGAATTCACCTACCCCGAAATGGGATCCCAAAACGGTTTTGACAACCACACCTGGCTTGAGGAGATCTCCAGGAAGAAGCTGTCGCTGAGACGTGCCTGACCAAGGCAAAGGTTCTTCAGCTAAGGCCCAGAGGCGAGCCTTTCACGCCGCCCAGCTTCCAAAGGACCGCCGAAAGCTTGAATCCGCCTCGTCCGCCTCGATAGCCGCCTCCGTGTCACTCTTTTGCACAACCTGGTGGCCACCAAAGAGCGAAAAGCCAAGGCAGGGGTTGTCCTTGATTATAAATGAAACATGCGCAACGAGAAACCAGAAATCTAAAATCCTCTGAGTTGGCTTCATTGAGGATATGTGCATCCACTGGTGCAAAATGTCATGCCTGCGATCCTTTTGGGACAAACTGGCCACAAGGTACCCAGGACATTGCAAAGCATTTAGGGATTTACATCAAATATCACAAAATATTGCAGAACGATTCTCGTCCATCCTAGTGTGGCAAGTCGTTGCAAGACTGCTTTGACAGCTCTTTTGCAGCCTTCACAAGCGCAGTCGGGCGCTCAGCCAGCGTATGTCATGCTGAGCATGCGACAATGCTGTCACCCAGTCGAAGCAATACACATAGCAGCCTCAGGCGTCATCTTGGACTCGAAGTGGCATGAGGCGTGGTCAACCCAAGCTCGCTGCGCGAACTTCATTGTCTAACGCGGCTTATCTGCTTAAGCCGAAGTGTGCTGCCCAGGCCGCAGGATGGCCCCAAGCGATAAGCACGAACAGCAAAACTGTTTTCAAGGGATATGTCAACAATGTCCACGTCCTGCGAAGCAGTTGAAACACGCCCAGATTCGGATCACGAGAGCAACTCGCCGTTTTCGTCTAAGCCTTCAAGCGCTTGCGTGTGTCCTTGCAGTGAATTTCCTGGAGAAAGCGCCAACTTCCAAGCAAGCCGGGCTCTGGCCAAAATTATTCAGATGCTGCGCTGCTTGTCTTAAACATGCGAACTGGAAGGAAGCAGCCTTAGCCCTTCCGTACATGTGCGGAATATTCGGATTGGCCACACTCTCGAAGCAAAATCCGCAGATTTGGGCGAGAGTGCAAAAGGTGAACCCGAGCTCAGCCGCATCTCGCCTGCCATGTCCGAAACCCACCGGTGAGCAAAACGGAAAGCTGTCGACAACGTCTTAGTTGCTGATTTATTCAAAGAGAATGCAAATCTAACGAAGGGTGAGAATCTACAGTCCAGAGTGCATGCCGAGGCCCCATGGTCATGGTCTTCTTAAGCGCTTAAGCGGGATCCTTAATGGTTGAGTTCGTGACCACAATTGCCAACTTGACAAACTTAGCTAGGCAGGTCTTTTGAGCATGGAAAACGTTTGCTTCGTCTCGGATCGGCTGGGGCACACCAAGTCCTGCGGCACGGTAGGCATTGTAGCATGTGTCAGCTGCCCCGAGAGATAGCTTGACCTATCCGTCAAAGCTGTTGATTGATGTAACGAAGGCTTCCAGAGCTTGGTGGGAACCCACTGAAACCATTCCCCTTCTTGAAGCCGCCAAGACCATCTTTTGTTATGCGCACCGCGTTGGCTTCGCACTTGCATGCTTTGGCTGTGCCCTCCTGTTTAACAGGAGTCGCGAGCTGAAATGTCCAAGGGTTGGGGGGGAGGGGTATTTGAAACAGTTGAATGCTTCTACAAAGGGACCTGGGCCTCCAAGACCCTGGGACTGCGACTTCCTTGAAATCTCACGGCCTTTTGAAAAGCCTCAAGGCCACAATCTGGCAACCAGGCTCGCTAGAAAGACCATAGGCCAAAAACTTCAAATGTTTCTCAAATCGGTTTCCTCTTGGAAACCCACCCAACTGGGCTACTCCTTTTGAGACAGACCCAAATGTCAGGCACGAGCGGAGCGACTCGCAGGATCACAGCGACTCTTTTGCTTCCAGACTGTCGGCTCCTCAGCTCAAGCCAAAGTCCGAGAATGGCAACCCGGGGGCCCACAACAACCATCTTTTTTTGGTTTCCCAAACAACCAGATTCTATGATAAAATATGTTTTAGCGGAGAAAGGTTGCTTGGTGAACCACCACAAAAAAAATGCTCGTTCCGAGGCGGTCAAGTGGAGTCTTGATCAGGTGCCCCGAATGACAGCTGATTTCTTTGGCATGCGACAGGATCAGTCATGATCTGTGAGCGAACACGCTGATTGGCATCAAAAGCCGAATTCGGAAGGAGCACTGGCACGCAAAATCCTCGTGATCCGCGCATTGGTCTACATCGCAAAGCTCATGCAGAATGATGGATCCATCCCACTCCCTTCGCTATACCAAGTTGCCCGATTCGATCAGCCTCGGTCGCGAGTGAAACGTCCTGCCTCTCCCATATCAAGTCGGCTCCAAGGTCACAGGCTCGCCAACTTCAGACAAATTGGGTAACGTGGACAGAAAACAAACATGGGGGGGAGTTGTGTCTGCCAACTGAAGGGAAAAGTTCCCTATGAAAGGTCTCGCCTCACCTCATGGACACCAAAGCAAACCACCACCTTCGCAAAGCAAAAAATGATGTTGCCAAAATACGCGTGCGTCAGATTGTCCAAATCCAAGTCAACCGTTGCCATGGTAAAGACGTCTTTCCTGAGCTGCACATGTTCAGTGTGTTCTCAAGAGAACAAGAAGCCAGCTGCTGACTTTGCCCGTCACACATAAAGTTCATTTCTTGCCTGCGACTTGCTGCCAAACATACATCATACAGGCTCGGAGAAATATTTGTTGCAGGCATGCTGCGGCATGTCCTGGCAAAGCTGGATCAACCTGAGAGAAACTCGGATGACAGTCCAGCACAACTTCTTGGATACCAGAGCAACCAGTCCAAATGACTCTATCGTCAGACCACGCCTGGCCCATCAAACACTCGTTCCTCTGAAATGCTTTGTGTGAGGGCAAAGTTGAAGCATAAAACGCCCGTGCCCTTGGTGCACCCCCCTCACTCGGCTCAGTCCGCTCCCCGCGATCTCTGCCCGTGCCCTGCCCCCCGTCACACGGCTCCTGCGAGGTGACGATTAACGTGTGCTCCCGACGGAAGCACCGCTTCTGGCCAGTGAGGCAATGGAGTAGCATTTCCTGAAAGCTGGTGGAACCCCTTCAAACATCACCCTAGGATCGAGGGGTTCTTGAAAGATGGACATGACAGCCACCCACCACCTCTCTCTCTCTCTCTCTCTCTCTACGTCTTTCTCTTTCTCCCTCTCTCCAAATGACAACATTGCAGTCATAGTCACCCAAGGAACCTCAAAGCCTTCAGGCAAACTGCTTCAAGGCGCTTTGAGGCGTGTTTCTTTTGCAATCTTGAATCTTGAATCCAACAATGCGTCAAAGCGCGTTCAAGCCAACTACTATCTCACAGGCTGAAAATGGTGGTATTGGAGGGGGTCGCATGTGGGTCTGCACACATGTGCATATATATGTAATATGTATACGTAGATAGATAGATAAATAGATAGATAGATAGATAGATAGATAGATAGCTGCGCTGGTTTGGCGGGAGGGGCCCATGTCTTGGCAATGCGGCGTCAGGGGCCGGCCGATCCCTTGTTCCCAACTGGCCCCCCTTGTGCCCACTCCGCACCACCCTGATGTGTGCGTGCATGCATGCGAGCGCGCGGCGCGTCCTCGCGCCGCACGCTCTCGCACACCACCCGGCATCCCCCCTCAGCCCCACCCAAACCGGCGAGAAGTGACAAAACATAAGCTCAAGTGATATCCCCAACAGCATGCCTCTTTTTAGTGCTCGGACCACCCCGCAGCCCTCGCAGAACCTCGTGGAACCCTTGTAGAACCCTGGTGAAAACCTGGTGGAACCCTCGTAGAACCCTGGTCGAACCCGGGCTGAGACCCCAAAGCTTCCAGCTGTAGCACGGGAAACGTTTTCCGCGCAATCGCGATGGCGCAGCTTTCGCGGAAACCCCGCTCGCTTGATCGCAGGCATCCCCGCCGATGTCCATTATGGCAGGTTGCTGCAATGCCGGGAAGGCTGGGATGCTGCGACAACGGGCGGTGATGCAGGATGCTGGGGAAGCAGGATGTGGGGGATGTTGGCGGGGATGCTGGCTTTTCGGGGCGATTTACAGGGTGTTTACCATGTTTATTGAAGGTTGGGCAAAAGAGCATGGAGCCCGTCGCAAAATGGCGGGCCTGTGTCCGGATGATGCTGGGGATGCTGAGGAGGAGCTGCTGGAGCAACAAAACACTCAGCGGTAAACTACCCGCAACTGCAGTCCCAACATAGTCCACCCGCTCTCTTGGTAAACTGACCAAGTGAAAACAAGCGAAGCCTTAGACAGTCTGGCCACAGTAGCTCCAAATCCGAATCCAAGCAGGGTAGACTTTGGAGGATTCAAAATTCAAGATCTCCCAACAAAGTGATTAATCTAATCTGCAAAATTCTGGGTCTAAGACCTCTAGTAGATCAAATCAAGATCGGAGGACAGCACAAGAATACAACTACTTGACAGGAGCTTGAAGCTCAAACTTCCAGCTGGGGAGCTCCTGGTCACAAGCACTTCAAGCCATCAGCTTGTAGACAGAGAATGTCCAAACAGTGTTGTTTCACTTGGAAAAGTTTAAAAGGCAAGGATGCACATATGTTCGAAAACACGGTAAATGTCAGCAAAGTCAAATCACAACGTTACAGAGCTTCCCCCAGGCTGTTGCATGTGTTAAGCGATGTTACCCTGCTATATTGTAGGGCATGGACCCAAAACAAAGCGTGTACATAGAGTGAGAGCTTCCTAGGCAATATCAAACAGCATCACAGAGCTGCAATGCGGGCTCCTGAAAAGAGCCAACAATTGAAGGGCTTCCAGAACAACTGCTACTTAAGAAGGCGCCGACGAAACTCAAGAAGAAACAGCAGGTGCATCTTCCCAGACTCTTAGCCCAACCACCGAAATGAAGCAAGATGTTGCATGGCCTATGGGATGTCCGCCAAATCAGGAAATTCGGATCCGGGATGGTCTGATCCCCTTTCATCCTCGGAAACCTTTTAAATCCGGACAGGGGTGGTTCCTTTGGGGAAATGAACTATTTCTGAGGCCGAACATTAATCATACCCGAGCACATGTTCTCAATGCGTTCGGAGTGTCTGCACCGCCTCCCTGCCATAATGCCAGAAGCACCGCCAGTCTCCCTTGCTGCCCTGGTGTCAAGAAGGCGCAGGGCCTGCGCGGTATAGGCCAACCGCCTCTACACAGACTGCCGAAAAGGAAACTGGCGCGAGAAAAGATGCCATGCGGGACCAGGAATCAGGGACAAAAGAAACGGACCGCGTCAGTCAATTGGCACATGCTCATCCTGCGCACACCTTTTTTGACAAACAACGCTGATTCCCTGGCCCTGGCTAACGCTTGAAGCATACTTGTGAGTCACCTGTGTGCGCCGTCTGTGTGCTTCGTTTCATTTTGGAATCGCCTCTCATTCCACCAGAAAAGGAGTGCTTTTTCGCGGACTGAATAGGGCCGCAAGTTCCCAACCCCCCACAAAATCCTTGAACTACAATATGCTTGCACTGGGGAAGGGCAGGGACAACAAGAACAGCGCCCAACTGTGACCAAGCGCATCTTTGATCTTTTGTGCTGAGTCAAAGCCCGCGCACTCTAGAGGGAGCCCGCTCTGCTTTTGGAAGTGGCGACGCGAACATGCATGAGTCAGCAGTGTCCTCAAACACGACTGACAGTGTGCCAACTGTCCCGGCCTGTCCAGTACCAAAACGTCAGGATTGCCTTGCGACTCAGAACATGCCACACACTTCAAACTGCAAAGAGCAGATGGCAAACATTCTGCGACTGTCTGATGCTCAAAACTTCAATGGCTGGCTATGGCCACGCGTCATAAAAATAAATCAATGTGTGATGCGCGCCCGACCAGCCATCGTGAAACATATCCAAAGACCACAGCTCGCATGTCGTCTTGTGGGTGTGCACTGGCAAACACAATCTACCGATATTTCTAGCGAGCCCGGCGTGTTTTTCAAAATAGGGGTTCCTGTTTGGATGGAATCAAGCAGAAACACAAAGAACACCCGCCAATTGAAGGACGTCGCGTCTAATTTGGGTGCGAATTTTGATCGGGGACGCCTTGGTGGACATCGTTTAAGTGGGGATTCAGGTCCGCCAACCGCTTGCGGAGCGCTTCCCTACCAGCAAAGTCGGGCAGAGCTGGGGGGGGTGAAAGTCTCAAAAATACACCAACTTAACGCTTTCCCCCGCTTTCCCCCTCTCTCCCCCTCTCTCCCTCACTTTCCCTCTCTGTCTCTCTCTCTCTCTCTCTCTCTCGCTCTCTCTCTCTTTCTCCGTCCCTTTCTGTTTCGCCTCCTCGTCTCTTTCTCAAACAGAATACGCGTCGGCGCGCGCGCGGCGGTGCACCACGGAGAAGAGCTCCAACCTTCTGCTTGCTGGCTGCAAAGAAGCATTGGTCAAATCTGCTGATTTAAAGGCGTCCAGCGAGGCGCAGCCACCTCCAGCAACGCACGCACAAGCGCGCTTCGCAGGCCACACGCAAGTCCGCGGAAAACGCAAGAAGAACGCGCGGCATGCGATGCCACTTGGGTTCGTGTTTTCGCGCACGACATGCGTGCGAGCTCGTCGCGTCAAGGCGCCTGTGTTCAACAGCTTTACGGCTTCGGTTTTTCTGCGCCGCCACGTATGTTCACTGCGGCGGCTGTGCGCGTACCACGACAGCCGCCCTCAGGTTGTAGCTCGTCAGAGTGAGCACCAAAGAGCATATATTCACCTCAAAGATACCAGTTTTGCCAGGCGTGTTCTCTCTCTCTCTCTCTCTCTGTCTCTCCAACATCTTGGGCGCCCGCAACGTTCTGCTGGGACACACATGAGTTCGCTTTAGCAAGGCCGGCAGGCCACCGAGCTGTGAGACAGGCACCCGGCCCACGCTTGCAAAGCAGAGTGAACCCCACAGCAAAAGCTGTTTGTGGAAACAACCGCCCAAAGCGCGCAAGCGCGCAGAGCCCAATTCATACACAAAGCCACGTTTTCTGCCAGCTTCTATTCTCCAGTTCTCGCGTTTTCCAGCTTCTTCTCAGCCTTTAATGCGCAGTGCTTCAATTCTGAAAGGCCACGTGCAAGTGCACACATGCTCAAAAACAACTCAACTTCTTCCAGTACCCCGGAACTTCTTGATAAATATCCTTTTGGATAAAGTCATAGGCATGAGAACCCCCCAGCTTAAGTCTGCTCGGCCAAGCTTCGAAACATGGCCAGCAGCAGCGCCACCATCTGCCCTTGCCCTGCCTGGAGGTCAAGCATCCTGCGCAGAAGCCCAGGTGGGGGGGTTGTCTTAGCTCCGGCGAAGCGCAGGGCCTTAAATTAACGCGAAAAGAAACCGAGCTATGAGCATGCCACTCGACCCTCCATGAGAATCGGCCTCCTCTTGGGATTGAGCTGGAACCTTGGTACGGTCACACGCCGATGAGTCTCGCCTCCAACTCCGTGTGAGTCACCATCAAAATCCGGTACAAAAATGGTCGACCCAGAACCATGCAACGAATTAACAAGGCGGCCGCAGCTATTTCTGGCTGGGACTGCCCCTTACTAACCTTCACCTACCCGGGTTTTGAGTGTTGCTCACATGTTGCTCTGTTCCTCTTGGTTCGTACTTCGCCCGCTGGCATGGTGTAGACAATATCCTTCGGCGTCGTTGTGTCTGCTAGCTGGGCAGCACACCCGCCTTGCAGATCTAGCATCGTCCCCTCCCAAAGCCTAACAACATCCGCAAAAGACGCATAAACCCTACCTGAGCCAAAGAATGACCACCATGAGCTGGCCGGCCTTCATTCAGCCCCAGGTTTGACCAAACCTTGGTCTCAACCCCTTGTTTCTTCAAACGAAAACCCGAAGGTTTGTGGAAAAAAGAAACACCGGCGGTTTCAGACATGACCCAAAGCTCTGCGAAAAAACACGGGTGGCTTTCACACATGGCCAGGGGTCAACATCCCGTACCCCCAGTGAACATCCCAATCCCCACTAAAGTAAGTTCTAGAATGGGTGGTGCACCTACCCCAAAATGGGATCCCATAACGGTTTTGACCCAAACTCAAGGCCCCCAAAGTTCGAACATCCGAGGCGCAGCTGCGCCAGCTGCACTGCCACCGCCTTCGGGCAACCACCCTGCAGCTCCTGGATTCGCACGCCCCCCGAAACGGGTCTACGAAAATCGCGTTCCCTTGGGCGGCCCTGAAAAAGCGACCACCATGTGGTTTTACTTCTTCTTCTTCTTCTTCTTCTTCTTCTTCTTCTTCTTCTTCTTCTTCTTCTTCTTCTTCTTCTTCTTCTTCTTCTTCTTCTTCTTTTTTTTTGGGGGGGGCAAAACCTCAAAGACACAGAGTTGGGCAAAAGGCACACCGTGTTGCCTCTTGAAGCGAAGTCCTGTCAGGTGTTAGGTGTCATGTGGGAGGGAGGGTATCGGTTTCAAAACGAAACCATCCATTTTCAGAGGTTCCCCTACCGCCCTTTCCCCAGAAAAAGGTTCAAGAGCCTGGATCCACTCGTCGCCAGTCCTCCAACACCGTGGCGTGCGGAGTATGTAGAGCAACAGCAGGTACGTAGGCGATTTGGATCCCCTAGGCTCGCTTTGCCACTGGCCACGAGCATCGACTACTCGGACGCGAATGGCGAATTTATTCGCCAAGCTCGCACCAAAAAATCCAGGGCTGTCAAGCATTCTTCGGACTGTTTTGATTCCGGCACAAAATCGCGATCAACTTCAACTTCCTCTTGTAAACGAAGCAGCAACCGCCGTTGCCAGACAGGGTGCCTTACATCCCCTTTCAAACATCCACAAACAGAAAGCTCGCCAGAATATTTTGTTGGCACCATCCAAGGGGAACATGAGTGTTTATAAAAAGCCGTCCCCTGAAACCGCTTCGGTTTTTTTTCCGCTGCAAAATCCAACCAAAACGGGGCGCCCCCTGCTTTGAGACACGGCCGCCGCTTTCGCATCGAGCGCTTTACGCGCCTTGGGCCGATGGATGCAGCCTCTCTTTGGCACCTTCAGCTCCGAGACCTGAATGAGTCACCCGCGCGAAACCCCCACCCCGCGAGGGAATGAAGGAGTATTTTGCCGGGGTCCGGGGAGGGGAGGGGGGAGGTGTTCCGTGGGTGTGTCGAATCAGGGGGGGGGAGGAAGGTATCCCCTGCATCATGGACCTAAAAGCCATAAGATGCATATGTGTGTCTCACTCAAGATAGGGTGTTTTTACCCTTTTGGTGTCCCTTTTTACGCCAACCAGCCAAAGCGGGGTTCCCCAAAAAAAGACATGCCCATATCTATACTGCAAGGTGATTGAATTGTTGAGCCTCAGCTGTATTTGACATGAAATCGAAGACAAGGCGGGTAATTTTGACCCAGGATTAATAAACCCGTCCCACTAGGGGGGTGTTCCCTCCAAAAGTGATGGATCCCCACTAAAAGGGGACACCAATCAAAATCAACCAGGGTTCATTCATCCCGGTGAAGGGGCCTGGCTGCAAAGTGGGGATGGAGCTTCTACACACTCAGATGGCTAGTTCGCAAGACAGTCCCCTAAAATGGTTGGCTTCCCTTCGTGTTTCCTTTAAGTATCAACTAAAAGCTCCACTTTTTGGAGAAACACCCATAGTATGTCCCGAAGGCCCTTCAACGTCATATTCTCAGCAGCCATAGGACAAAGACGGGAGTGCTATGGGCTCTGAAAGGCCGAAGCAGAATTCACAACATGCGGAAACAAGAGACCATCTCCCAAGCAACAGCTTGGCGCAGAGGCCAACATTTCCTGTGAGGATTGTTGCTCATGCTTTGCTTCAGTGTTACTTTTTGTGTTGTTTGTTGCGATTTGTTTGATGTCGTTGTCTCTCTCTCTCTCTCTCTCTCTTGTTGCTTTCTTTGTGTGTGTAGGGGGGGGGGTGTTTGGCTTCAAGTGATTTGTGCATTCTGTAGAAACACCCATATTGATGTAGAGCCCAACGATTGTTTTGTTTCCTGTGCTCTGTTCTTGTCGAATTTGTTTCGCACATGTTGGATATGTCCCTAGTTCATCACGCAAAACAGGACTTTTTTGTAATGGCTTTAAAAACTCAGGCCCCACGGCGTACGGACCCTCCCTTTTTGAAATAGTTGCCCACCCTGGTGCATCTTGTGTTGGCCACCTTTGAAGCGCCAGAAAGGGTGGTTGGCTTGCCAAATGGCTATGGGTCAAAATCCCGGACCCCCCCAGTGAACATCACAATCCCCACTAAAATAGTGCCTAAAATGGGTGGTGCACCTACCCCAAAATGGTATCCCAAAGCGGTTTTGACCAAAAACTCCTTCAGCCCACGGCCTGGCACAGGAAGTTCGCCAGCACTCGCTCCTCACGTCGCGCGCCATGTGGCTGTGGCTCAAAAAGATGTACCCAAAATGGGCCCTAGGTCAATGGAAACAAAGACCAAACCCTGCGCAACCCTAGCTCTTAATTGTTTGAGCCACACCCATGTGACCCGCCCAAAACCTCCCGCTGGCAATGGAAGCCTCGCCTCGCAGGGCAGGGCTTTCGACTTCCTTCGGCCGAGGCGCCCTTTTGCAGCTGACACGAACCACGCGCCCCAGCGGTATCTCCAGCGCACTCGCGATTGTCCTGCCAAGATCCCGAGCTTACGAGGCATCGCACTTGAAAGCAGCGCCGAACCAGTTTTCGGCATTCAGCTTTTCAGCTCACTGACTTGTGCTGGGAGCAACCCAAGCAAATCAGGAGCCTCAGTGCATCATCCAGTTCTCGAGCCCTCGACATCACCCGCAATCTACGAAACACTGCCCGTGTCAAGTTGGTTGTGTGTCGTAATGGCAAATACTGAAGCAATCTTGAAGACCATCCCCCAGGCGATTCCATGAAAGCTCCCAGGACCCCTTTGGAAGACTTTGTGCCATTTACAAATGAGCCATACTAAACACACCGATAGATTCCCCAGCGGTAACAACTTGCTTACGCCAACGCTTCATGCACGGCTTACGCGCGCACACAATCAGCTTACGCGCAGAAGCTTTGAATGGCAGCGCTTACGCGAGGCTTACGCATGCCGTGCTTAGCAATATTTTGCACGCCACCACAGCAATAGCTTACGCGAGGCGCCTCAAACATTGCAACTTTTCAGGACAAGTCGCTGACGCGCAGCGTACGCAAGGATACTCGTAACAACATGCTTACGCGCGCCGACGCGCGTGCATGTTTAGCTGACGCGGGCCTGTGTATTTGCAAGGCCTTTGCTAAACATGAACAGAAGGGTTCCCGGTCACAAAACCGGTGAAACCAGCAACGGACTTCTGCAAGCTAGAGGCCTGCCTGCGTCTGCACGCCTCCCTCTTCCACCTTTCCTGTCTCTCTTTCACCCGGGGGAATACTTTTTTTTGTCCCTGGCTGGAGTGGTCACTCAAGCTGACCAAGCTCAATCTGAGTGTCGCAAAACGAATACGACAAACTGGCTCATTTGTCCTCGAGTTGCTGCGGGCAAGCAGCTCTGGGTTCGTCGAACCTGCGTCTCTTTGCACCAACGACAAACGGCAAAGTGGGGCAGTATGGAAGGTTGCGAGGTTTTGAACAGCTGACAGAATGGCTTGAATGGCTCGACATGTTGAGAGCACTCGGACATGTGCCCCACAGTGAGCTGTGAGCATACATCTCCTCCTTACCTTAAAGTTTCTCATGTGGTCTTTCTATTGTGGCTTGACCACTCCAGCCAAGCAGCGGAAATTCCCGTCGGTCTCGAACACGATCTTGTGCGATCTTGGCTCGGCAGTCCCAAGTCGGCACAAGGCAAAGCAAGCCCCTCCGAACTCCTCACGATTCTGCGGTGGGACCTCCCACCCCAAACCCCCCAACCCCCCCCCCCGACCCAAGGAAAGAACTCCACACAACCTGGGCTGCCCTCAGATTTTCCGCTAAAAGTTTTTCACTCGCAGTGACTCAAATGGAATAGTTCCACTAAACACTAAACAGCTACAAGGCTTGGGAACCGGATGGCTGGGAGCCACCAAGCAACCACGGGGCCTCGGCAATCCGTCTGGTTGGGTATTCCGCCAGGTTGCACGTCATGAAGGTTCTTCTTGGACTGCAGCAAGGTCTTCTCAGGCCAGTTCACCAAGTCAATAAACCTGGGCTGGTGGTTTTTGTTGGCACCAAATGGCAGTGGCTCAAAGACATGTACCAAAATGGTGCCTTTGTAAATGGAACCGACAGCGAAAACCTGCGTAACCCTAGCTCTTCTCAATTTTGAGCCACACCGAAATGACAGGAACTTGGTGGGGGGTGCCATTTCATCGAATCCAAGCGTGCGTGTAAATGCTGAGGCAAGCCCAAAACTCTCTCGAAATCCTTCATTCAGACATTCAGCTCGCTTCATAGCCACGGCACTGCTTCAGGCCCACGCTAGCAGAGAAGATCTTGATGACAGAAGCATTGATCTTCACCAGGTACTTGCCTGAAGATCGCAGTGAAGACATGTGCTTGTCATCCATCAAACACGCCTGCTGACCGTTCCAAAACTACTGTCAAAGGAGGCAATGGCAACGCTTAGACCTCATGATTGAACGAACACATTGTGGAATGCACCATCTGGTGGCGTAGTGCATCGACTGTTTGCTGGGTGTTGCCACCTGTGTGGGGGGTCGGTGTTGCTGTTGATGCGGTGTCGGACCACTTGCTTGTGCAGCTCCGTTGAGCATCACCCAAAAGAGGAAAATGGCTTTAGATAAATATATAATAGGAACCCCTATTGCAGTAGTTCTAGCTTGGCTTGGACCATGTGTCCGCCAGCTTGCTGCCCAAGTGGCCAAAGCTTGAGAATACCTTCCTGAGCCAATGCAAAAGCAGGCAGAAGAGTTCCGGCTCTGAAAAGCTGCAGCGAAAAAGTTCAGCCGCTGCAAAACATCCGGCAGATTCTGGCCAGGACTCAGCTGGAACACGAAGTCACCGGACTGGAAGATCGACAAGCCCTGCTCACGGCTCTCCAGCAGCGCTTTCGCGCCCAGGACCAGCACGATGACGTAGGACAAGTTCACCAACCACTTGACATACCTGAGCCACAAGTTGACAATCCAAACCGTGGTAGATGAACGTTAGTCAGGGACAATCCCCTTGCCACAAATAGTTGCGGCCGCCTTCTCAATTCTTTGCGTGGTTCTGGGTAGACCATTTTGATACCGTTTTTGTTTCTTTTTTAATTGTGACTCACCGCACGAAGCCATGCTCCAGAAGAGTTGGTGCTTGCGGCGGACCCAGGGCTTGACTCGACATCCGCCGGGGGATTACCCTCAAAAACCAGTCGCTTTGCACGAAATCCCGGAGAAAGAAGAAGCAAAAAAAGCCGGCCGTATCGATACGCCAAGCTGCCAGAGCGTGTCGTTGCTGTAGTCCCGCGTCTTCACGTGGATCGAGGTGAAATACTTGCACTCGTGGGCAAAGCGCACATCCACCCTGCGTGCCCATAGAAGGAGAGAAGGGACAAAAGAGCCAAGAGAGACCAAGAGGGAAAAGAGAAAAAGAGAAGCAGCAGAATCCAAATATACACCGGAATATCCTTCAAATCCTGAAAGGATACTCAAACCCGCGCCGCTGGTGATGCTGTGACGAGTCGCATGCCGCGCGAAATCTCCAGAGGTTCAACCAAAGAAATCCAGAGCTGCGTTGGAGAATCTTAAGTACGCACTGGGCCGGAGAAAATGAGAAATGGGCCGAATACATAGAGATGCTCAAGCTGGCAATGCGAAAATGATTGAATGCCTCTGCCCGCAATAACAGTGCTGGCAATGGTCTGCTTCAGCCACAGTTCTCCGTGATGCTGTCCAGACTTCCATCTCTCAACATGGCTCACAGCAACTTGGCCAATAATATGCCCCCGAGACTCGCAAACACGAAATGAACTCTGATTCGGCTCACTTTCCCGCTGACCAAACTTCCGCAACCTCACGTGGCTTCTTCCGCCCCACTCCCCGTGCCAGGAATCGACCTTAACCCATCCACCCACCCCCCCCCGGTCCGGTGCCTAGCGCGGGAGCGGGAGGCAAGACTCTCCAGCGGCACCCCGGCGTGGCAAAGCCAGGAGAAGCTATCGACCCAGGCCGCCTGACTGAGTCGAATGAAGCCTTCGGCCTTGCCTGCCTGACCGATCGGTGCACGCCGCACGCGCCTCCCCTGCCATGCGGTTCTTCAGATAGCTGCTCAGCCTTGGAGATCAAAGCAAGACACGCCCAAAGCACCAGGCCAGGTGAGGTAGGATGATACATGGCCGGGTGCGCGATTTGCTATGGCATTCACGGAAGCTGTTCCTCCACCCCAGCGCTCGGTGAATGCCCAGCCATTTGTATCCGAGAGGCTTGCTGAAGCGGCAAATAAGGACCGAACATAGCATCACCTCACAGGCTCTGTCAAAAGAGAGCGCAACGCAGAAGCTCGGTTGCTTTCTGCTCCCCTGCTAAAAGTTTAACTTTTTAGTGGTTTAATGGACAACCCACTAGTTGGCAAAAAGTTAAAGTCCTAACTTCCAAGCAAAATGCACCAAAGGAAGCGTGCTGATTGAATTGGGATCACCCCAAAAACACAAAAGGTCCTCTGCTTGCGATGCCGCTCCTCACCTCTTGTTAGCCAGCAACTCTGCAAGAGAAGCCGCGGGGCAGGAGCTGATGGCAAGCTGGATAGCTGGATTGAAGCCAGCTTCTCCACCCACTTACCCAGCCCCCCGCCAATTTCTGAGCAGCCAACCATGCAAATCATGAAGATGCCAGGAACTGCGTGCCGGCCCAGATATTCACCTGCAGCAAAAGCGGTGCAGCAAAGAACAACGTCAAAGCGGTGTATCGCAGCCACGGAGGCTGTCGATGTCAAGCTGCGCGGGATGCAGTGCTGAGTCACTGGCCAACTGTAGTTGTCCCATCGGATTTGCTCAGTTGCACCTTGGACATGCCCAAGGACATGGGTACTGGTGCATGACAAATACAAAGCTTTCTTCTGCCAAGCACATGTCCGTGGCAACTTGGCTGTTGACTGCTTGTCCCTTTCGCTAGGTGCGAAATCCAAGACCGACCCGGACACCCACAAGCAACGGAGCGTGGCGAACCTTGCTGCTGCGATCGGCGGGGAGTGAGACATGGAATGACCCTGAACCATCCAACTGGTGGCTTCCTTTCGGGAATCCCCTTCCAGTTCATTCCCCCATTCTCTACCTATCGCATGGCGAATGCCAACAACATCTGTGATGGCAAGGCACGTAGAATTGCATCACGATGGACAGGAGCAGGCCGAACCCGCTCTGCAACACCACGAAGCCTCTCGCAGTGCGGGACGCGGGGCCGCGGTTCGCGGGTGCAACCACGGATTTTGTTCAGCGAAAGACAACAAAGAATGAGACTGACTGTATCTTGAAACGACTATCAGGCCTTGATAGTAGAGATCTTTGGCCATCAAATCCACGTTGTTCACCTTGGACTCAGATGGTCTCAGGGCTCACTACCAGGGGCTGCGCGGAATGGTTGCTCCAAAACCAACAGCGGACCACCTGGCTGTGGGTCAAAACCAATGGTACCATTTTGGGGTAGGTGAATTCACCACCCATTTTAGAACCTACTGTAGTGGTTGGATTGGGATGTTTTTTTGTTTTTTGTTTTCTGGGGGTACGGGCTTGGGATTTTGACCCAGCGCCACCTTGGTCTGCCAGAATTCAGCCGTGACACTCCCACGTAGAACCACCAGTGGCCCTCCACTTTGGCCATCTCCTCACACCGGTCCCAGCGACGGTCCCCGCTCCGAGTGCGATGCAATGGAAACAGGCGCGGTCAAGGCAGTTTCACATCGTGAACAACCTCTGAAAGTCTCAGCTTCAGCGAGACCTGTGTGTGTGTTTTTGGAGGGTATTCTTGCCTTGTTTTTGTACGGAAACCAAAAGAACCACCATTGCGCCTTTTCTTTTTGTTGGGGGGGGGGGGCAACCGAAAAAAGGACGAGCCACGCACCTAGACTTGGGCAACGCATTCCGACTTGGCAAGTCCTCGGCACTGAGCATCAACAGCTTGGCAAAGAGCTGGCGCCGGTGCACCATGCGAGTGCCCCCGGTTCCTGAGCGAGAGAGGGAGAGAGAGGGAGAGAGGGGCTCAGGTCGTAACTTTGATTTTCCTCCAATGGTCATCACAGGGGTCTTCCAAAAACAGAATTTCACCAGCATGGATGGGTTTTGGCACCTAGCACTTGCGGAACTCTGAGAAATCTGTTCCAAGCTCGCCAAGCCTAACATCTTCCATGCGGTTGAAGGACCGGTCCCTCCGACAAAGTCTGGTTTCGAGCAGCTTGGCGAAAGGACCTGGAAGGCGAATTCTCAACTTCCCAAACCACCAGGCACCTGTCGCGTCGGCGAGCATCGGCCTTCCAGGAAAAGGTTCACCTTTGGGGCACCTTGACAAAAATGAAAAAAACCCTTACATCATTTCGGCGGGGGATTCATGTCCACCAACCAACCATCCATCCATCCATCCAACCACCCCTTCATCCGGCCTATTGAAACTCACAAGGAGCGAAAATCGAAACGCCAAGCGCAGCTCAAGCCCGAGGCACGGCCCCGGTTCTCCGTGGCCAACTTGTCCCCCGCCCTCAGCAGCCCCGCAGAGGCGAACTGCGCGAAGCCTCGAACGCGCGGCAAGCGACCCGGAAAGATGGCCAGCCCCACCAAAAAAACACCCTACAAGGAATACCGGCAAAGGAAAGACACCCAAACCTGGCTGAAAGAATATAACAAAATAACAATCCGTGGTGAAAAGGGTGGCTGCACCTGAGGGTGGTCTTCTCAACTTCAACTCAACTTCAACTCAAGTGACATTCGGGCTCTGTTCCAGGGCACGAGCAGAGCCGCCAGTCCCTCAGCCCCCGGAACTATTTGAGGGACAGAAAAACGTTGCTGCGTCGTTTGTGGCCACTGACTTTTTCTGTCTCCATCGCCGTCCTTGCGGAGAAGAAACACACCACAAGTATCAAACTCCATTCAACGAGTCGCGTCTTGCTGAAGGCCTCTTGCGGAGAGAGTTTTGTCAAAAAGCTCCTCAAGATTTCAGCTGAGCGGTTTGGGATTTGAACCCCTGGCTTTTGTAGAGGGATAAAAATAAAGGGGCAACCACCCGCAAGCACCAAACCAACCAATGAGGGGGAAGCTGAAAATTCGCCGAGTGGCCTAACATCGCAAGCTCCCAGGGTTTGTTGCCCTCGATGCTGGGATCAGAGATGGTGTCCAGCACGATCCTCGCATAGCGCTAGCCCTGTCTTTCCACCATCACACACAAAGCAGCCAAGTCTCTTCTGGATCATTGCGGTCACGCAAACGGTGTGAATCTGAGCCAAACCCCGACATCTTTCAGAAGGGAGTAACAACAGCTGTCAGGTACATCCACCTAGAGCTGCTGTTGCCAATGACGCAAAATGTCGGCCACCCAACAGTGGCAATGCAGGGCCCGCACTGGGTCATACCTCGGCTGAGCTGCAGCACTGCGAGCTGTGACAAGTCTAAGGATTTGATGGGAGGGAGCGAAATGCAAACATGCCCAGACAACGACCAGGCCTAAGACTGAGACCACAACGAGTGATGCAACAGCAGCCAAAACCCGACACGTTCCACCGTACTGGCCGCACTTGGCAGGTGCATAAGTCGCAAGCGTTGAAGAGAACAAGCCAGTCTGCAAGAGCAGTGGCTACTGGGCAACAAAGCTTCCTGGGATGTCTCTCCCGAGAGGGAGACTGGGACCAGCAAAGAGTGTACATAGAACTTCTGGCAAAAGTGTGCTTGGCTTGAGGATCTTTTGGTTTATAAGGGAACCAAAATTCCCATTCGCAATAGGCCACCGCCTTCGCACCCACCAACCCACCAACCCACCGACCAACCAACCAACCGACCAGCCAACCAACCGACCAGCCAACCAACCAACCAATAACCCAACCGAAACCCAACCCAACCCAACCCAACCCAACCCAACCCAACCCAACCCACACAACCCAACCCAACCCAACCCAACAGAAAGCCAACCGGACCCAATCCACCGACCAAGCAAGCAAGCAAGCAAGCAAGCAAGCAAACAAGCAAGCAAGCAAGCAAGCGAAACAAAACACAGAAAAATAAGCAAGCAAGCAAACAAGCAAGCAAGCAAACAAACAAACGGACGGACGGACGGACGGACAACGAACGAAAACAACAGACCAAGCCAAACCAAACCAAGACAAACCCAGACAAGCAAAGCAAGCCAAACCAAACCACCACCACCACCACCATCTTGCCTGCGCCATTCATTGGCCCTGCCGATAGATTCATAAGGTTCCTTCAAAAGGGGGGTTCGACGAGAAAAATGCTGCAGCGATTGGTTCAAACCACGCTCTCGTAGGAGGACTGAGGGCGCCCAATGGCTAGTTGGCTGACTGCAGAGTTGGACGGCTTCGCCCTTTTTTCAGGCGGGAGCGCTTTTTGGAACAATCCACCAAAAAAAGTAGCGGCAACTTTCCCAAGGATCTTTTTAAATCTGTCGGGCAGTGCCTATGAATCATGCGGCGGAGCAGCTGCTACTGCTTCTGCTATCCCAAAAGCAGCATGAGTTCTCGAAAACGGGTTGGGTTGCGTTGGGGTTGTAACGCATCGCCACATTCATGGCGCTTCGGGGGGAAGCTTTAAGGTTTGCTTGTTTGAGGTACCGGGGTTCGTTGTGGGAGGAAAAGAAGAGAAGCTATCCTTCCTAAACGCCATTTTTGACCCACTCCCTTAGGTTCCAGACGAACCTCTTCTTCAGCTCCGCGGCAGAAGCCCCAGAAGCGTCTTCCACCATTTCAGGCCGCGGGAGACGCGGCGCTCCTCGCCCGCCAGCGGGGTCCGTAAGTACGTAAAACGGCGCCAAGCGTTGGCGACACCACTCCAGTGGCAGAGGCTAGTTCCCGCGCCTTCTTGCATCTCTTGAACATCTTACAACACCTTTCAATGGCTTCAGGACCCTCTTCCAGCGCAAATAAGTGCTGCAACCGTTTTCGAAAACACGCAGGTTCGCCGCCCCCCACCAGCGCATCCCAGGCCTGCAAATAGTACCACACGACCCAGAACTTCGACTGCCTGGGCACAGATGATTTCTATGCTTTGCCCTAAGTGATTGGTGGACAGATATCCTCGCGTGAGCCTGGCTTTTGTGAGTTACCCCCATTTTTTGGCATTGATGGGGACCGAAGCAAACCGCTTTTTTAGGGATACCGAAAAAAACACAAATGCGATCTGTTGGTTCTGCCACGTGCTGTCGAGAAGCACGCTCCGGGGTAAACTTGAGATCAAGACTGCGGCCCCTCCAAAATTCACGACAAGCCATTACCCTGACACTGTCTGAACGCCACAAGCGCGCGAGCAGCACGCTCAGATTTGACCATAGCGCGCCCAACCATTTTGCTTGATGGAGAATCGCCCAAAAAAGTGTCTCTGGTCGCTTCTCCAAACCAAAAAATGAGAAAGGGGCAGACCGAATGAAGCAGCGAAGGGGCAGACTGCGATTCTGCGACGCAAAAATCATGAAGCGCTCACGGCCAAACCAGCCAGTTGCACGCGCCTCTCCCCCTTTCTTGAACACATGCCCTTGGTGCTATCTTGGCGACGCACCAGGCTTGCACTCCACCTCCACCGTACGCCGTCACCAACCAGGGCCGCGAACCACGGCGCGCAGCTTCCACATTCTAGACTTGAGATCGAGACCGCGGCCCCTCAAATTCCGACAAGTCATTCCCCTGCAAAGCAGAAGAACATGATGTACCCCACTTCTGCAGCTTGGGAGTGAACCAGGCTGTAGCAACATCTGAGCATCTTGGCCATGGTTTGTCTGGCGGTTGAGAAAGTGAATCGCAGGGGACTTGCACAGACATTCGGGCACCCACCACGGCATAGAAACGGTGCATAGATTCGGAACATCATGAACGGAAAGAAGTGTGCAAAGCGGGCCCCAGGATCCGTGTGCGCGGAAGCATTTTGGTGAAGCGTGTCAGGAATGAAATCAAACGCTTCAAAGGAACTTTGCAGTGGGTTTCTTTGCTTAGTCCCAAGGACCTGCGTCAGGGCAGAAAAGTAGAATCCATGAATCCGAGGATCAATCGCAGCAATGACCAAAAGCCCCACTTTGGCCATACAAGCACATTGGCGCAGGCCTGCACCGCATCCGGAAAACTCTCACATCCAGCTCTGGGCCAAGCAGCTGCCTCTCAACTGGGATGTTGTAAGGGAAGGCGTGGTCATAGAAGATATGCACCCTCACCTGCGTTTTGGGCGGAGAAAGGAAACAAAAACAAAAGAACGAGCGAGTTGTTGAGAGCGAGAGACCCGGCCTTGCTCCCTTGGGTGTCCTTCTCGAGGCCCAAGGTGGGTCCACCTGGACGAAGCGCCAAACTCTGTGCCCAATCAGCTCAAAGCCCTCAAGCCCAGAGCAGGCAAAGAGTTCACTCCTCGAGGCTTGCAAGAAGAGCTGCGCAACTCCACAGGCGCCAATGCAAGGGACAAGCCGCCGATCTTTGCCGCGCCCTTGACCACTTCTATGAGCTCGACCTCGAAATACCTCAAAGCTGCAAAGCAAGAACACGGCCAAGGCACAATGCCGGAAACGCTGACGCCGGGTTGCTCAGTGGAGGTATGCTTGCCTGGCTGCTTCAAGGGGATCACAACCTCTGCCGTGGTCTCGTAAGGTGGAAAGCAAACCAGCGTCTCTTTGAACTCATAGTCCTGGACTCGCTCCAAGCATCAGCAAAAGCACCAATCTAAAGGCGCAAGCAGAGCAGCTAAGCATCGCTGAAATCACAAAGCTCGCCAAGCAAGGCTTCCAAACCAGGTCTTCCACGTTTGCATGCCGCTCCCAACCGAAAGAAACTGCATCCATATTGGAACCCCAAATGGCACCAGATCAAAAGCTTGGATTGGGAGGCTTGCCAGTTCAAAACTGCACACTGCAGACCGTCCTTGCCGATGACAGCCACCTCATCCTCAGTTGCAGCGTTCAATGCACATCCCGACAAGGAGAGAAACACCTGGATCCTGCTTGCAATTAAGGCCAAAGCGGGTGTGTCTTTCTTGAGGGTGCCCTCTTTGGGCTAGTCTTGCAGGGAACCCAACTGCCAAGAACAACAAACTACTAAGCCAACTTTTTGCGCTCCGAGATTCTGAGGGTCCACCCCCCCCCCAACCCCCCCAACCCCCACACCCCCTTCTTCTGAGAGCCGCGCGGAGTCCTGGAAGCTGGAGCGATGGGGCTGGAGCTTCACCATGAGCTCGCCGCTCACATCCCCCGAGCGGTACAACTCCAGCACCGCCTTGCCTGCGACCCCTGACTCCCGACCCCCGGGGCGGGCTATGGGGCTCTGGCACTATGGCACTATGGGCTATGGGGGGGGGAGGTGGGAAGGCTATTCCCTGGATAAGCCCAGAGGAGCCATGGATAAGCCCTTGATAAGGCCTTGTTGGAGGGATAGCCCCCCCCCTCTGGCTTGAAGGTCCTGGTTTTGGACCGTCTTCCTTTTACACGGACCTCCGAACGTCACGTTCCATGTCAATTGGTGGGAGGGGAACCACCACAAAGAAGGCATGGATCGAATTGGCAAGAGGTGTTTTCAGTGGGAAGCCTCCAAAGTGATTTCCCCTTCCCCAAAACGGGTACCCTTGAAAGACAGGACCAGGATGCTGTCTCTCTCATACTAAACTCCCCAACAAATGGAAAGTCTCCCTTTGTCTTCCCTTTGACCCACCCAAAAGGGCGAGCCTGAAATAGAAGAGATGCCATGAAAACCAACTTAGCAAGTGAGGGGCCTTCCGCCCAACTCCAGTCCGAGCCCGGCCTTCCGAGGCCTTCCCTATGAAGTTGAGGTGCGAAAAGCCCACCTCAACGGGTTCAACATGGCCTGGGCTTCCCTTTAAAGCCCCAACGCTCCCATAGAAGCCCAACCTGCGATGCCATGTGCCCACCTTGAATCTCCATCCAGAAACATCAAGCATACACTTGTAAGACCCACTGGCACCAGGCTGCATTGACCGGGCTTCGTTTCTTTCCCATCTCGCATTCCAAGCCTCGGCGGCCGCGTTCTCGGGGCACTGCGCTTCCTGCTCAAAAAGCCGTAGGCAAGCCGCTTGCTATCTTGCTGCTTCGAGAGATGTAGGGTCCCTAAGAACTGGAATCACCCAAAAAAAAGAACCGTCCCTGATTTGGTTTCCTTCAGGGGAATCCCAAAACGGCTCATTCCCGACTCCCGGAAGAACGGTTATTCCCTACCTATCGCACCAGCAATGGGCATCTGGCGCCTGGTTCGCGGCATCGTCGCCCAATTTCTTCCAAAAGTCCTCGACCTGCGCCTGTGCGCACACGGCAGATGCTTTGCTTGCTTCGACTTCCGAAGACCCGCCTCAGACATTTGGTTGTCGGCATCGGCATCATCGGCATCCTCGTCTGAGGTCTCATCATGTGGCCTGGTTGCTGCAAGAGAACGCCTCTTAGCTCATCTAACTTAGCCTTGCAAACACACCTTGGATCGCCTGCACGTCCCCGAGCCTGGGAGTGCTTTTGTTCAGCAGGAAATTCGCCAAGCGACCACCCAAGTCCTGCGTCGGGGAGATCGGATCCTCCGAAACGTGGCTGCAGCCGGCACGGCGCGGATGCCGCTGCTGGCGCCTTGATCTGCTCGATGATCTGCGCCAGGCTGATGCCTTCCTGGCACCGCGTCAGGTGGGTATGGGTCAGAATTAGTCACCACCAGGAATTGGACCGCAGGTGTTAGTCAACTTGTTCCCATCTCTCAGTTGCCCGTCAGGGACCTGGCAATAAAAGGCAATCACCTTTTGGGCCCTTGACTAAAAAAAAAGGACCGCACCGGGAACACCAAAAGCTCAAAGGGTCGATTCGCCTTGGGCAACTGAGATCTTTGCCAACCCATTTTGGGGTTCCCCGATCTTTGACCCTCAGGAGCCGAAGCCAAGCGCCGAGGCGCTCTCGAGCGACAGCAGCCCAAGCTGCTGCGCAGCACCACGCATTCCTCGGGTCACTCTCCGCTGTGGCTCCCAAAAACCACCGGGGCACCGAGCAAGGAACCGGGAACCTGTGGGCGTCTTTGTGGGAAAACAAACCCACTTTTGTTGGCTTAGGAAGCCAACAGGATCTTCCCGTTGCGTGTCGGGGCGGTTCCCTAGTGCAAGTGACACGTGTTGAGTGGCCTCTGACACCGCGGCTGTTGCGGCAGAGCTAAGCGGAGGGCCCAAATCACCGCCAGCACCAGCAGGCTGCCAGAAACAATCAAAAAGTTCAGCACGGGCTCGTGGCCTCAATGGCGCTGTTTAACGACCGGGGACTTGCAGCAAGCTATAGCGTGTAAATTGCGTGTCAGACCCTAGCCCGTGGCACGGCAAACCTGCCTCTCGCTACTAAAAAACAAAGAACTGCCTGAACACTCAAGCATCTGCATGTCAACTAATTTCACCCCTAGTGACTCGTGCGGCGAATGAAGGGCGGAGGCTTCGGCAGCAGTGCTCAAACCAATGAATGTAAAACTGAGAAAACTCAGAGCCAAAAAAACACGCAGGGCTCGATGCCAACGCGCTAGGCCGCCGACTCTCTGCAAAGGGCGGGCCTTCCGTCATGAGCAGCCTCCGTGAGACCTAACGTTCCACCAAATGGAGTCAGCGCCCCGAACGATCTCGGATGCGGGTGTGTCTCAAAGTCGGGGGACGTCCCCAAAATGGATTTCACAGGGTTCCTTTTGGCTTGCCTTTCAAACCACCCAAAAAGTGCCAAAAACATGACCCACTCGTGGCTCCCTCAAGAGACCCACCCATGTCAAGCGCGCCCGCCTGCCCGGGCCTCATGCCCAGCCGCTGGCATGCGGAGAGCACATCTGAGGTGCTGGCCTGGGGCGCCAAAACCTGAGGCCTTTGTGAGGGGTCTAAATGAAGGGAAACATAGGTGTCCTTAGGCAAATAGATGGCCCTGGTAGATGATTGAACCATCAGGCAAACCAGGGCCATCTATTTTTCGACCAAGACAACCAAAAAGGACAATGGAAACAAGTCTTGGCAACCCCGGGGTTTACGGCAACTCGATGGTTGCTTGGACGTTCACATGCAAGTTTTTCGGGGAGACTCCACCGCCGGACCGGACCGCGGACTGCGCCTGTACAGAGAGGTCCCGCAGCGTGCTGGTCAAGGCATCTTCGTGCTGGGAGGTCACCACGCGGCAGCCCTCCTAGGCAACACGTTTCGCCAAAACTCGGCCGATCGCACAAGCGCGCCTCAACTTGAGAGGGTACTATTCACTTCATATTTTGTGAACCCAGGCACAAGACCACTAGACTGAGTCGAGAGGCCTCCATTTCTTGGTTTTTCCGGGACTTAAACCCAAGGCGCCAGAAGTTGCTCCACTGCTGCCTTCGCATGCAGATATCACCCAGCAAACACGGCACCTATCACGGCAAGTAAGTGAGACACCGGCCTGCAGAGTCTCCACAGACTCCATGAAGCCTTGGAGCAGTTCCGTCTTTTCCACAGATCTGACACGCAGCCCAAGCCTTGGGCCAAAGGAGCATCCGGCCGGATGCGCCGAGGGTCGAAAGGTGTAAACACTGACAGTCCTATCGGCAGATAGCCTTCAGTCTGATTTTGCTTGCTGGGTGTGGGATGCATCAAGTGAATTTCGGCGACTTGGATTGGATCAAGTTGATTTATCTCTTGGCATCCAACAAATCCATGCCATGTTGACCCATATTGGCTCAGCCGAACCAATGGCTTGCGGCATGCAGTCATCAAGTGGCAGTGGAAGGCGGAATGTGGCGCGAGTTGCGGAGGTTGCACATCAAGATGCGACCCCCTGGAAAACAACCCGTAGAACGTCACGCATACAGCCTTCTGTGCTCAACGACACTTTACAGTCACACAGCAAGCTTCAGAAGTTGCAGCCATCTGTTGCAGCCAACGGAGGTTTTGAGAAAGAGCGGGATGATGCTGCAATCCCGGACTGTCTGTGCATCCTTCTCGTGGCTAAATGGGTTTTCCAATGCCCCAAATATCATTTTTGTTGGCATAGACCCCGAACATGGCTGGTTTCGTGGTGGCGTCCCTTGAAACCCAGCCCAAAAAAAAAGCTGAAACCGGGAAATTCGTCCTGTTGGGCTTCCCTTTAAAAGCCACGAAGAAAAAAAAACGGCGACCCGACCCGGCCACAAAAAGCCGCCAGGCATCCAACGCTTGCCGCGCGCGCAAAGAACCCGAGCCCCGACCCCCCCATGCCTAGGAGCTGGAGCGCCTGGGAAACCCCACACCCGAGACCGACTCGGACGACTGGGGAGTAAGTCTTGTTTTGGGGAGGGGACCCCCCCCCGTTTTTTGTGGGCTTTCAAAGGGAAACCGAAAGGAAAACCAGCAACAGTTTGTTGTTTTGTTGCTCTTTTGTTCTGCTCCTCCTCTTTTTTTTGGGGGGGGGTCCCTAAAAAGCACAAAATGGACAGACGCTAATAGTTGGTAGTGTTCAGTTACACATGTCACTTGTTGACACGAAGGAATGGTCTCAGCATTGTTCAAGGCCAAAACCACATGCTTGTTACAGAGCTCGTAACCGCCCCTACGAGATGTAACAAGTGGGTCCACGCAATCACCTGACCAAATAAGCGAACATGACGAACAGCCGTGTCTTAGGCTCTATTCCAGCACGTGAAAAATTGCACAATAACAATCCAATCAAGGATTGGAAACGATTCATGGTACAACTGTCCAGTGAGGACAGGCATTGATTCCCTTCCAGAATCAAAACCCTTGAGCCCGCTTTTGCGCCAAGACCAGCCAAGACACGGGTGTGTCATTCCCCAAATAGTGTTTACACTAAGGGGTTCTCACGGTAAGAGTTAAGGCCTGGTGTAGATCGAGGTGTCGGCTCAAATTGCTGGCCCTGTGCGTAAAAAGTTGTCTTCGATGCGACAGTCTCGCACGAAATGGAGGTACGGACCTTTGCGTGCGTCTCGCTGTGGTGCCGTTCGCACTTTTCAGCTTTTGCTGGCAGGGGCAACAGTTGGGAGGTACGCGCTAGAAGCCTCGTGCCAAACGCGTTTTTTTGAAGCAAAACATTTTTTGCTGGCAGGGGCGTGTCACACGGAGGTTCGCGCTGCGACGCGGGGTGTGTTTTTTGAGGAAGCCTCGCGCCAAACGCGTTTTTTGAGACCAAAGTGCGTTTTTTGACGGCAGGGCCGCCACGCGGTGATATCTTCTCGTCGGGTCAGGCTACCACGCTTGGACAATCGGAGCTCTAAAACCATGGCAGCTGTCGCAAAAAGTTGTCTCGCGTGCGACAGCTTCGCACGAAACGGACCTTTCTTCAAAACTGCGCTCTCGCTGTGGCGCTGCACCGATCTTCGGATGGGGTGGGCGCAGCATGTTTTGCGCTGATGCAGATGATGCGTGGCAGGCGCATCATTTTCGGAAACAGGGTCTGTGAATTTCGTGGCAGGCGCAGCGTTTCGCTCATTTGCAAGCGTTGCAAGACGAAAGTGAACCCTTTGCGGAGATCGTGCGTGTCGAAGCGCTCTCGCTGTGGCGCCGTGCGAACTTGTCTTGAGCTCGGCGACCCTCTGCGGAGATTGTGCGTGTCGAAGCGCTCTCGCTATGGCGCCGTGCGAATGTGTCTTGAGCTCGGCGAACCCTCTGCGGAGATTGTGCGTGTCGAAGCGCTCTCGCTGTGGCGCCGTGCGAATGTGTCTTGAGCTCGGCGAACCCTCTGCGGAGATTGTGCGTGTCGAAGCGCTCTCGCTGTGCTGCCGTGCAAATTTGTCGAAACGCTCTCGCTGTGGCGCCGTGCGAATGTGTCTTGCTCTCGGCGAACCATCTGCGGAGATCCTGCGTGTCGAAGCGCTCTCGCTGTGGAGCCGTGCGAATGCGTCTTGCTCTCGGCGAACCCTTTGCGGAGATCCTGGCGCTCTCGCTGTGGCGCCGTTCGGTTTTTCTGTTTTCTTTGCTTGCGAAGCGGTGTTTGGAAGTTGTCTCGTGGTTTGCACCTCTGCTTTCACGCTCGCGCGCTGTCTCGGGTTCCACCTGCTTGGCCCACGGCAGCTCCGGCTTGAAAACAGCACCTTTTAATTACGAAAGTAGTACGCGAAGAGCATTCCCAGGGCTCCGGCTGCAATATCGCAACTTCTCAGCGCAAAAGTGGTACGCGAAGTGCGCATCCACAGTTTCGGCACGAAATTTGCAAGTTTGAAGTACAAAAAGTAGTACGCGAAGCGCGCTCCCGCAGCTCCGGCCCAAAAATCGGAGGCTTTAAGTACAAAAGTAGTACGCGAAGAGCACTCCCAGAGCTCCGGCTGCAAAATCGCAACTTGGCTTCTGTTGAGACTGAAGTGCCTTCCCAAGATGTTTTGTTTTATGTTGGTTTCTTGCTGCATCGCGCTACTATTTGGGGTCTCTTGCCGGGATATTTTTTTAGGGGACACCCAAACATTGTGGTTGTCCTTTTGATCCTTTGAATCCACAAGAAAAGGGCGACCGTCAAAAAAAAAGCACACCCATACGAGCTCCTCGTCTCCACCAACACGGCACTGCCAGATGCAAAACGCGCTTCCGCATCACACATGTACGCGCATCACAAAATGACAAATGTGCACATGTAGATGTCCGCCTTCTGCGGCGGCTGCGGCTCCTTTTCCTTCGGCTGGGGCCTGGGCAATGGTGACAGGATGAGCCTTTTGAAACCCAGGTGCCATGGTTCAGGACTCCAGAGACTTCAAAACATGCAGCGGTCTGGGATCGTGGGAACACGAAAAGGATGGAAGCTCGCAGGTTCTGGCTGTACGTGCACTGGCGACTTGTGTGGAGTCTCAAGTAACATCACGATGGGCGAGCCCATGTTAAGTTTGCCAATAAGCTTGCACTTCTTGGTGACATCAGCAGCCATACCGTCGGTGCCCCAATCCAGACCAACTGCAAAAATGACACAATGACACACCCAATCCTCTACGTCCCCCAAACATGCCAATGTCCTTGCCATGCGCTTTGAACCACCTGCAATCATCCAAATGAAATCTCAAAAGACACCACAGGCGGGCGGCTTCCTTTTGCTTCCCCCTTTTCAAACCATCTGCTTGATCTCCGAATGATGGTGCCAAAAAGCAAATATCGATTCCCCTTGGTGTCCCTGTACAACAACCCAAAAGTTGTTCCCAATTGTTTGTTGCTGGGCCGACCTGACACATCTGACTCTAGGAGTAGCGCAGCAGCCATTGATTCCTCTGTTCACAGGCGCATCCCTCATCAAATGGGGCGCACATCTGAATTACGGGTTGAGGGTGTCCGACATTTGGACAGCACACCAAAAAACACTTCACTGGCCCCGGAACACTGCTTTCCTTTAAAAGGGACCCTCTGGCGGGTTCCATGTGGGTCTGTCCTGTTTTCGGGGAAGACCTTTGTGGTTGAAACCAAGAAGAAGACCTCGATTTTTTTGGGGGGAGGGGCTCCCCTACTGCAAAGACGAGCCACCCCTCTTGACAAGAGGATACCCTCAGAAGCAACGAACACCGAAAAGGCCGGCCCAAACCGCCCCAACGCCGGGCGCCCACACTGCGGCGCCGCCGAGAGGGGCTGCGCCGCCGCCGGCTGGGGCTGCGGTGCCGGCCTGACATTGGGCCCAAGCTGATGCAGGTGTGGCTCAAAATTAAAGAAACAGGGTTACGCAGGTTTTAGCCGTTGGTTCCATTTGCCAACGTGCCGTTTGGGTATATTTTTGAGCCACAGTCATGTGTTCTTAGAATCTGGGTCTGTCCTTTTGCCCTTTTGGCTTTGAAGAGGAAGTTCTTCAAATCTGGTCAAATCTGGGTCTGTCCTACCCAAAAGATGGTGAACTATGCCAAGGGCAAAGTCAGGGGAAACTCTGGAGGCGTTTTCCTTTGTTCCTGGTTTGAAGAGAATCCCAAAGCAAAGCAACTATTCTGGGGGTGCCCCAATTTGGAGACAAACCCATGCGGATTGTCGGAATAATTTCAACACACATGTTGTTTTCATCTGCCAGATTCAAGCATGGCCCATGATGTAAGCAAACGTAACTTCTTTGGCAAACAGTCCTGTTGAGGCCGGCCATCGTCAACTTCCAGGAGTGCTGGCTTGGCCACAGCACGAGAAACCATTTTGCTATACCCAGGTTTTAAACAACAAGACAAGACACGCACTCGTCTCTTTAGAATGCTTGTCTGCCATGGCGACGAATCAGTTAATCGAAAGACGTGTCCTAAGCACATCGCATTTGCGGCCGGGACAGCATTTCCCACCTCCTCCTCCTCCTGACGAGATAGGCGGCCGGGCAGACATGGGCGGACCTAGGCGTTCCAGCCATGCGCTCGATCTCTTGAAAGCTCTGAGGTGGCCACGGTCCACCGGAGGTCCTTGCAAATCGATGAGCAAACCCCACAAATCTCAGATCAAAGCACCTAGCCTTCTCTGTGTGTGTGTGTGCTTCTTCCACTGCACACATGCAGGATTGAATGTCGGACCCGCAGGCATCGTGTGCGTTTCCGAACAAGCCAGGTCCAGGCACTGTGTGCGATGCATAACAGCTCTAGCTTGCGGATGTTGTCACATGGCGAGAGTGGTCGTCTTCAATCAAGCATCAGGACGCCAAAAGAGACAAAGCCAGCACGAGCCATTTGCTGACATTATGCTCTTCGTTGAGAAGCGCTCACAAAATGGGTCTCGGTTTGCCTGCAAGCTACATTCAATCATGGCATCACACTGTATTCAATCAAACTAGCATGATGTTCACCCCATATCAATCAACCCCAGTTTATTGATAGGTCCCTGGGTTTCCTGGGGAATCATCACTTTTGGAGGGGAACACTCCCCTATTAACAAACTGGGGGTTGATTAATACTATGGGTGGACAAAATCCTGCACCACTTTGAAACTATGGGAACCATTAGTTTGTTGCTATTTCTAGGGGAATCATCCTTCCAGGGTTTCTTAGGTGGTGCAGGAGTTCGTCCATCCACAGTATGGGGTGAACATTAGTGTGTTGTAGGCCCAGCGCATATGATCTGAGCGACGGGTGTTCCTTCGGCAAGCGCCCTTGAGCCCCCTTACTCGAGCCCCAACAAACATGACCCCCACTCCCCCCCCCCCCACCCACCCCCACCCACTCCCACCCCACTCCCTCCCCCCACCCACCCCCACCCACTCCCACCCCACTCCCCCCCACCCCCAACCCAGCCACCCCCAACCCAGCCACCCCCAACCCACCCACCCCCCTTCCCCAGGTCTATCCCAGCCTGTGTCGCGACGGGCCAGGTCAGCCAAGCTTGGACCTGCAAGCCAAGCCCCGCTGCTCACAGCAGCGAGGGACAACATTTGACATTCGAAAACGTTGCCCTAGCTGCCTGCACCCTTTTGTTGCAACGGTCACCAGACCCGGACACACACTTTCCTCCAAACACCCTTGCGGATGGTGATTGTTCTACCTTGGCGGTTGTATTATATACATGTATACATATATATGGTACCCACCCTGGCTTGGTTCGTTTTGCCTGCATGTGTCCAGTGTTTTATGCCTTTGCTTCTTGGATGTTGTGTCAAAATTAGGGCGGGTGCGATATGCATGCATGCATGCATGCATGCATGCATGCATGCATGCATGCATGCATACGTATGTGATAAACGCAGTGACATCAGCTTCTGCAATCTGAAAGACTTTGAATGCATCCAAGAGTATTAGAACAACTCATTGTGTTTTGTTTTCTTACATTTACAAAAAATAATGGATTCGAGATTCAAGATTCAATTGAATCTTGAATTCCAGGTTTTTTCTTTTACTAACTACAAATTCTGGATTCAAGATTCAGGAACCTGAGAAACCTTTTTCCGGGAATATTGAATCTTGAATCTGGAATCTTGAATCCAAGACAAAAGGCTTGTCCCAATACTCTCGGTGTTCAATAAGATTTTCGGATAAGCTTTCCGTGAACTAGTTCAATCTCCAATCTTCGATCCAGGGGAAAAATACGTTCCAGGTTTTAGAACAACTTGAACATCTTTAGGGGTTGACCAGGATGGATGATTCTCAGGAAAGTTGAATCACTTTCAAGTGCTTAGCGATCCAGTGGAAACACTTGCAAGTTATTAATTAGACAAATTTTCAAGTGCTTTTGGTGAGCAGTTTGCTTCATGTCAGCTATGCTCATGTTGACCCTTTTCCAGGAGGTAAACAAAGGTACGTGTAATGCTCACAAACGCTGTATTTTACAGTGTTTTATGAAGAGGCGCAGGATCAGTAGGGGTACTATATATGTGTGCATGAATATATATATATATATATACAAATGTATGTATGCTCACACATCGTCACCCCCCCCTCTTGAACTACCTGTCCAGATTCGCTCATCTACTACCTCCACCTTTGGGGATAGAATGAAGTGTGCTTTTCTGTGCAAATAGAACCTTAAGTACAACTGATTTAGCTAGAATCCCTGTTTCGAGATAGTTTTAGAATTTGAACCTCTCTTCCCTTGAAATTTCCTTTTGCAACACCATCTAACAAGTTTATTTTCGGACCTTTCTTATGCTACAAAAGCGCCAGAATGTAAATAACGCAAACCGTAGAATTATATTTGAGAAGTAGTCTCTAATTCGTTGTTAGTATCAAAAGCTAATTTAATTGTGTTTCGTATTATATTATATGTTACACCTAGATTATATTTGAGAATAAACTCCTAGCTACCCGAAACTATATTTACATTATCATGTAGCTTCTATTTGGAAAGGATTAGCTTATCTAAGCTGTAATTGAACATAAACACATGTTTGAACACTATATCCTAACTAAACTATATTCCAAATTCCCAATTCTAGTTGAAGTAAAATCTTATTTGGACAGGGTATTGGGACATTTCGGAGGACTCCGGGCTCCAAATATGAGGCTTTGGGGACCCACAATTGGAAATGTCGAGAATGTAAATCTCGAGATTCTAAGTTTACCATCCCCAAAAGGGAGTAAATCCAGGGACCATGAAAGGGGTTGCATATATATATATATATGTATATATATATATACATTTGTATATATATATATATAGATGTTGTCTTTTAGCTTGATGCCATCCTAATAAGTATATATATATATACACATGTATTGTACCATATTCATAATGAAGCAGCATTTCGTTTAGCTTGCCACAAGCCCGACTCTGCCACGCCTGACTGTCGCGCCGCACCGCCGCCGCCGCCGCAACCACCACCCCCTCCACCGCCCCCACCACTGAAGAAGTCGTCGCCACCCTTGCGACCCCGACCTGGCAAGGCTCCAATAAGCAGTGACAAGTTTTTTGTCATTCCCTTTTCTCTTGTTGATCTAGCTGGACTTATTGTACGTTTATATCAAACCTAACCAAAAACTTGTAAATTTAACATCAAACAGAACCAAATATATCTGAGATGTTTGACATACGTGGAAGCCGTCTCACTTCTGCACTTCTCCAGGCCAGCTGGGCGGATCGGAGGCGGGGCGGGACCGGCTCTCCTCAGCCGAAGCCGCTGAACGGCCGCTGGAATGCCCCTTCGTGGGGACAAGTTGATTTCCCAAATACGCGAAGGGTTCCCGAGAGGCAGAGTGAGAGGGAGTGAGAGGGAAAATCTTCACGCCATCAGCTTGCATTCGGCTCATGGCTTCTACCAGGCTTTTGATTCCAAGAGAAAAAGTAGATTTTTAGGCCCAAGCATGTGTCCAAGATGAGGGCTTGTCTTGTTCGGGGGAACCCACCAAAAATTCAGGGTGTTGCTTTAAAACCCAACCAACGAAAGTTTCCAGACCCATATGACAGCCATGCCCGCAAGTCGCTCCTCAGCATATCCTCCACCTCTGGAGTCACTTGCTGGTTCGTTCGCTTCATCACCTGCCGATCAGGCAAGGTCCACTCTCCCTAGGCCACTCTTTGGCTCGCAGCTCTGTGCATTTCGCCAAGGAGACAACGAACCAATTGGGTGTGTCCTTTCTTTTCCCGGACCCCCCCCCCCACCAATGTGGATTAACGGTATTCCTTTTGGCTACCACCAAGCAAAGGGATACCGACTCAAACAAAAAAAGACAAGCCAGGGACCCACTGTCCAGTTTTGCCTGTTTTGAGGCCCCGTCCTCTACGATGCCCCTCAAAGCATGGGCATCCCGCTCCACGATGAGGGTCACGGCGTGGCCCTTCATCCCTGCACGTCCCTGCAAGGCGATTTTTTTCGAAGAAAAACCATCTCGAACTTGAATCTTGGATCTGAGTTGCTTTTATATTTCTGATTTCAGTATCGTATGCCAGGCAAGCCTGCCATACTTTTGGAAAGATCCTGGTTCAATGTTATGACATGCTGTTTCAGACACGTGGCCGGCTTTTCTCTTTTTTTACCAGCCGGACTCGTTGAAGCACCAGCCACAACCCACGAGACCATCTCGGCGCCCCGGCGGTACGGCCGATGCGGTGCACGTAATCCTCCGTGTTGGAAGGCGCATCGTAGTTCACCACCAGAGTTACCTACAGGGTGGCTCGACCGTTTTTTCAGGGACCCACTTCTTGGCCGGTTTTACCGGTGAGTTACCGAAACTCGGTTGCTTTCTGCTCCCCTGCTAAAAGTTTAACCTTCAGTGGTTTAATGGAAAACCCATTAGCTGGCAAAAAGGAAAAGTCCTAACATGAAAAAGCAAGGTGGGAGCGAAAGCAAGGTGGGAGCGAAAGCAACGTGGGAGCAAAACTTCTACCGTCCTCCACACCCCATAAGCCAAACACCGGAGAACACCATACACACACACAACTTGCAACACTAACCCACGTTCACTCAAGCAACCAAGGACAAGAGGGTGGCTCGTGTTTTTTGCAGGGACCCACTTTTTGGCCAGTTTTAAAGGGAAACCGGGTTTTCTTGAGAAATAAGCAAAAGAAAAGCCACCAATTTTGGGGACCGCCAAAAAATGACATCCCCTAAACGAGAGAGTGAGCACAGTTAGAGTCCTCCCTTGAGACAACAGAACCCACATTCCGGCTGATCAGTTAGGCCAACCCGAGCATAAACATCTTCGCACCCTCATGGTGGTTCCCCAAGTCTGGCTGTTTCAACACATCCTGACCCATCTTGTTGTTGCGCCAAAATCCGCCGTCGATTCGCGCTTTGCGATGGCGGGGGTCCCTATATTTCCCTTTAAACATCACTCCACCAACAGGAAGCTCACTTTGAATTGGCCTGCAAGTTGGTGCTTAAAGCTTCTAAATGTTTCAACCTTCTTCTAGGGTGTTTCTTTCTTTGACGCTTCGGTCCATGTTGCCACCTTCTCCTTTGGGCATTGGCCTTGTTTCGGCTTCGCTGAACAAAGGTGGACTCGTCTCCATACGGCACCCGCGGCTTGCAAGGCCCGGGGCCCCGGGCGCCCTTGATGTCGAGGCCGCGGGCCGCCACGTCTGTGGCCACTAGGAGTTTCAGCCTGAGCAGATCCCGTGTGTTTTGTTCTTCCGGAAAGGAAACCTTGGCGTGGGGGACCTAGGATGTGTGTCTTTTTTGAGTTGGTACCATTTTTGCCCACAAACACAGCATGTGACTCCAAAGGGGGGCATTTTGGCTGGCGAGGCTGATCCTTCCTCACACTGTCATGTCCGAACTGTTTGGACCTGCCACTAAAATGTGGTTTCTCAAAAAGGACAAAGTCCGGACAAGTGACTAATGGCGACTTTTCGGTTTATTGTCTCAAGATGGGGAGGTTTTGTGTTTGGGTTCTTCCCCCCCCCCTTTTTTCACCCGAACAGCTGGGGCACTGTCTCTCATGGGGGAAGAACCGGCCAAATTGTGTCCTTCAAGAATGGTGTCTTTTTTGCGAAGCAACCAGGGCGAGCTCAAACGAACGCCCAGCGCACCTGCCCTCCTTCAAGCCATTGAGCGCCGCTTCTCGCTCACGTTGGCCCTGGCGGATCAAACGGGCAGCTTGTTGGTTTCTTTCGTGTCAGAAAGTCCGTTGCTTGCCGCAAGGTTGACCAGTTGTTGGTTATTTTCCAATGCATCTAGCTTAGACACCAATCCAAGCGCTACGGCTTCCGCCCCGCCCTTTTGACGGCGGATTCCGCTTCACCTCAGCCCGCCTTGTCCCCGTGCACGGCGGAGCAGGGCACCCCCTGCCGCTCCAGGTTCTCTGAGAGCTGGTTGCAGAGCCGCTTCGTGGAGCAGAAGATCTGGCGGAGGCTGGAGGTTTCGAGTCCTAGACCAACCGAGCCCTGAAAAAAAAAACATGGGAGAAGCTCCCAACATTGGAATCGGTCCCCTTCCAATTTGGCTTAAGCAAAGAGGATTCCCGCACCTGCAAGGGTTGGTCCCTAGTTTTGAGAGAAACTCCCACATCAACCCTTCACCAATCAAATGAAACAGCCAAAGCAAGGGGTCCCAGAAGTAGACTCCTTCTTGCATGGCCGTTGCTTGCATCGCTTGAGTCGCTTGCTTGATATGTCTATCATCGTGCACACTGGCAGACAGCGACCAGCTCAGCAGAAAATCGAGCCGGCGCGACCAAGCCCTTCGCTGCAGTGTTGCCGCGGTCCGCCACGCCTGCCTTGCGCAGGAGGTCCATCAAAATGATGTTCCTTGGCCGTTTGGCGCGACGCAGAGATTGTATTCTTGAGGAAACCCCCAACACTGTGGCTATCCACTTTGGTGTCCCCTTGAAAACACCCCCATGTTTGGGTTCGTACCCTCCAAAAAAAGAATGCCGGAACCAAAATGACAGGCCATAAATTCTTCGAACAAAAGAAAAGCCGAGGATCTTATTGGAGGGGTTGCAGGGGAAGACCTGCTGGGTGATGTCCTGGTTGCCCTTGAGCTCATCCCGGTTCCCGATCGTCACGGTGTAGGGCCCGCTCAGAAACTCGCTGGCCAACTTCCGGACGCTCATCGGCCAGGTGGCCGTGAAAAACCTCACGGCATCGGACGGCCCGGGTTTTAAACACGGAGGTGTCTGGGGGAAAGTGAAAACGTGGGTGAGAAAACCCATGCCTGGGATGTTTCTCAAGAAATGCAAATCGCCCAGAATGGTATTCCTTCTGGCTTTCCTTAACATACCCCGGTTGCCAACCAAGCCACATCGTTCCAAGTGGACAGAAAGCTCCAACCAGCAAGGCGAGCAACAGTGCATCGCTTGCGCGTTGTCCACCAGACAGGGTGTCAACAAAAAGCGGCGTCTTTTTAGGGCGCAGCGGTTCTCCCCTTTTGGTTTCCCCTTAAACCCACAAAACTACCAGGGCACCACCTCCAAAACAAAAACGCGCGCCAGCCACGGCAAATCCTCCCAGGTCCTATCGCTGGGGTCATTATGTTGACGCTTTCTGAGGGTTATCAAAGTCAGTCAATGGAATCGGTTGTTTCCCTTTAACCCACTTAGGGGTGACTTTGATCATGGTAAAATAACGATCCCCCCCTTCCAGGCCATCCCCCCCAAAAACATGCCCCCCGCCCGACCATGCCATCCCCCCCAAAAAACATAGAAGAAGTAGGGATGCTGGGGGGAGTGCTGCTATAGTAGAAGTTGAATTATTTATTAAATGTGTAGTTGATGAAATATTATTCAAATGTGTATTTGAAGCTATTGTCAGATTACCTATTTAAAATGTGTTTGGTGAAACATTAACTAATTACTTGCTATGGTTGCTGTATTGTTCATTACGAAATAAGCATTTGAACAAATATTATTTGATAATACATTTACTTATGTGTTGTTCTATGTTTCAGTTATATCATAAAAATTAGCATTTATTTGGTGTTTGGTGTAAGTGTCTGCTTGGTCTGCTTTACTATCTAATACTGTCTGAATGTCGGACTTACTTGCGTAAAGGTCGTCTATATCACTGACTGCTCCGTCTTTTTTTTGTCTAATTCTATTCGCTGCAATATCAAAGATATTCATTAAGTGTTTGCTCCTAATATTATATTGTTAATTAGAAAACAGAAAATTAATAATATCATATTTGTCTTTAGATTAATCGTAAAAGGTTACGCTGTTACTTCGTATTTCAAGAATACACTCATGAACCATTAGCATATAAAGTCGCTCACCCATTTTACTATCAGTATATAATGTTGAGTTCTCCATCGCCTTTATCTTCCCAACCATATTGGACTTATTTTTCAAATTCATTCCAGTATAACTAGCAGACTCTATTTTTTTGCAGATTAAAGCCATACATAAACGCGTGAGACCTATAATCTTCCGCACCAATCAACATAGGTTTATCTGCACAACGCATAAGATGGACGTACGCGATGGTATAACTTGATTACCAACTATCAAAGAAGCAGATAACTCGTTCTCTGGATCATGGTATCCTTTATCATTTGTTATGTGTGCCAGTAGATGATACATAAAGTTGTATTCTTTCAGTAATTCACCGCATCCACCTACATAACCTTTTTGAGTGGCATTTGAAAAAGAAATACACAGTTTATTTAATTTAGACACATTACGGACAATAGTTGTGTATATGTCGCTTGATGTTGATGCAGTTTGTTCTTGTAAGGTTTCAGTTTCAAAAGTAATAGAGAGAGAAACATTTTCTATTTGTTTAGCATACTCGGCATACAAACTATCATCAAGAGTATAAACATGTCCTTTGAAAAGTGGTTTTGCAACTGACCACGTGATGCTCGTATTTGAAGCAGTAAAAAGTCCTGTTCTATTAACAATTGGTTTTAATACATCAGTGGTTAAATATAATTCAATCGTAATTGGACAATAAGGTAAAGGAATCCAGTTTTCACAAGTCTTGAAACATTTCAAATTCAAATCAATATAGACATTAGCACTTTTACCTGCTTTAACTCCCCTATATTTGCCATTGGTGACATTTCTAACGACTGCCTGCGAATTAGAGGTTGCTGTCGCATCGCCAGTTACAAACCGTCCATCGTGATTAAGAAGAGTATTTCCAAAACCTAATGCTTCATCAATTATTTTTCTTCTGATGATTTTAATACATATTTCATTGAACTCGCACGAGAGAGGGATGTTAAATCGCATACAATAACATCACCCATTAATACACGCACCCTATCAAAGAAACCTGCTGTATCAATTGGTCGGAGTTCGTGATTTTCTGCTGTATCAGTGTTGTTTAGAGTAAATCCTAATAATAGAGATGGTAAGGACAACCATTGATTTGCCGGTCCAGTAATGTTAAACCTAATTACAGAATTTGTATCAGCAGTATAAGTAGAAACCGATGACGGATAAAAGTGTTTACTTTCTTTTGAACGGACATAAGAACCATCGTCTTTTAATTTAAATCTCAAATTATTTTCAACAAGAACATCTGAAATATCTAATGTGTCCATTTTTATATTTTTAGTAATAGAAAATTATTGTATTATTATGCTATTAAATTAATGTATTTTAAAGTTGGAATAATCTATATAAATTATTTTTTGATTTTTGGTTTAATAGTTTTTTTAGATGTATTTTTAGTATTATCATGTTCAACCTTATAATTAGGTCCGTCTTCTACAATCTTTTTAATGTCATCGTAGCTGTTTTTCTTTTTTGGATTTATAGCGTTTTTAATCTCATTATTAGGCATTATATATAAGACTATAAGATTTCCTTTACAGGTTCAATGCTTCTTGTTACATCTTTGCCTGTATCGGCATATAATGAGTGTTGATGATTTGTTAATGGGTTAAAACCTCCTCTATTTGTTGTTATACTGCCTCTATCTAAAACACTGACCACATCGCCAAGATTTCGTAGACTTGTGTAGTTGTCATTACTTTTGTTTGACATTGAAACAAACGGAGCGCCGTAAGTTGTCAAACGAATATTTCTATCAAAGTTATTTTGTAAATATTTAGCAGAAGCGGATGCACCAAGACTATGACTAATCACTTCAGATATATTATAGTATTCATCAAGTATATCACTACTATCTCTATACCTTTCACTGTATAAACTTAAACCAAATGCAATTGTAATATCAGAAGCAATATCATTAATGCTTGATTTAATAGTATTCTTACCAAATGTACCTGCTACATATAGTTTATTGCCATCAACAAAGAAATCTTTGCCATTTGTATATGCTTTGTTTAATCCTTCTGTGTCAGATAAATGATTTATATTTACGGTTGAATAATGACTTTTCTTGTTGAATTTCAATAATAATTGTTCTATACATCTCACTATGACCTTGATGAAGTGCATTGTGTGTTTTTAGATTTCCTTATTTTAAATAATATTCGTACTTCGTAGCGTTTTTATTATCATAAAAACCGTATTTCATTGCATTAATTATTGATATGTGTTATCTAATTAATTAATACAAATATGGCAAGATTTAGAAAAATATACATTGATACAAGACATAGAAATTTAAATGAAAGTTTAAGCACTTCTGACTTTGTTATAGATGTACCAGAAACCCAAGAAACAGGAGCAAATACAAAACTATATGTTCACGAATTATCGCTACCCAATACTATGTATCCTATTGAAGAAAATGTACATATTATATCTAACATTAGCAGGAACAACAGGAGGAGCACCAGTATATTATTTTATTGTTGGTCTTGATAAAGGTAGTTATGTAGGCAGTGAATTAGCAACTGAATTACAAAATAAATTAAATACTGCTACTAACAAAACTGATGGAAATAATTACTATTTTAGTTGTAGTTATTCAATAAAAACAAATACTATAACTAAGTTGTAGTTATGTTGCTTATGTTATATAATTCGTACGGATAAATAATTGCTAACTAACTATGGTTTTAGTGTTGATTATGATAGAAGTCATACAATGTTTATTAACAATGTTTTAGGAAACACTGTTGGAAAAAAACAATTCTGCCCCTGACCCTTTTGTTAGTGGTTTTGTTAATTTATTACCAATGAAAAATATTTACTTAACCAGCGACAGTTTAACTAATGGAAACCAATTAGCACCTTGTTGTGTTGCCCGTGTATTAAATAAGATTCCAGTAACCGCAGGGTTTGGAAATGTAATCTATGATAATGAGATTGTAATGAATGACGCCAACAAGAAGCAGCAGAAGAAGTTAAACCTGTTGAAAAAGAATTTACTGTTAAAAAACAAATGAAGGAGAAAATGAATTATCCTACTTGTGGAACTTTATTGACTGCTTACAACTATAAGTATAAACACGCTTGTTGAGGAGTGAAGAAGGGCACTAACAAAGTTATAGATTTGAACAAACCCAATACAAAAAGGTCATCAATACAGCCCAACCAGAGGAATTCAAAGAAGAAGTTTAAAACAGAGTAAAAAGTGATATTGCAAAAGTGGATGAACAAGAAATAGAAAGACGTGTAGAAGAACGATTGAAAAAACATTTGGAAACAACTGCTAATAAAGTATTTAAAACTGCAAAAGACAGGGTGGAAGCAGAGCTTACACCCTTCGCCGCAGCGCGGCTCAGGTATAATAATATCAAGGCAGAGCGAGATAATAATAATAAACAGAAAATTAACAATTTAGCAAGTAAATTATTCAATCTAATTATTGTTATTTGAATAAGTCAGATTCTGAAAATATAAAATCGACACTTACAAAGAATGGCAAGCAGGTAAATTACCAACATCAAACACATTTTATATTCCCATAACAAAACCTAACAAGAAGTTTAAATCAAGCGTCCATTACTATTACGAAGGAAACAACAAAGCACATCAACCAAATTATACATATCTGAAAGAAATGAAGGAACAATTAGAATATCATAACGCTAAAAAAGATTATTGTGTATTTCAAAAAAAATATCAAGATGAAGCACAGGCATATTTTAATGAAATCTAAAGGTTGGAAGGTGAAAAGATAAGACATCATCCATCAAGTGAAACAGGCAAAAACTATTCGGAACGAGCAAGACAATTAGACGAGAAAGATGAGTGGCAGTCAGTAGCAACTGAAAAATCAAGTGATGATGACTTACCCGTTAGAACCGCTTATGACAGAAGACGAAGCAGTTAAACGGATACAAGGGGCGCAAAGAGGTTCATTGTTCAGACAGAAAGTAAGACGAGATGATGACCCAGAAAGCACACACGAACCAAAGGGAAGAAGAGGAAGAGCGAGAAACGTCGAACCTATGCCAAAACCAAAATCAAAACCAAAGCCAAGAGCAACAAAGGATTAACCAATCATTTTACATAATTTATCAAGAAATGTATAAAATGATTAACAATCTCAAACACGAGTTAAGGAAACGTCCTACTTATGATGAAATGCTCAAACAAGCAATTACAAGCAAACTAAAAACAACTGTCATATTGAAGAAATACAACAAAGGAATGTTATTGTGGTTTTTCTTTACTTTGATGTAATAGTTTTGATGAATTATAAAAATAAAGAAAGATGTATGAACGCAGAAGTTATGATGTCAGACAAGGCAACACAAACGCTTAACAAACAAAACAAGGCAACTCAAACAGACCTACCACATGATAGGGCAACGCAAACTTATAATTTTGATGATAAGACAAAGACTTTAGGTGGGTCTTCAAAGAAGTTTAAACAAGGCGGAAGCAGAAGCATTAGCATTTACATATGACCCTGACTTATATGATGATGACGATGATGACGATGTTGACAAAAGGATGATGACATCGATAAATACAAAAAGAAAACTATTTATGTTTATGAGGATTGTAGAATTTATGTTGAGGTCAGGTTTTAGTATAGGACAAATAGTAGCACACTCAACATATCACACTACAATAAACCACAATTCAAATTGCAGAGTTATTAGTTAATTTAACAATGAATTCATTAGTAACATCTTATGATATAGCAAGTACCATAATGAATTGGTTGAGTACAAATGTTAGTGAGGAAATTGAGTTAAATACGACATTGCAAAGCAATGGCGGGGTTGATTTATCAACCTCCTCGCCCCCTGTTAGTGTTCATAGTTCATGTTAATAGTTCTTCAACGCATACTGTTACTTCATCATCATCAGAAGAAAATGCTAATTATGAAATAGCACCGCCGACTGACATCCCTGTCCCTACCGGCGTGGATGAGGACAAGTCCTCATCCTCAGCGCTTGGGGAGCAGAGCTCCCCAACCGGTGTTGAAAGTGAAAATGATGAAACTGAAAACCCTTCAAAAAATATAACTACTTCAAGAGAAAACGCTATAATAGAGTAAAAATGACAGGAATGTTCATTAACGGCAATAGAAAACAGAGAATGACGAATGACGAATTTGATATTATGGAAAACGACTTACAGAGGATAAGCGAACAGAACCAGTCGTCAAGCGAGGTCAGCGAGCAACCCGTGAGGTGGAAGGACGACCAGAAGACCTACCACCAGAACTACTACATCAAAAACCTAAAACAGTCTTACACCTGCGAGGACTGCGAGAGGACGATATCAAGCAAATCAAATTTATCAAAACACAAGAATCTAACATTCGTTTAAAGAGCAAACAATAGGCAACCCTTGCACAAAACTACTCAAAGAGAAATTACCTTATATTCTATAGAGTATAGCATTATGGTTACCATGTCAGAAGGAAAAAATAATAGATTTCATTTTCAACAGTCAACAAGGCGAACTGATACAAAAAGAAGGGAGGCAAACACAAAAACTCAAAATAGGTGATAAAACTTACAAATACGACAAAAACAAACCCGTTTCAAAGGTATTGAACACGAAACTCAAGGAAGTGGCGAGAAGCAACGACTACAGAAAACACCGTCTTTTAATGAAAAGTGCTAATTATCTAAAACTAACGAGGGGTAAACCCTTACAGGATTATGTCAAGCAGTTCAAGTCCAAAGTCACTGACGAGCAACAAGCGTTCAAGGGATATGCCAACACCTACTCGGTAAGCGATATACGATTAAAGGGGATGAAGGGTTTATCCTACTCAAAATACCAGAAGCAACGACTATCAGACTTCCTCAACAGAAACCCAACCATGCAAATAATCGTGGAAGCTGATTTATCATTCAAAAATCCTAACAATGAAGTTGACTTCTTCTATTTTCCCCCCGCCCATGCCATCCCCCCCCCCCCTATCGGCCAGGGCGCAGCGTCTGCCTCTGCCGCGGCACCTGCAGCAGGATCTTCCGGATCTGGGGCTCGAAGCCCATGTCCAGCATGCGGTCCGCCTACCAAGGGGTCCAAAACGGGCCCGTTTTGGGGCTTGGGTGCCACCATGGGGGGTTCATGTAACCACTGCTATTTTTACCTAAGGATTTTTGCATGGGGTTGGGTTTAGATAACCACCATTGTGTTTGGGGTCAGGTGCCACCACTAAAAACCAATGGGTTGGGTTAGTATGCCCTCCCTTCGACGAACAGAAGGCATCTGGGGCCTAAGGTTTTTCCTCCAAATTGGATCAACAGTTCTTTTGATGGGGGTGAACCCCAGGGACCCGTTTCGAGGGTGATTGTTTCTTTTGAAAGGCCCCACTTTGAGGCTTTTTAGAGACGAAGACAGATTTTCCTGGATTCTCAAAATAGGGGTCGACAGTTATCCCTTTGTCCTAGGATGGGGGTTTCTCGAAATTGTGGAAACTGTTCTACATTGCAGATACTACGAAACTTGCTTGGTGGTTGCCGCGCATTTTTCGCGATGATTGTTCGAGAAAACAAAGAAAGCAGCGAGCTAACAGCTGTCTGGCAAGAAGATGATTGTTCAGGGAAACAGCCGCTGTCCAGCAGGAAAACTCTGGACAGGGTTGCAAGCCTGAACCAAAAAAAAACAGGCTCAGCATTGCCACTGGGGCACACGTTTTCGTGTTCCGTGTGGGGCTGCCCGCCTGGAACATGTAAGAAGCACCGGCCACATCCCCAGCATCAGCTGTATTAAAAGCCGTGAAGCCATGTCCAGCTAAGGAAGGCAAAGGGAGCTGTTCAGCAAAGGAAAACTGTTCGTATGACTAAGTTACTCGATACATGTCAGCGCAACACCTGGTCAACAACTCAAGATCCGGACCAGAAAGTTGCGCTGCCCAGTTTGAAAAACAGACAGGTCAAGATCCAGAAAACCACCAAACTGCCCGAACTTGCGGATCCGAAGATCCTTCCGCCTGGCTCTTGCGACCAGTCACCCGCCTCATCCAAGGTGAGCTTGGTGCAGTTCCCCAACCGCAGCTGCCCTCCTTCGCAGAAGTCCTGGATCCGGCCTGGCGTGCCCACAACGCCGTGCACGCCCGCGCGGATCTGGTCCGCCTGGCCGAGAACATGTCAATGAAAAAAAACGGCATCCAAAATGGGGGGGTCAAAACAACAGGCGAGCCGCCAAAACCTGGTGCTCAAAACGGCCTCCCCATGCGACAAATGGAACCGGAGATCCGCACCCATGGGGCTTGTCCCTGACTGCTCTCCAATTTATGCGGGTGTTGATTGTGCCTCGTGGGAGTGAAACAAAAATCCGAAGCCGAGAGTTGGGAATCGTTTTTGAGGGTCCACCAACATGGAACCCACCAGCGGGTCCCATAAGGACCATTCTCTTCCACCCCAAAACCTCAGAACATCATGTTAGATGGGAGAGTACCCTTGCTTCAGGGAAACCAGCGGGAAAACGCATTGTCAAATGGCTGTGGCTCGAAAAATGGAGTAAGCACCTAAAGGTAAATGGAAAAGACTCAAACCTGCGTTTTGGCCCTAGCTCTTCGAAAACTGAGCCATTCCCAAAAATCTGCCGGACTCACCGGTCCACCCCCCCCCAGCCCCGGCAACCCGCACTCTCCGTCTAGTCACTCGCCTGAGGCGGTTTCGGGGCTCCGCCGTAGCAGCAGACCGTGCGAATCCCCGCGGCCTTGCCGAACCTGACTTGCTGCGATGGGCAGGGAATGACAACGAGACAGGGTGTTGGTTAGAGTCATTCCAACTCCTTCCTGACCTATGCAAACAGCAAGAAGGGCATGAACTTCTAACGGGGGGGCACCCGGTGGACATCAAAGTTACGTTAGGTGTTTCTTTGTTTATGATTATGTATGTGCAAAAAAAAATGTGGACCTCATAGCCCATGGCCGAGGCACTTGTCGGCTTCCTCCTGGATCTGGATGGCCAGCTCGCGGGTGGGCGCGATCACCAGCAGCGTGGGAGCGCCTGCCCCGATGCCGCGGGTGAGGATGTCGGTGAAGGCGGGCAGCAGAAAGGCAAGCGTCTTGCCACTGCCTGGGCCACTCACAAACTTGATCTTCTTAGCCATGAAACTGCGACTTTTGTGGGTCAAGTTGAGCCATTTCCATGAAACCGCAAGCTCATCAATTTACTGGTGGGTTCCCATGAAACTGCCACTTAGGTTCACAGGTCAAGGGCAACTGAGAGAGCCCTGCCTGTGGCCGCCACTCCAATGACGTCACGGCCCTGCATCGCCAAGGGCCAGGTGTACTGCTGGATCTGCGAAGGAGCGGGGAAGCCCGCGCGCAGGATCTGGCTCTTGATGGCGGGGGGGAAGGGGCAAATCTCGAAATTGTCGTACGCCTGGAAGCTCGTGACCAGCTGGCCCATGGGATCCTGAACCTTCACCTCCTGGTCGGCGATCGTCTGTCCGGTGCCCCCCATGTTGAAATTCCCCGCCAGCTCTTCCATTGTGGGGAAGTGCCCGTCGTAGCCATTCATCTGGGCCATGCCGGGCATGCCGGTGGGCATGCCACTGGGCATGCCACTGGGCATGCCGGTGGGCATGCCGGCAGGCATGCCGGCGGGCATGCCAGCTGACATGCACGGTGCTGCGGGCATCGTGGCAGGCATCGTGGCAGGCATGGCGGTGGGCATGGACATGGGGGCAGGCGCCTGGGCTTGCGCACCCCCCCCCAACAAGCCTGCCAGGGTCGTCGGCGGGGCAGCGGCACCCGATTTGACGGGGATGCTGGCGGAAAACTGGGACTGATCGGCCCAGCCATTCTGAGGCTGGCTGGCCTCCATCGCGCGCTGCTGCTGCGCTTGCCAAAACTGCATCATCATCTGCTGCTGCGGAAGACCGCCCAGCATGTTGCCGACCTTATCGCAGCCAGACGCGTTGACATCACGGGAGAAGAGCGAGAGAGCGCGAGAGAGAGAGAGAGAGAGCGAGAGAGAGCGAGAGAGAGAGAGAGAGAGAGAGAGAGAGAGGGGGACAGAGAGAGAGCAAGAGAGCGAGAGAGAGAAAGAGAGAGAGAGCGAGGGGGAGAGAGAGCAAGAGAACGAGAGAGAGCAAGAGAACAAGAGAGAGAAACAGAGAGAGAGAGAGAGCGAGAGCGAGAGAGAGAGAGAGAGAGAGAGAGAAAGAGCGAGAGAGAGAGAGAGAGAGAGAGAAAAAAAAATTAAAAAAAAATAAAAGAAGGAGAAAAAAAAGCGAGAGTGAGAGACAAACAAACAACCAGAAAGCAGGATTGGCGCCCGTTTCAGGGTGTTTCACTTCACTGAACAAAGCACATCCCCGCCCCCCCCCCGGCCCCAAAAGCCGAATGGCATCTGGCAATCTGAGCCCGCAGCAGGCCGTGGGCAAAAGTCTTACTTTCGCTTCTGCCCGCGGGAGAATGGGGACGGGTACAGAGACCCTCTCGAAATGTGCAGGAAATGCAGCCAGTTAGGCCCCGAATCCAGGTCTTGGCTGCTGACTCAAGCTATGTGTCTGCTTTGTGGTACAATCATAGCCATGGCATCTGGGTGTGGTGTACTAAGGACAAAGCCATGGGATCAAATTGGGTTGCGGATCATTGCTCTTTGCGTGGACTGGTTGTTTGAAGGGTAAAATGCCAGGGAGGCACAGCGGGTTTCAACAAAAGACGACCAAAGGCTGACAGAAGCCTCCAAGAATCTTCCTCCAAGGCCCGCAGCAAGGCAGAAGGACAGTATGCGGGCCACTCGTACATGCTAGGTGCAGGCTCGTTCTGTTTGCGTCGCAAAACCAAGCTCAAGATATTCGCATCGCAGGGTTCACATGACGCGAGTGCAACAGCAAGGTCCAAATAGATGTTCATCAACATTTGCCTCACGCAAGCGGCTGCTGCGCCGGAATGGAACCTTGCCTTGCTGTAGCTCTCTCGTCCCCCTGCTCTAAAAGCGACCATATACGCAGCCACGGATTGTGGGTGCGGCTGTGGAAGGTGGCGCAAAGCGAAACAAACGAGTACATCGCCAAAAAGCTAAACGCCTACACGCCCCTTCCTCGAAAGTGCATAATCTGCAAGAGTCGTCGCATGCCATGGCAGCACAAAAGAGCTAAGATTGGACACATGTCGCCATGGCAGGGCGAGTGCTGCGTTGGCACCAAGGCCTGGCCTGTGTCAGCTTAGAATAGCTTTCCAGGTCAAAACACCGACAGGTCACCATGGGGCCAAAGCCCTGCACCGGCCAGTGGAAGAGTGAAATCGAGCACTTTGAAATAGATGTGCTCTCATGCCCGACTGTCTCGTGCATGATGCCGCCCAAGAAACGAAGAAACACAAGCTGTGCCAAACGAGGAACAGCTCTGAGCAGCCTTTTGGAGACGTCTCGTCTTCTTTCGAAAGAAAACCTTGGGCGGCAATCGGCCAAGGTTTTAAACGGTCGGACGGAACGGTGGTTCCCACACCACCCCGCGACGTCACCCGAAGCTGCCACCTCATTTCTTGGTCTTCTCCTTGTCCTTCTCGGCAGCCTGCGCTCTTGGCCAACCAACTTGAAAACAGCTTGGCTGTTATTCAACCACCGCCAGGAACCAAGAAAGAGCCTCGCTTGGTGGCGCTTTCTGCAAGTTTCTGCCACCGAGCCCTCTGCAGTCATGCAAGGTGTACACTGGTCGCCTTGAAATGCAGTCAAGCACCGTATTGCACAACAATACAAATCCGCAGACATGCTTATGAGACGACATCGTTCACTCATTTGCTCATTTGCCTCCACTGCTTCGATACCCTCGATGAGATGCTGCATTGCCTCCTGTCAGAGGCTCACAAGCGCCACTGCAGGATTCCAAAGTGACGGACCCACATGTGCTCTTTGCTCTACGGAATGGGCCCCAAGACCCCCAAGAAGCCGCAAGCCGCTAGCTCACTACAGTTGGTCCTAGGCCCAAATGGACCAGCCCCCTAACCTGGATCGCTTGCGACTTCCAGCCATCTTTCGAAGGCGCCTCGGCGGTGTCTGCGAAGCGCAGCTGCTGGGCGTCCTCGGCGCAACCACCCGACGGGTCTCAGTGCGGGTTGTTGGCTGTCTGGGCATGCGGCCCAATCAGAGATCATGCCGTAGTGCACGAACCTCAGGGAGCTTGGTCGGGTGTCTCAAGATTCAAAAAAAGGGGGAAGGGGGGGGAGGCCTTTTTGGATGGTTTGAGGAATTAAGCAAAGGAAACCCAAAGGAAACTACTTGGATGGGTCCCAATCTTGAGAAACGCCCGAGCAAGCTCGAAATCCGAAGCTGCAAGGCCGCACCTTGGTCAGCACAGGGCTATGTCTTGCTGTGCTTGGCTCCTTGTCCGATGTTCCGCCTCATCTTCTGCTTTCTCCCTTGATATTTTCCATTCCAGGCCTCTTCATTTCAGCTCGGAGCTTCTTCTGCAACTGTCATTAACTGTCCTTCACTAGGCTGCGACATTCCGGCTGATGTGGATGTCCGGCGGATCCGCCTGGCCCTGCTCAAACTATGTTCTTTCCTTGCCTCACCTCCGCAGCAGCCTGGGCCTTGGGCCTTGGGCCCCAGCGCGTCCCACTGAATGCAATCCTTCCAGAACTTCTTGCCGATGAGGACAATCTCAGCAGCGAGTGCTCTTGAGAAAGTCCAATGGCCAAAATCGATCCACCACCTTCTCAGGCATGCAATCTCAGGCATGCAACTCGCCTACCGCCTGGGAATCCCCGGTCAAACCGAGAACCTCTGAGGCTTCCACAGGAAGCTGTCGCTTGATTTTCCCTGTCTGCATCAAGGTCAGCCTCGGGAAATCCGAGTCCAAGCAGCTCACCCAGCCCGCGCCCCCGCCCCACACGCCCCGACGCCCGAGGCAGCGGCAGCTCAAAGAGCTCATCGCAAGTGCCAAAGCCGCCAGGCGCCACCACCAATCCCATGCACTGGCCGAGCAGACTGAAAAATGTCTCGCAAGCTCTCGCTCTCTCGAACCCCCCCCCCCCGCCGCCGTATGCCACGGTGTTTGCAGGAGGTGCCAAGACGCACAATGCCCGTTGACCCTACCGCACTGTGCCTACTCCGTTCAGTGCTCTCCCTCTCTCGCTCTCTCTTTCCACTTCATCAAAAGTTCGCAAAGCAAGCGGTTTTCCTGAACTGTCGTCGTTTGGCGACAGAATGCAATAGCGACACTCCCCAAGCATACCCTTTGACATCCCAAGAGCATGGAGCAATGCTTCGCGGTCCGTGTCCCAAGACGAGCGGCACTTTTCTCTAATGTGCTTTCCAGGTTTGAAGCATGCAGCTCAACCATGATCTCAGTTGTAGACTGCAGCTGGCTTGGCAAAATGCGCTTGATGCAGGTTTGACATCACTGCAATCCGCGGCATTTCTGACACTGCCTGTTTCAGCTCAATGCTTTTCCAGATGCCCACATTAAACACATTGATGGTCTCAGCTGGTTCCTTTCCGGTCGCCTCTCTGAACCAGTAAGCTCGCCCATTCGGAAAGTAGGCGACGTCGCCGGCGTGGAGGGTCTCGTTGGCGAAGGCCAGGTGAGCTTCCTTGCCCAAGATTCCGCCCTCCAGCGACACGACCACACTCCCCGAGACGACCATGAAAAATGAGTCTGCGGTGGTCCACACCACGGGACGGACAGCTCCAGGATCCAGCTCGGTCCGCTCTTGGGACATGGTACGAGAAAAGGGAAACTGGTCTGTACGGATTCGATACAATGTGACACCCTCAGTATCGGGAAGCACCACCTTCTGCTCGACATAGCCTTGAACAGCAGCAGGAGCTCCAGTCGTCTCCTGGATCCTGGGACACTCCGGATCGCATGCACCTGGAGCCACCGCCGTGACGATCGGCGCAGTCATGTTGCGGTTGCTGTAGTGGATGGAATGCTCTGCTCTGCCAAAGGCGGGCCTGGAAGCGTCATAGGTCGCCAAGGAGATGTCAAGAGCATATGCCGCTACATCATTGTCTGCCTGGGCCAGCGTGGTATCCAAGTTGTGGCCGTTGGGCTCAGCCGCCTGCGGAGAAGCAAAGACGATGGTGAACTCGCAACCGCCATCCTCTTCCGGAGTGACGCAAAGCAGGCCATGCAGCCAGCCCGAAGGAAAGTACCACACACCTCGGCGCTCGAGGATGTTGGTGGAGCTTGGCCAAGGAAGACCATCCGGGCTGGCCACGTAGGTCATGAGACGCCCCTTGCTTACAAAGCCCCATTCATCAGCTTGACTGTGCCAGTGAATCATGCGCGTGGCTCCCTTGCACATGTTTGTAAAGTGGGCCCCAGTCATCTGTGCCTGACCATGCGCCCAGGCGCAAGGATCATTGAAGCGGATCGACGCGCCGCCCATCTTGGGGCAAATCTCTGGGAAGTAATCATTCGGCTCTACCTTCGACATCCGATAGACATAGGTTGCAGGGCCCACCTGCCCGCAGTCACCAGGCCTTGGAATTGGAACATCTGTGGTGCCGGGCGGCAGAAACTGGGCAGCGGCTCCAGCCAGAAGTGCCCCGATCACTCGCGACATGACGCCCGTCGAAAGGAGCGGCCTTCGTCGCGTCTAAAAAAGGCCGAGCCGAGCCAAAGATCCCTGCCAGCGCGAGTTTTGGCAGTGCCAGCGCTATGTCCACCAATGCCACCATCTTGGAAAGCTCACATGTGCGTGTGTTTTCGGAGGGTACCCTTTTTGTTGTGGGTCTTAACCCAAAACCCGAGGCCAAGTTTGGAGGAGTCCCCAAAAGAGAGACCCCCAGTGGCTGCCGTTTGCGCCGCCTTGAAGGCCATCCAAAACTTTCGGGTGAAGAAGTAATGGAACTCGAAGCCCAGACTGGGCGTGACCTCGGGGCTTACGAAACCTCTCATGTCGGCCTCCCTCGAATTGGCAATCTTTCAATCGGTGGTTTGGTGGGGATGCTCAGAAGCAGCCAAGTAAGGAGGCTTCAAACAAAGGCCTACACGGAGCCTTTGATAAGGAGCCGAGTGATCCTGCATCCATCTCTTTTTTTGGAAAAACCGACAGTGGATTGCACATCAGTCCAAAAGCGAGCCAGAAAGCCAAGGCAGAGCATCAAAGCTTAGCTCAGGCAGCTCCGAGCTTCATGCATAGGGATTCAAGCCATCCTCGAAGGGCACAGAGATGCCAAGACCTCCCAGCATCTCAGATCTCGCTCGTCACGGGGGAGAAAGAAAAAAAAAGCGGCCCATCATTCGCAAGTCGATCTTGGTCAAAAAAAAAAAAAACGCTGAAACATGCCCATCTCAAGTTCCAACCGCATGCCCTCAGGATTTGAAGAGGGCGAACCGGCCTATGGACTTTCCCTTGGCTTGAGCTGCGCCCTCGTTGGCCGCCGCCATCATTCCAGGCCCGCCGCCTGGCAGCAAAAAAAAATCCGGAAGCAGAAGGCGGTGTGAAGACCCACATTGGACATGGGTGAATTTTCAATGGCGGACCCGGACTGGTGGGCATCATTTAGGTTGGGATTCAGAAATGAACTGGTGGAGATCATTTAGCTTGGGATTCATGTCCACCACCCACTTCGGACATTGTTTCCGAATGACTTTCATGGCCACATGCGCAGGTCACCCTGCCTGTGCCCACGTGGTATTCTGGTAGGCCCTGCTGGCTACGCTTCGCGCTCCACTCGGACAGTAGCCTGGATCAAGAGTTCTGCGATGCCGGGACAAATTATCTCGCTGGTGCGATAGGCAGGGAATGAGAAATGGAATGATCCTTATAGACCATCCAACCGGTGGTTTCCTTTCAGGAGACCCCTGGATTCATGCCCACATGTCCTGAGCACCACGAAATGAATGCTGTAGATGGGCGTCGATGTCCATTTTTCTTTGACTTCTTTGGAGCTTATTTGGCAAGGCCCGCGCTTGACGCCCTGCGGTCAGTGTTTGATCCGGTTGACTGCGATAGTCAGCTTAAGTCCATCACTGGGTTGCAGATGTGTATAGAAGATTAAAAAATAAAAAGTCAGAGTGGTAGGCAGGTACGGCAGGTAGAAAATATTTTACATAGCACCAAGCACAACCCATGCGAAAAGCATGTATTTGACTCTTGTACTTACACAGAACAGGAATAAATTGAGGGGCTGGTGTTTCGCTTGCGCAGTTGCACACGGAGAAGCCGAGGAATCCGAGCCACTCGTAAGGCCTCTTCAAAAAGTCATTGAATTCTGTTGGTCCAAGGTTGCACCCCCCCCCCCGCCACCCCCCCCCCCCCCGCCCAGGCACCTGCAGGTTTCCCGCACCACGTCGAACATGCCGATCTTAGTGGGGCAGCGCTGCCACATGCTGCTCGTCTTTTCCACAAACAATACCGCAGGAGCTTCCCCCCCTTTCAGCCCCCGAGCGTGCAGTATCTCGAGGATCACATCCTTTGCCGTATGTACAAGTCGCCGCGACGACAAGTGGCCACGACTGGTGAGAGCATGAACTTTCAGCCATAAATAAAGGAGGCTAATATTGGCTAATATGCAACTTTCTGCCCAGCGGCAGAAAAGTTGCGCCATGGATTCAGCTGTCAGTATATTCTTTGTCACAGATTTCCACATCCGTGGAATCCACGGCAACTCTCATCAACTCGGTCACTGCCTTCAGCTTCTTGTCACCCTCCCAAATGGCGGCGTTGATGGCGTTGGAGGCAGCCTCATTGCCTGGGTGCGCCTTCATGATCTCCTGAACACGTTGCAGAGCAACGGCGTCCTTGGTGACGCCCTGCAGCGCTCTGCCAGCGAGGACAACCACGGCATTCCGATACACCCGAAAGAAGTAGGGGGCACCGCCCATTCGCACTGCGCACACTTTTTGCGCACCTTGCGCGCTTGAGCCGAATGCTCTTTTGCCCACCGCAGAAGCATGTGGCTTTGCGCCATCTGAGACCGTTGACGGTGCAACGTCGATCTGTCGCTCTGAGGGCCCCTGCCAAGAACTCTTGCTTCTTCAAGCGCGAGAGGGCGGACGCCAGCTTCGCGTCACCAGGATCTCAGCCAAAACAGGAATCCTTGCATTATTCACCTGAACATTGCCTTTGTAAATGGAGGTGTCCCTTCATTTTTGTGGAAAGAGCCATGTTTCAAATGGGCAAAATGTATCCTTTAAGGAGACCTGCAAAAGACAAACCGAGGCCGGTGGCCAAGCTGCGGGTTCGGATGGCTGAGTGCTGCGCTGGCCTTGACCTTTGCCTCGGCCTCCTGGACGGCAGCCTGTGGCAGCAAGCGGCGCTCGCGATGGACAGCGTGGCTGTTTCGTATATGGAGAGTCGAGCTTCCAAATGAAAACGCCCAGAGGTTCCTGCACAGCTGTTGTAAAGGCAGTCATAATGTTATGTCGACAAGCCATCCTGCAGTGTCCAAGGGTTTGTCGGAACTTCCGGACTGGAACCGATCACTTTGCACTTGAATGCATGCAATGTGCATGAGGACGCAGAAACGTGGAAAATCCGAAATCCGAAATCCGACATCAAAGCCAACACGAAACGTGGCCGGATATGAAATGGTGAAACCTCTCCAGGGTTCCCTAAAATGAACTTTGTTTGTGGTTTCTCTGCGCTCGCACCACCCAGTGAAGCAAAGCTTGTGTTTCGATTCACTTGCGAAACGCTCTTCGCATATTGGGGGGTCCAGCTTAAGATACTCGTTCTTCATGCGTTTGTGCAGTCAAAATTGCTGGTGAAGCAACTAGCTAAGTAGCCACTGAACCAGCTAACAAGCCTGGGTAGCTCTCCAACTAGGAAAATCAACTAGCTAGCTCAGCAACCAACTAACAAATAAACTCGCTAACTGACTAAGTAACTGACTGACTGACTCACTGGCTCACTGACTCACTGACGCATCACTGACGCACCACTGAACTGAAATAGGCGATTTTGACACACGGACCAAGCAAGCAAACAAGAAACAAACTTGATGCCTAGCTAGCCAACTAACCTGCTAACTGGCAGTCTTTCCATTTGCAGGAAGCATGTCGCTCAAATGTCACAAAGTGCAACTGTTCACTGTTTGCACCCCCTCCGCTGTGTTGGCCCTGGTTTATTCCAGACTCGCACAGCAAACCTGTACCCTCTGGGACTTATTTGCAATTAGATTCATCGTAGGCCCCCCCGGCATGTTTGTAAAAGTATGTTGTATAGAGCTTCGGAGGCAAGCACGGAAGTGTCCTATATAAATGCCAAGAGCTCCCCTCTGAACACGTGGAATCTGGAACTACCAAAGATTACCCTATATTCTTGCTGTTTAGACATGATATTTTCCATATTGCAAGGGGAGATGGCTATACAAGGATTAGCATTGAAGCTAGCAAGGTCTCCCACGGCCCACTCCAAAGAACTCCAAATCTCAGCCATATGGGCCATATTCATATATGCTTGGAGCTTGCTCCGTAAGGGTACCACGTGTACAATGTGCTGAGCGTACGTGGAAGGTTTAGAGGTGCAGAAGCTTCAAGCCTCGTACTGATCTTTGGGCTTTGCGCGCGCGGAGCCAAAGAACATGACCTGGGCCGGTGAGGACGTTGTTCGCACTTTCCTCTGAAACTTGCTGGTGTTCCTCCAAAAAACGCGCTGAAAAAAAGCGGGGGCCCTTTTGATGGCCCACACAAAACGCACCTAAAAACCGCCGGTTCCGGGCTCCTCTTCTCCCCCCCTCAGGCACCCACGATGTTGTCCACCGACTCAGCATGCAGCCGTTCCTGCGCCAACTATCTTCGGTTTGGACGCCAAGCAAAGAAATCAAGCCCCCACTTGCGGGCGCTGCGCGCGCGCTGCGCGCGCCAGGCGCGCCATGCGCGCCTTGGGCTCCTCGAGCTCGCACATGATGCGGATCAGTCGAGCCTCAGAACCAAACACCCACCCCGATCGCTCCACGGGATGATGGACGGCGCAGACCTCCGTGGAGTTCAGGAAGTCGTTGTTTTTGTATGCCTGCCATCCGGAGTTGGTGGAGCCACGCAACATCTGATCCCACGTGCGCGCTCGCAGCAAAGCGACCGCGCGGGTTGTTTTTTTTGGTCCGCGCCTTGGGCGGCTTTGGCCCCTGGCGCAGTGGAGCAAAGCAAAGCAAGTCAAGGGCCTCCCACTCACGGGTTCGAACTCATCTCCAAAATACTGTATCCATCCGGGAAGAGAAGCAGTCCAGCAGCAACAATGAGTCTTCCCTGGATGCTACCGCATAACATTGGTGTCGTGCTTCCTGTGTGTGGCTGCTGCTTACAAGGTGTGCGACTCCCTCCCGCTTGCCTGACCATCAGCATTGCCGGACTGGGCAGGCAAGGAGCTTCAGAGATGATAAATCTTGCAAATGTCAATACTACCAGCTACCAGTTTCGTAGATCCCCGAGGATGCTTGACTTGCCCACTTCTCTTCTTAGCAAGATCACCAGCCAAGTCCATTTGCCACGGCCTCTTCAAGAGGACGCTTCATGGCCTCGGACTTCGAGCGTGTCAAAGCACATGCACCCCACAAAGAGAAAACCGGGGTTCCACGTTGTGCCACCCCAAGGTAGACTTAAACCCAGAAGTGTCTCTTTGCGGGAAATCAACCCGCCAAGTCTAGCTTGGGGTAATAAACAAGTGGAATCCTGGACAAAGCTACTAGACACCATACAGATGCCACAAGCTGAGTCTCTCAGCCGGAGTATGGAGCGATCAGGGAGCTTCGAGCCAAACAAAACAGAAGAGGCTCGTCCGTAAAAGATGATATATCGCGGTTGGTTATTCCTTGTTCATCCATGTGGCACACTCTTTGGGCTTCCTCCCATCTAACTGTGAACTCTCTCTCTCTCTCTCTTGGACACTGCACGCAGCTGGCCCTTTTGAACTGACACTTCTTTCGCAATGCGCTGCCATATCTCGCGGAGACGCAGATGCCTGCCTGTGCAATTGTGCAAAGCGACGGCCGAAACGCACACCCTGAACATCTCAATGCCCTCGCGCGAGGCCTCAAGCGCGTGGGAGCAGCAGCGGCTCCTTCAAGTCTTCGGGGCTGGGCAGCTTGGCTGGCTCGTCCTCAGGTAACACATCAGGCTGAGTTCAGGTGCCCCAAAAAATGGCGGGGCATTCCGTGTGGCTTACACACCCACATATGGCCATGGGGTAAAAATCCAAATCGTACCCCCAGTGAACGTCCCAATCCCCACTAAAATCCCGACTAAGATGGGTGGTGAATTCACCCAATCCGACCAAAATGGGATCCCAAAAAGGCTTGACAACCACAGCCATATGGCCAAGGACTCAGCTTCGAGCCCACGGGCGCCGTCGCAAGACACCTTCCTGAGTTCAGATGGTCGGTCCGACATTGCTCCACGCGCATGCGGAGTCCACGGAGAATGGCACGGTGGCCATCCAATCGGGTGTAAGCCAGTGCTAGTCCTGACCACCCATGCTCCGGATGGTCAGGAAAACTCTCTGGCCTTTGTTTTTTGGCCGGCCTTTCCCTGGAGTCTGGTGACTTCCGAACCCAGGGCAAAAGTTGGCCAGGCTGTGACAATGCAGCCAAGTCTCCATGAGCCGCAGGCCGCCCTCTTGCACAGAGTCCCTGAAAGCAATCTGTCACAAATGGCGGTGGGTCGAAAAACTGGTACCAAAATAGCACCTTGGCAAATGGAAATCAAGACTCAGACCTGCGTAACCACAGCTGTTTAATCTCGAGCCACACCCAAATTTCAGCAAGCTCCAACCGGAAACTTCAAGATTCACATCTGCCGACTCGAGCGTGTCAAATGGCCACTGTTATGGGCGTTCATGCTAAAGAAAAGAACAGCTTTACAAATTGGCTTTGAGTGAACGTATGCATCAAACAACGTGAAAGCACTGTCCCCATCCGTTTTTGGAGCAATGATTGGGAATCGATGATGCTTCGGTTTGTGAAATGGGCGCCTGTTAGCATGTTGCCAAGGTTGCAGCCGTACCCATTTCAGCACAAGACCGTATCCCATGCCCGGCTTCAGTGTTATGACGGTTCCGGTGCTTCCGGGTTGCTTCAGTCTCTGGAGTGCCACCAAAAAAACAGAAAACATCAACCCTAGGGTTCAGCCCCCATTTTAAGAAAGATTGGCCCAAATTGGATGATGACAATCCCTAGCTACACAATGGTGGTTGTATGAACCCCCATTGTTGAAATGGTGGTTTGAAGAACCTCAGGGTCAACATGACCATTGCAACAGGTTTCTTGCTCGGCAAAAGAAAACCGACCAGAAATCCTCGAGCCACAAAATGTTCCGACCAGTCCTCCGGCCCTTCAGCACAACCCGCTGCCACTTGCGGCCATGAACCTCTGTCACCTGGCAAAACGGTCTCAAAATTCCTCAGGCCTCGTGAGCGAACCTCTGTCAACAAACTCTGGCACGCTAACCTTCTTGTCCAGGTAGACGACCAATTCAACATTTCTTGAGGAACACCCTCAACTTGAACGTGGCGAATGGCTAACCTTCGCTGTAAGCTTAAACTAGACACGTCCAGACCTGTGCAACTTGAACAAGAGCATGGAAGCCATGCACCTCAAACCGAACCGTTGCCCCGGAAAAATCGATCGCTCACATTTTAACACCTCGGTGCTCTGGCAAGAAACTCGGGGCCGCGCCTCTCCGATGAAGTACGCCCTGTAGTCCTGGAGGCATCGCCAGTCGCGGTAAAAAAGTAAACCCGGACAGTCTGCCACGCGTCCGCTCCTCGCTCTCCTTGGCCTGCAGAAATCCGGAGCCCTGCAGGTACTCCAAGCGGTCCACAGGCACCTGGCCGAGTAGCCGAGTGAGCTCAGGGGTTCTTAGCACATGGCTGTGGTTGTCAAGCAACCGGGGTCCCACTTTGGGGATTGGGTGAATTCACCACCCATTTTAGTCGCCCATGAAAAGTTTCGTCCCCCTCTCACATCTCATCCATTCTTAAGGCCTCTTTGCTGGCTCCCCTGGCCCATGAAAAGTTGCGTCTCAATTCTCGATTCGATGCCCGAAAGTTGAAAGTCGAATCGAGCCTCAAAGGATTGCTCGTCGTACTCCCCCTCCGGGAGCAGACCCCCTTCAGCCGTCACAGGCATCCAGCTGAAAGTGCCTGTCAGTTCCAAGCTCTCATTAAAATCCGCTGGCTGGATACACTGTAACTTCTGCAGGTAGTTTGAACGGCAAGAATCCACCCTCAGACTGGACCCCTTCGACAGCCCGAAGTAAGACACCTTCCTGTTCCGTCCGTGAGAACATTCTCACCAAGATCGGTTGTGCAATGCAATCTCGCGTAACGCTAAATCTGCAAGCGGAGCTGTCATGGCGTTCCGGTGACCCGGCGGGGTGGAAATCTAAATGCCTCCGCCCATCTCATCTTCAATGAACTCAGGGGCGTCAAAAGGGTCGTACCTTGGGCAATTGCTTCACTGTCGCTTCATTCACGCAATTTCCAACGAAGAATCGGACTATGCAACCCTGGCCAGTGAGAACATGCGTGGGGACAACTTGCTTCCTCGTCCCCTGCGCACGGAAAACCACCGAAGAACAACCAACAAACTGGAGCTACTGCCTTACACACCAACTCAAGACTCTCTCGGCCGCAAGCTCCAAACCAGTGGTGCTGCCCTTGCTCACCAGTCTGCCAATGGGCCTCAGCGACTTTGGCAGGGGCACCGTCACTGCCGGTGAGGAAGACGTGATGATGAAAGCGTCTAAGCCTGGTACATGGCAGGAATCAAATCGTCGCCAGATTCCTGCGTGGCTTCTGATATTGCCTCAGGCCTGGAGAACCAACAAGTTTCAAACCAATAAGCCATCGATTCTAGCTCTTGAACTTTCATTCCACAAGCATTTGCTTTGTCATACCTTGGGGCTCCACTTTCTTGGCTGAAAAATTCTGTTCCATGTGCCTCTGCCACACTGGGCCGCATCAATCGGCTTCTCGGCCTGCCATCTCGCCCGTTCGACCGGCAAAAGCGGTGCCCCGCAATTAGGAGCTGGCCTGCATCGCCTTGTCTGTGGCAATGCGGCTGCAACTGCCTTGGTGAAAAAAACTGACGGACGGCCAAGGCAAATCGCAGCTCCACATCCGGGAGCGGGATATGGCGCACCCGGCCCGCATCTCATCTACTTAATTTCTGGCCCGGCCCCATCTGTGAGAACCGCACAACCGCCAGCCACGGCAGGCACCTTTCCTGACAAACAACAACACCGCATACATGCACTTTCCCAAGTGATTGCAGCGCGCCTTGCAGGCACGGGGTTTAAGGCCGGCTTCATGGGAAGCACGGCCAATGGCAAGCCCAGATCTGCATGCCTCGGTCCAATCAAAACTCACAGCTCTGCACCAGTGCAGTTGCCGCTAGAGGTTGTGAACTTCAAGCTTGCACTTAACAAAAGAAGATGTCTGCACTGGTTTCTAAGCACATGGCACCTGCAACACTGGCCCATGCCAGCGCCATGGCAAGGAACAAAGAAACCCAACAAAACCTGCTGAAGGCTTAGGACGCTTGGCTCAGTTGCCTGTGGCATGGTACACTGCAACCATGCTGGGTGAAGTGAGAGTCAAGGTTTGCACAAGCACATGATACTGATAACTGCAGCGACAACCAAGAATCGCAATAATGTAAAACATTATTTTAGCAGTTGTCACATGGCCAGACTCCAACACAGCGGCTTCAACTGCGGCAGGGCGTGGCATTTGTAACGTTAAAAAGGCTTGTTCATTCCCCGGCAAACACGCTTGCCGATGCAAACGTTGGACATCATCAATACGCAAGCGTTAGAATCTTGATCACTGCTTCAATCCGAAAGGGAACATGCAGTCCAAGATAAAAGGGTGCGACCGACAAACATGTGCGCACGCTCTTTTTCTTTATAAGGCGTTGCTTGGAAGTTGAGGCTCAGAGGTGCAGGGGGAAAGACATCGCGTGTCCTTTCCCCGTATCTGCACCCCTCTGCGGAGCCTCCTCATATGCCCCCGTGGTCAACAATGCGTGTTCGACCAGGCGCCAGGTGTGTTACCTGTGAGGCGTGAAACAATCGAAGGCATTGATGGCGGCCGGATGCAATGCGCGCATCCGGCTGGTGTGCAATGCGGCACGCGGTGCCAGGTTGAGACAAGTCGAAACAGTCATATGGCGGCTGGATGCAATGCGTGCATCCGGCTTGTGTGCGATGGGTGCCAGGCTGAGGCCTGGCAGTATCTACAGCATGCGGGGCTGGTTGTGCACCGAGCCCTTTGGGCGGTAGCTGCGGCTGGGCCCTGGCTGCTACGCTGCCCAAGATGCGTCTCACGGCGCTAGACTAAATTTTGTGACCTGTGCAGAAAGGTCATGGTGTGCACCGTACCTCTGGGGCCCCAGCTGCGGCTGGGCCCAGGCAGGTTCACCTGAGTGTTGACAGGGTGGGAGGGTGGGCGCAAAGGGGTAACCCTCACGCATGTCCCTTAGGTGGCTTGAAGCAGAAAACGGCCACACGTCCCGAGGATTCGATCAAGATTAAAACATAAGGGAAAACCCTAAACGTTAGAATCTTGATCACTGCTTCAATCCGAAAGGGAACATGCAGTCCAAGATAAAAGGGTGCGACCGACAAACATGTGCGCACGCTCTTTTTCTTTATAAGGCGTTGCTTGGAAGTTGAGGCTCAGAGGCGCAGGGGGAAAGACATCACGTGTCCTTTCCCCGTATCTGCACCCCTCTGCGGAGCCTCCTCATATGCCCCCACTTCAGGGTTCCAAGCAAACGGCCTAATCTATCACCCCCTCTTCAGAGCGTTTGCAAAGCACTCCTATGCTCCGGCCGCCATGGGGCGTCGGGCGGATGCAGTGATAGCCTGCATTGGTGGGGCCAGAAACCATGCGGGCGAAAACGAAAGCGAGCTTGCGGCTTGCTGTCGAACGCGGACGTGTCACCGCGGCTGAGCTGATCGGCCCACACGTTGTGCTCGCCTGGGATATGCGAGGCTAGCACTGACCATTTGTGCTTATAGGCCCATGCTGCGACTACTTGCACAAAGATCTGCAAGGGCCATGCTGCGGTGAACAGTTTGTTCACCGCGGCTTCTGATGCGGTGTTATCCGTGCCGGAAGGCATGCGTAAGCCGTGCACTGCTTGTCCCTCGGCTGTCCAAGCGACGCGCAGTAGCGCCAGCTGGGCCAGGGTTTCGAAGCATGCTATGTAGCGCTGAGCCTCCTTTGTGAGGCACGGCCACTGCTGCTGGACTTCTTGGAAGTCCCACGTTTCTGCAAACCAGGAGACGGAGCGGCTGGATATAAACCAGCCACCTACGCCGACTGTGGCACCTTCGGCACAAGCGTCTGCGGCTGCCTCGCATGCCAAAACTGGCTTGCTGCGCAGCGGGCATGCCAAATCGGCTTGAAAACATTGAAGGAGCCATTCAATGTTAGCTTTGCTTGCCGCGGATAAGCGCGTGTGGGTCGGCTACGCGCACCCATGCTGGCTTATGGCTGGGCACAATGCGCGGCGAGTCGGAGGAGCTGCGTATTGATGTTTGCTGATACTCTAAGACCCTGGAGCCAAGCGGCATAAAAATGCCGCGCACGGGCGAAGCTAGTACAGCTTTGGAGTTTAGCGCCGACAGAAATGCAGGCCACAGGCGTGCGTGCACGGATATCATGCATCCTGGCGGCGAGTGCAGATCTGCATATAACGGCGCAAGCCAAGACCTCAATTCCAGGCTTAGGCTGGTGGCCCAGATGAGCAGCCCAAGGACTTGTTCCAAAAGCGTTCTTTTGATTTGTTGGGAGCGGAGCAGTGCGAACAGCTGCTCTTTCAGCTTCAGGGTTTTGAGTGGAGTGAGTTCAATCGTTTCCAGGCTGAAGTTGATTGACCATCCGCACCAAGTCAGGCAGTTTTGGAATTGCACCTTTTTCCAAGAAATGGGCGCACTAATTGCTGCAAAGAATATGACAACGAGTGCCAGTTGCTGATGCGCATGGGCGGTGCAGTGCGGCCAGAAGGTCATCCACAAACAACCAAGCTCTATGCGGGTGTGCTGACATGCACGCAGCCTCAGCAAGAAAGCTCCTGCGCGTTGCCACCAGTACGCGGAGAACCGTGCTCCGAAGTGGCACACCTGGTAATGACACAAAGTGTCTGCGAAGCGAAACAGGAGCAAGCCATGTTCGCTAGGATGTACCTGAATTTGCTTGTGTGCGGCTTTAAAATCAAAACTTGCGCCTATGAAAGAAGCATGCGTGTCTTCTGGCACGAAAGCGAGGCGCACGTCGGGTGCCATTGGCAGGCTGACGCGTTAACTGGGATATTGCACTTGGGGTTCACCCCGCACACTGTGCTGTCTAGGACCAGGCGTGGAATGCAATTCCTTTCTTCCAGTGCTGTCTAGCCCGTTCTATGGACATCTCTGTGCGGACAACCCACCCTTTGGGCGGCCATTGCATGCTACGGGGCAATTCGGATAGGGCTCCTTCGGAGAGAAATGGAAGGAGCTTGATGTGGAGCCGTCGTGCTGAACTTGCGGGGCCTGCGCGCTGCTCTCGCGCGCGGACGGGCAGCTGACCCGGGCGGGCCAGCACTACTACTCTCACCTGGCGGCCTCCCAGCAAGGACTTCGACTACAACCAGCCCCTCATCCGCGAAAACCCAACGACTACATCCTGCTGCGCAACGGGCGGAAGAAGCTTGTGCGCTCCTTCCAGGGCGGAGAGCACCGGCTGACCAAGCTGGGCAAGGGCTTCTTCCGCGACAAGTTCTACGAGTACCTGGTCCACGTGCCGGTGATCATCCGGGGCAGGAGGCGCAGCGGGCGGAACGCGGGGGCGGGCTACGAGCGCAGGGACTGGCTGCCGGTGAACGAGCCGGGCGGGTGAAACAACAAGTCGAGGCGACCCGGCCGGCCCCGATCCTGCAGCTCTCGGACAAGACCTACTTCCTTGAGCCTGGCCCACTCGCATGAGGGGCCTGAGGAGCGTGAGCTTCCAGCTGCCCTGCGAGGAGGACGTGCTGCCAAGCGCCTTCGAGGAGCTGCAGCTGAGCGCGGAGGAGGTGCGCGCCGACTTCGACGCCATGCTGCGCTACGACTGGAGGCGCCTCGGCATCTCCGCCGAGGAGGTGCGCGAGTTCTGCGTCGGTGAGGAGCCCACGCTGGAGCAGGCCAAGGCGAGGCTGAAGGAGCTCTACCCCTCCAAGCCCGGGTGGCCGGACACCACGCTGGTCATCAGCCACAGCAAGCGCATGGCCGTCAACGCAGTGGCGAACCGGGCCCTGACGCCGCAAACCTCAAAGCTGCTCCAATTGGAGACCCAGGTCATCCACATAGATTTGGGTTGTTACGAATCGGTAACGCCCCAAACTGGGTGTAGCCAAACTGCAACCCAAAACAGCCCGCAGAGCATGAGGGTGTGGCCGGGGCTGCGCCTCGTCGGGGCCGGCGGAAAGATACCCAAGGGGGTCTTTGTGGCCGTCCTGGAGTCATGCCACCTCACGCTGCGCCACCTGTACGTGGCTGGAGGCAGCCTAGCCGGCCAGCACGGCGCCTCCAGGGGCTCCACATCAGCCACACGTGCCGGGCCTCCACAAGCGCGCGGCCCTTGCGACGCGAGAACTCCGCGGGGCGCGTCCAAGTCAATCTTGCACCCTTGGCGCTCACCTTGACGGCGCGCTGGAGCCAAGCTCGGTGCGGGCGGCGCCCGCCGCCGCCGGAAAGGGCTTCTGGAAGATGATCATGTTGTCAATGACGCCCTGCTCCACCTCCTCCGTCCACAGCTCCAGGTCGGTGTTGTCCTCTATGGACATGAATTTCCCCCCCCTTGGCATTGGTCTGAACGTCCAGCCCGAGCGCAAGCTTTATCCCGCGGAGAAAAAAGTCCGGTCCGATGAACGCGCAAGTTTTCTTGGTCGTCGCACTGGCGGTGATCTTGCTCTTTAAAAATGCCGAGACTCCTGGAGCTTTTCTGCGGCACCAAGTCGGTGGGCAGGGCCTTCGAGGCGGCGGGCTGGGAGGTCGTCTCCCTGGACATCGTGTTGAAATTTGAGCCCGCGATCCTGTGCGACACCGGGACTACACGACGTTTCCGTCGGGGCACTTCGACATGGTTTGGGCCAGCCCGGTCTGCACGGAATACAGCTGACGACCGGGCTGCTGAAGACCCGGCCGTTCATGGAACGCCGCCAGAGCGAGAGGGAGCTCTATGAGGTGGGCTGCCGGTCTCGCCGGCCAAGAGCGACCCTCGCTGCCTTGGAGCGGGTCGAGAAGGCGCACAAGGAGCTGGATGTTCCTCACGGCGCTGAACCTGCAAAAAGACGTGCTCGTCCGACCGACTGAATATTTATTATTTCTTCTACAGAAAGCAAGTTATTCAGCTCAAACCAATTCGCGCCATGATCTCCGAGCTGTCAGAACACATCTGGGGCCGCCTGGGGCAGCTCTGTCCGGGCGGTGCCTCTGGAGGAGCCGCGCGCCCGTATGGGGCCGCTTGGACC